TGGACAGGGGAAACAGAATGCAGACATTGGGTAAAGCATTGATTGCTCCATTTTGTGATCTCACCAGTTCTCCAGGAAACTTGAGGGTCATGTAGTTGTAGCCATGGTAACCCAAGAATTACAGAGTGCTTAGGGGAGTCGATGGCAAGAAGGGAAATCTCCTCTTCATGGAGAGAGCCTGTTTGAAGAGAGATTGGTTGAGTCTGGAATTTTATGCGTCCCTCTCCCAAAGGGCGCCCGTCTACAGCAGTGATGGCTATGGAGGAATCACAGGAGGTTAAAGGAATGGAGTGAGTGGTGGCAAACGTGTAATCAATAAAGTTGTCCGCGGCTCCTGAATCGATCATGGCCATGGTCTCAATTTCATCTCCATTATTTCTCAGAATGACAGGCAAATTCATAACATTATTAGTGGTAGTGAACATAGTGGTTGCACTCACCGAGAGGGTTTTAGGGAGAGGCTTGTTGGGACATAAATCCTTCGTATGACCTGGAAGTCCGCAATAAATGCACAGGTGATTTCTTCTCCGTCGCTCTCGTTCCTCTGGGTTCAGGCGGGTTCTACCCAATTGCATGGCTTCAGCGGAGACCTCAGGGGATACAGGACTGGAAGCAATTGAGCACAGTGGATTGCGAGTGCGGAGGAGAGTGTCTAACCTTATGGAAAATTCGATTAGTTGATCCAGTGTTTTTCCCTCGTCACGACATGCCATCTCTTTCAGCAATTCTGGTCTTAGAGCCTTTCTGTAGAGCGTGGTAAGCGGATCGTCAGCCCAGCCAGTTTGCGCTGCTAAGGTGCGGAACTGCAGTGCGAACTCAGCTGCGGAGCGATCTCCCTGTTGGATGCAAAGTAGCTCCTCGCCAGCGTTACGACCACCCTCCGGATGATCAAACACAGTGCAAAAACGTTTGAGAAAGTCATTAAACGAGGGAAATATCGGGGTACTGTCTGGCCAAACTGCAGTAGCCCAGTCTAGCGCTTTCCCAGTGAGCAGTGAGCACACAAAAGCAATTTTCCCATTATCGTCCTTAAACAGATGGGGCTGTTGGGCGATAAACAGTTTACATTGCAATAGGAAGCCTTTACATTTTGCTGGGTTACCTGAGAACTTGTCAGGGAATGCCAGTCGAGCTCCGGAAGTCATCGGAGGTTGTGTAACAACAATTGGACTCGGAGAGTAGTTGGCGGTGGGTTGCGCAGTGGCAGCAGCTTGCAGGTTTTGTAGAGATTTCACCAGTTCGTCTGTTAACTGAGTTAGATGTGTTAGTTGTTGTTGGTGAGTAGACAAAACCTGAGCTTGTGTTGTGACTTCGTGAGACAAAACCTGGATGGCTGCGGGATCCGTGTTGGGCGAAGTCTTCTGTAACGGGGAGACTGACACGGAAGGATCCATTTTGCAGTATTTATTAAGTCACACTTAAACATCAACAACTCGCACGGCTGTGCGGACATACAACATACACATCAAGGGAGACGTAGCAGATAACAGACACAGTGTGATTACCAGGCTTGGGTCAGAGGCAGGCAGCGTGATTCAGAGTCTGTGTAACAGGCTTTGGTCAGGGGCAGGCAGCGAGAATCAGAGTCCGAGGAAACAGGCTTTGGTCGAGGGCAGGCAGAAGACAGAGCAGAGTCGTGAAACGGGCTGAAGTGGTAAACGGGAGATCAGGCAGGATAGAACGCTCAGAAATGCTGGCCGGGGCTAAACAAGACTTCGCACTGAAGTGTGTGTGTGAGCTGCTTATATGTGGTACGTGGGTCATTAGTGGAATGGAGAACAGGTGTGCTGGGATCAGGTTGAATGGATGACGTAATGGTTAGAAGTCCGGAGATGGTGACCTCTGCTGGCCAGCGAGGGGAATGACTGGGACCGAGTCGGTGACAGTGTGACAGAATATCTTTAAGTTTAAAAGCAACAATTTTCTTCATAGGTTATACTTCAGGCAAAAATTGGGCTATAAAATATAGAATTAAGGTATTTCATTAAATAAGGTATAACATTAAATAAGGTATCTCATTAAATTTGAACCTTATAATCAAAATTATAAATCAAAACTCAAGAAAAAGTTAAGGTGTGAGGGTGGCCACTACAGCGGCCAATCATATGCATAGTTAAATAAAATCTGCAGTTATACAATATAATGTATTGTCCAACAATTAAAGTGAAATATATTTTTCTATTTGTATTTTTTAAATCTTCTGTCTTTTTAACACAGCGTGTTTATAAAAGTTGGTGCATAGAGAGGAAAGAGTTTGTTTTCCTTAGCCCACTCACCTGTGTGTAACGCACTCAGATTTCTACAATGATCTTTGAGGGTATTTTTTATGACAGGTTCATGGGAAAAAATGTTTTTGCCTGCAATAAAATAAAAATGCTTAATTGTCTTACCCCAACATTAGTCAGATGTGTGTGTGTGTGTGTGTGTATATATATATGTGTGTGTGTATGTATAGGCTGCTTATTTTTAAAATACAAATTTATTACATCATATATCATTAGAAAAAAAAGGAATCTGGTTTTAAATTAAAATTAAGGTTTTAAATTAAAAACTAGCCTACTGTCAATAATTAGGCAAATAACAAACTGGGCCAGCACATTCAACTTTCCTCAGTTCGAATTTGGGACACTGAATTTGGGACTAAGCAAAGTCTCAACGATGCAACAGCAAAAACTTTCTTCAATGGGTTATTTTCCTAGGCATTTGTACAATTTAATATGGCATAGCAGTCAAAATAGGACAAATGAGCTCATGGGACAAATTCTGGACCTTTGTCAGTGAGAGGTGGATCTTACAAACCACCCAAATTTCTCCTGGCTAAGGGGCCAAATTGATATATATATATATATATATATATATATATATATATATATATATATATATATATATATATATATATATATATATATATGAAGCCAACAATTGGGTTTGTCCACATTTGATTCAACATAGGGTTAAAATAACCAAGCATTTTTTAGTTTATAGTTCCCTCTTAAGAAAAATCAGGGTTCTGTTTTTATTACTGGCATAGGGCATAGATTCCTGAATAATGTGGAAACCCCCAACAACTGGGTTAATAATAATAATAATAATAATAATAATAATAATAATAATAATAATAATAATAATAATAATAATAATAATAAGTAAAAATTAAAAGTGTATTTCCATATTTGACTGAACATCATAAAAATGTTTTTATATAATAGTTAGTAATAATTATAAAATTTAGTAAATGTCTCACCTTCAGCATGATGTTGTTATTCAGTTATTCTTTATTTCTATATTGTTTTTTTTTTACAATGTAGATTGTGTTAAAGCAGCTTAACATAGAAGTTCTAGTGAATTAAAACTGTGTCAGACCAGTTTTCAGAGTTGAAGTTCAGTTCAATGTGGTTTAATTTTCACTGCTGAGCGCGGAAAGTCCAAACACTGAAGTGCAAATCCATCGATGCGCAGCTCCTCAAGTCCCAATGCTATGACCAGCAGAGGGCATCAACTCATAATGAATGAAACAATATTCCACTACTAATTGTCCAGGTGAAACGACTTCGATTTGAAAGGAGAATTGAGTAATCTGACGTCAAATAACTTTTTACCAATATTAAATGTTTTGCCTTTTGGAAATCTAGTTCCCACTTGCTATGAAATACTGTTTTATTTTATGAGTTTAATGATAAACATTTCTATAAAAATTTGAGTGTTGTTTGACAACACAACTAAAACCATAACTTACCAATTAGTTAACTCATAGCACAAAAAATGTTACAGGTGAAGTCAAATTTATTTGTCGCTCTAAATTATAAACCCCTGTTAATTTTCCCTTAAATTTCTGTTTAAAGGAAATATTTTTTTCAACACATTTCAAAACATTATGGACGCTGGTGTTTAAACTGTTTATGGACGCTCCTTAAAATATTCAAGTCCTTGTAATTTAAAGTTTCATTTTCAAGTACTTTTAACGCTTGTGTACATCTAAAATATAGTAGACTGTACAGACTGCTCATCATTCAAAATATCCAAACACTGAAAATAACCATTAAAAGAAGACAGTTGGAGTTGGTACAGACAGATAATTCTCATCCTAAATGGGAGCATAATGAAATTTTTTATGATAGCAACATCAAGTATTTGATATCTGGAAAAATGCTATGAATGTACTTTTTTATATTACGTATAATATTTGTGTTTAACGGAAGAAAAACATTTGTTAAGACTGGAAACAAGTGGATGATGATGAGAAAAATTATGACCAAATTAACATTTTCATGTGAACACCAACCACTGTAGGAAGGCTATACACTGTAAAACCCATAAACAGGGGTCTCCAAACTCGGTCCTGGAGGGCCAGTGTCCTGTTTATTTTAGTTCCAACCCCAATTAAACACATCTGAACCAGCAAATCAAGCTCTTTCCAGGAATACTAGAAAAGTCCACAGAGGTGTGTTAAAGGAAGTTGGAGCTAAACTATGCAGGATATCGGCCCTCCTGGACTGAGCTTGGACAACCCTGCCATAAAGTTAAGGTAACTCAAACCATTTAAGTAAAAAAAATAAATAAATCCTAATGAGTACTATGAACTTAATCCATTTCAGTTGAGGTAGTGAGGTAACTAACTCATTACCTTCAACACTGAGTTCAAAACTCTTATCAAATGAGTAGAATTAACTTTCAGTCAATTTTGAGTTATCTACACTCATTTCATTTGATAAAGTTGAGTGTTGGGTTTTACACTGTAGTTAAAATAGACTTTAGCTGGAAAAAAATGCACCTACAGCATTAAACCAGACAAACACCGCTATTAATCTTTTAATAATTTTCTATTGATGAACTAGTATACAGTAAATGTATAATAAATGACAAAAATACACTCAAATTTGCTTTTGTAAAAGAACAATAGTACAAAAAAAAAATTCTTTACGGCATTTTTGTTTTTGTAAAAAGACAGTAAACTTTAAAAAAAAAAAAAGTGTTTTTCAGCATGACATACAAAATATAAATCACATTTATTTTCTCAAGGGCACAATATAAAAGAGTATTTCATTTTAAAACATGTTTAAAAACGTCATCATGCTCGCTTTGACTGGACGTTCTTCTTCTGGGACATCCTTGGTCTTGGTAGTTCTCCAGGTGGGATGAATAAATCTGCAGGTTCAGCTGACGTCTGTGTTTTTGCAGGAGTTGTAAAGTCTATAGTTGCATACTGTGTATTTTGAACACTTGAAATTTGTCTGTTTTCTCTGCTGGCCACATTTTCAGACTGCAGGACTTGAACGTCTGCATAATGTAAACCATCCTCATTCGGTTTTCGTTTTTTATTGACCTGGGCATACTGTGGTTCAGATGTCACGCAGTCATACACATGGATATCAACATGGGCCTGCTGTGGGAAATAAGATGTTGTCACAAAAAATGTACATATGGTTGAATAAAAGTGAAATGTTGTAGTGTCCTGTTCATTTAACACACCTGATGGGAAGGAACTGCAGATGAAGCTGCTATAAAAGTAGTACATTGGTTAATAGGAATCAACATTACAACAGTTGGTTAATCAAATAATTAACACTTTTGTGATAATCAATGTATAATTTTTATCTGTTATCTAATATCATAAATGTTTGTTTGATATCTTACCTTTTCCTTTTGCCCGTTTCTGTGAAAGTTTTCTTGGATTTATTCCCCATCTAAGGAAAAAAAGCATACTAACATTTTAATGTTAATGTTTTCCCTAAATGACAAGTTTATAAAATTATTCCTTAAAAATGTACAAGTACAGCTTTGTATAATATAAATTAGTATAATTTTAATTGACTTGACTAATATACAGTTGAAATCAGAACTATTAGCCCCCCTTTGAATTTTTTCTGTTTAACAGAGCAAGGGAATTTTCACAGTATGTCTGATAATAGTTTTTCTTCTGGAGAAAGTGTTATTGGTTTTATTTCAGCTAGAATAAAAGCAGCTTTTAATAAAAAAAAAAAAAAATCATTTTAAGGTCAAAATTATTAGCCCCTTTAAACTATTTTTTTTCTGATAGTCTACAGAACAAACCATCATTATACAATAACTTGCCTAATTAGCCTAACCTGCCTAGTTAACCTACCTAAGCCTTTAAATGTCATTTTAAGCCATGTAGAAGTGTCTAGTCAAATATTATTTACCGTCATCATGGCAAAGATAAAATAAATCAGTTATTAGAAATGAGTTATTAAAACTATTATTATAGAAATGGGTTGAAAAAATCTTCTCTCCAATCAACAGAAATTGGGGAAAAATTTCAAGCTTCAAATAAAAAAAATATTCTACAGTATTTTTGTTTACCATAAACAGTTTAATTACATTAAGCTGTAAGAAAATAATTATGAATATACAATTGTAAATTGCGTTTTTTTTAAACTTAAACAGGTTAAAACACTTAAAACAACAGCTGATCGGAATTTATATTAAAGTAACCTACACTGTAAACGTTGACGTTATCAAATGAAATGAGTGTAGGTAACTACTACTAATTTGAAAAGAGTTTTGAACTCAGTGTTGAATGCAACAAGTTAATTAAATACCTCATTACTTTAACTCAAATGGAGTAAGTTCACATAACTCATATAGATTAGTTTTTGAAACTATTGTTGCTATCGGTTGCCTCAAAAGGTTTGAGTTGCCCTAAATTATTGGGTTTTACAGTGTATAGAAGAATATTAATTGAACTGAAACAATTAAAGTGAGTTTATTTCACTCAATTTGCAATGAGGTTTGTTTAGAAAAATATTACTTCTGCAATAAACACTCTTTTTAAAAGGAAGCTAAACATATAGTATTTTTTTCAAAAAGGATATGAAAAATGAAACCTCATAGCACATAAACGCTGATAAAAAAAATATCTGGTACATCTTTTCTCTAGTCTCAAACGCATTTGACAACATTTACGCTTATAAACATACGATATCAAATATGAACAAGGACCATGTTTTCCCCCCTCAAAAAAATCCTTCTTTAAAATGTTATTTTGGGTAGATTACCAATTAATAACAGTAAATCTATCCTCCTCATCAAGATCCTACTGCTGTCAAACAATCACGGACCCGGTCGAATATAACAGTAAAGCTTAAATATTCAGTAAACTGCACGTTTCCAAAAGTTAAAGACATATGGATGGCTATACTTACTTGTCCAGTGTTTTGGTAACATGGCTCCCCATGGCAAAGGTTGTCGTCAGCACACAGTTAGCCTTGTGTTGATCATTTGCTCTTTTTCCATTTCCTTGTTCTTCTGTAACCGGAGTCCTGCAGGTGTTCCTGTGAAAAAAGCTACCTTTGTACCGCGACTGCAACGCAACGCCCCTATCGTTGAGGCTGATCTTAAGGTCACGAATGTTTTACAATGCCTTTAAAGACGTCGAATTAAATATCCTTGCAGTTATTCATTTATAAGAAGAATGGAAGTAGTTTGGTAAAGCAGCAGAGCCATTTCCCTGGTTATGCACTTTTTTAGTGCCATGTGTTTACATTGGGCAGCTTGTATTGCATCTTTACTTCGAGTGTAAAAAGAGACAAGTGATCGATTCTAGACGACCACTGATTAAAACGAACGTAGTTTTTTCTAATGCTTAATTTAATATGCAAAGACAGCTGTGCATTGAACATATTGTAGCATATTATTTCCCAGAAAATATTGCTATGTTTGTAATCACCCCAAGTACTCTATTCATTAAGTGTATGGTTACATTAAAATGCACGATTGTTTGTGATTCTTTATTTAACTTTTTACCAAGATCTACTTAACGGGATAGTTCACACCAGAAAAAAAACATCATTTACTCTCCCATGCTGTTTTAAACCTTAGATAGAAGATCCTTAGATAAAATAGTTTTTTCTATTATGGAAGTCAATACCATCAACCAATATTTTAAAAAAGTGTCTTTTTGTTTAACAGAATAAAGGAACTAAAGATTTTGATGAAGTAAATAATGAGTACTGGCAGCGCAGTAGGTAGTGCTGTCGCCTCACAGCAAGAAGGTCACTGGTTTGAACCTCAGTTCGGCTCAGCTCAGTTGGCGTTTCTGTGTGGAGTTTGCATGTTCTTCCTCTGTTCGGTTTCCTCCAGGTGTTTCGGTTTCCCCCACACTCCAAAAACATGCGGTACAGGTGAATTGGGTAGGCTAAATTGTTCGTAGTCTATGAGTGTGTGTATGATTGAGTGTGTGGATGTTTCCCAGAGATGGGTTGCAGCTGGAAGGGCATCTGCTGCGTAAAAACGTGCTGGCTAAGTTGGTGGTTCATTCAGCTGTGACGACCCCGGATTAATAAAGAGACTAAGCTGACAAGAAAATGAATGAATGAATGAATGAATGAATGAATTGAAATTTATTTGACTCATTTTTGGGTGTACTATCAATTTAAGATTGAATATCATATGCCATGTAGTCTATGCTTTGTTAAATATAAGCAGTTGACCATATGAATTATATACTGAATCATAGAAGACAATGACAAATTTGACTGTTTGACATGTGAAAACATCAGATGATACAAGTGGCCTGCATGATTGTGCTGTATTTATAATGTGATCATGGAGGTTCAGCAGGACATCAAAGATTACCTTAATATTCCTCACTGAAGTTGATGAAATAATTATTCACCTGAATTAATAGTAAAAAAATAGTGCCAAATAACAGTGAAAGTGGTTAGTAGAATTATAGAGGGAATCACTTTAAGACTTTAACTATACAACATCTGTCATCAAACGGATGATGGTTCAACCAAAAATGAAAATGACCTGACCATTTAATGTTCCTCATGAGGTTTCAAATCTGATAAGTTTCTCTCTTCCATTGAACACAAAAGATCTCATCTCATCTCATCTCATTTTAGTTCGCTTTTCCAGGGCCGGGTCGCGGGGGCAGCAGTCTTAGGAGAAAACCCCAGACTTCCCTCTCCTCAGACACGGGATCCCAAGGTGTTCCCAGGCCAGCCAAGAGACTTCCAGTGTGCCCTGAGTCTTCCCCGAGACTTCCTCTAGGTGGCGCATGCTTAGAAGCTCAGAAGATCCTCGAGCTCGGGGCTCCCTCTCGTTTGAAGGGCAAGAGGGGAGTTTGAGCTATGGTATGTTTTGAGAACTTCCCTGCTGTTTATGGCTAATGACTAGTTAGGAATTGCTATAGAGAGATATACTGCTGTCTAAGAGCTAATCTGTGGTTTAGACAATTCACTTTTTTCGCATGTCTTTGGACAGCAGGAGGAATCCAAGGAAACCAGGGGAAACCCATGCGAGCACGGGGGAACATGTAAACTCCACACAGAAATGTCAACTGCTGTAGGATGGACTTGAACCAGTGACGTTCTTTCTGTGAGCCAACAGTGCTAACCACTGGGTCACTGTGCCACCCTATCTAGAAAGAGGGAGGAAGAGTAGGGGTGAAAGGGAAATTCTTCAAGATGTAGAAAACTGAGGTGAGAAACTTTGGTTATTTACAGTGTGTTAGGATTCATCTGATTTGTGCACCATGTGCTAGCTGATGTGGGACCAGCTGTAGTCAATCATAAGCAAGTGATCATCTCGAAATTAGTTTATAAACTTCAACTAAATAATATATTTCACTCTGAAGCTTACTACAGAAAGATCTGTTGAAGAACCTATGTTTAGCTACTTCATTCACATCTCTTGTCTTAAACCCCAACATTTATTTGCCAATTTTTTGCCCTTTAGAGATTAGAGTACTGAGTCTTTCTGGCCAACCAATGGCAGATGAAAACCTCATTCAAAATATTTTTATCCAGATGTAACAAAACTCGGGCAGAAAGAAACTCCAGCAAGTTTTTACGCAGTGGATGCCCTTCCAGCCGCAACCCATTTTTGGGAAATAATTTATTGTCACAACTTATAAAATTCTATTGTGCTGATTTATGCTCAAGAAAATAAATGTTATCAATGTTTAAATGGTTTTTCACTCAAACAAAATGAATCACGATGAAGTTTATCATTAACTGTTTGTAATCTTTTGATTTTATTTAATTTGTCAGTTTTTATGTATGTATTTTGTCAAATTTCTTAGAATCAATCTAAATCTGTTAAAATTAAACACTATTAGCTTTAATAAGTTAGACTAAACTTAATGTGTTTTAAATTGAAAAGAATTTAAATCACATTGGATTTATTGATATTATTGCATAAATCTTATTCTTATTTGTTCCATTTATGTTTATCTGACAAATATCATTCACAAAGTTTATTAGTTTAATTATGTTTGCAATCCAATTACGTTTATAATTTGTAATCCAAATAGATGAAAATATGAAATCCGAATACATAAATCTTTGTTGCGCCTAAATATATATTTTTTAAATGTTTGCTGCTTAGTTGTGTGATACGTGATGCACTACAATCCAAAACTTTGGTTATTCTTTATTCACATTTCTTGTCGGAAATCAATACATTTATCAAAGTGGACAGTGAATGCATTAAGTCTTTTTAAAAATCTTTTTGGTTTTTATTCATCCTGAAAAAAAAATTAAGCAAAAATTTGTATAGAACAACAATTATCAATAACTGATAAGACTAAGCATCAATCAGCATATTAGAATGATTTCTAAAGAACCATGTAACGCTAAACAATGATGCATTCATGCTTTACCATCATAAAAATAAAGTACACTTTAAAATATATTAGTAACACTGACTTCGTTTACATGGACATCAGCAATCATATTATTTGCCTTAATCTGAATAAGACAATCATGTCTTAAAGGTATTTACATGAAGCATCAGCCAATCAGATCGCTGTATGCAAATACACCAGCTAGACAGTGCCCTACTGCTGACTGAATTTCATTGGCTGACGCTGCTATGACGATCGCATTAGCCCCAGCTTCAGACACGCCTTAAGTCAAGCTGTAACGAAGTGGCTGACACAGAGGGATCCATTTGCAGTATTTTTATTAAACACAGTTTAATAACAAATAGCACACAGGTGTTGTGCATGTGCAAACTCGCATCAAACACAGTAGTATATCGTCGTTGTGCTGGCGGCTGGTAAACACAGGATGAGTATGCAGGCATGGGTCAGAGGCAGGAGGCTAGTATCAGAGTCGGTAAGCAGGCTAGAGTTCAAGGCAGGTGGCGTGGATCAAAGTCGGGGTTCAGGTAAAGGTACAAGGCAGGCGGCAGGCAGGGCTGGGTCAGTAAATAGAGCAAGATCACAACGGGAAGGCAGGCAAGGATGAGAAACGCTCAGTAGTGTTAGCCGGGGCAAAACAAGACTTCGCACTGACTGAGTGTGTGTGTGCTGCTTATATGTGTGAGTGTGTGATTAGTTGGATGAGCCACAGGTGTGCCAGCTGTCAGTGTAAGTGGATGACGTAATGGTTTAGAAGTCCGGTGATAATGACCTCTGCTGGCCAGCGAGGGGAATGACTGGTACCGAGTCGGTGACACAAGCATTGACACTAAAGCCCTGTGTGAAAGGGGCGTAAGGCAAGTCATTTCACAAGCTTATGATTAAATTTCATATTAGGAAACAACAACAAAATTGAAAAACAACTGTCTCTTTAGTTTCACTTCTGAACATCCAAATCACAGAAAATCTGCAGTAAAAGAGTATCCTCAGTCTATAGCGATCAATGATACTGTACTAGTAGGCAGGGCTTTATCAACATATTGACAGTTACACTTTTCCCCATTCAAAAAGATACGAGTGACATGTCTTGTGTATTCTGAACTGTTTAAAAAGTATCAAACTGTTAAAATGTTTACATGTCTGTACTGCACTTCAATAAAGCGGCTAAAATTGACATACTCCACATGTCTTAATCCGACTTATGTTTAATTTGATTATTACCTTAATCAGATTAAATTAATCAGAAAATCAATGTTAACATCGTAGACTTTCATTCAGGGTATTGTCTTAATAAAAAATACTGTCATATTAAAATCAGATTATTGGTTTCCATGTAAACATATACTTAGTGTAATAATAATTTACAATATTACTGTTTTGATGAGTATATGCAGGCACAGGACGTCAACAAGACGTCATATTGAAGTTGTACTCCAATGTACCCCATCGTCTTGGGGATGTTGTATTTTGTTTGGAAATGAAAATCGGGTTGACGTCGGAACCCAACGTCAGGCCGACATCAATATCTAACGTCCAACCTAAAATCAAACTATAATAAACCAAATATCAACATCTAATCATGCTACACTTTGACTTTTTGTCGACGTTACCTCTATGACATCTATCAGATGTTGGATTTTGCTCACTTTCCAACAACCTTAAATCTACCAAATATCAACAAAATTTGACTTGGTTATTGGTCAATAAAATAACAATGTCCTTAGCTGCTTGCTAGACGTTGAATTTTGGTAAATCTAACCTAATATTAACATCTTATGATGTTGTGTGCCTGCTGGGAAGAGACTTATCCAAAAACATTTTTCAAAAATCAAACTACGCCAAACTTTTGTCCTGCAGGATTCTGTGGAATGCTTAAAAAAACAAAGAACAGAACTTCAAGCTATTCCAAATATCTGAAATATTTAATAAACAAACACACAAAAGTGCTGGGCATTCCAACTCCATAGACTTTCTATGGAATTCTGCAGGATTTATAACATTACACTTGATTAAACTTTGAAACGATGTACTTCATTTACTTGTGCTTTCCTTCTTTTCCACTTTAATCTTGAGTTGGTTGATTTGAGGCTCCAGATCCTCAGTTTTTCGTGGAGCCTGAATGCAGAGAATCCCGTCATGAGACAGAGAAACTTGCACTAGCAGCGGATCTACACCCATTGGCAGGATGTACGTGCGGGTAAACTCACGACTCACAAAGCCATGCTGGTCCATTCTCTGAGCATGGCGGGCGCTCACTTCCAACAGGTTGTCCACTGTTCGCACACTGATCTCATCAGGTGTGAACTGGCACACATCCAGCAACACTCGGTACCAGTCGTCTTCACTTTCTACTTGCGAGAAGCCCCTCTCTAGCTGCTTGTTGATGCGGGGCCGAATGTAGTAACCGTGGTACAATACAGGGGCCAACAGCTCCTTGGGGCTCAGTGCTGAGAGGGTGAGAGAAGGAACAAATTATTAGGTTACATCAGTGATATATTTTTGGGGATTACTCAGTTACAGATCAGTTACAAATACAGTGCATCCGGAAAGTGTTCATAGTGCTTAACTTTTTCCACATTTTTTTTTGTTAGAGCCTTGATCCAAAATGGATAAAATTTGTTTATTTCCTCAAAATTCTACACACTACCCCCTAAAATGACAATGTGAATTTTTTTTAAATTGTTGCAAATTTATTAAAAATAAAAAAGCTGAAAATCACATGTACAGAAGTATTCACAGCCTTTACTGTGAAGCTATAAATTGAGCTCAGGTACATTAGGTGCGTCCCAAATGGCACACTATACACTATGCACTCATGCACTATGTACTTATGCACTTACACACTCAACAGGATAGTATATGTATGTAGTGGCGTCCCAAATGGCACTCTAATGTTTTTTTACTAAGCGGAAATTCAAACCGTTTCCCTGATGACGTTTGACGGTTGCCAAATCAGTGAAATAAACAACCGAATTATCAAACAATACCTGCCGTCAGTATTGCCGCATTCACCATCGGGAGGCGCTATAATCACTCTCGTAGGACAATTTTGCTTTCACCATCCAAAATAAATAAAGTTATCCAACATGTGCGTCCGATAGCTCCACCCCTTCCGCTACGTAAGCAAACCTGCGGTCGTTGAGTGCGTGAAGTGTCCATCATTACACACTTCATTTTACCGGCTGAATGAGTGCATCATCCGGGTAATTAAAGTGCACTTAATTTTTTTAGTGTTTTCAGTGTGAACACACTACTTACACTATTTATACTACAAAATGGCGTAGAATAGTGCATAAGTATGCGATTTGGGACGCAGCTATTCTGTAACCACTGATCATTCTTGAGATGTTTTAGCAGCTTAATTGGAGTTCACCTGTGGTAAATTCAGTTGATTGGCCATGATTTGAAAAGGCATACACCAGCCTATATAAGGTCCCAGAGTCGACAGTGCATGTCGAAGCACAAACCAAGCATGAAAACAAAGGAATTGTCTGTAGACCTCTGAGACAGGATTGTCTCGAGGCACAAGGCTGGAGAAGGTTACAGAAAAAGGCGTTACGTTTGGAGAAAACCATGCACCGCTCATTACCAGGCTAATACCATCCCAACAGGGAAGAAACTGTTTCTGTGTTGGGCTGTTCTGGTGCACAGTGCTCTGTTGCGTCGACCAGAAGGTAGAAGTTTAAAAAGGCAGTGTGCTAGGTGTGAAGGGTCCAGAGTGATTTTGGGTGCTCTTCTGCTTGCACAAGTACAGTTCTTGGAGAGTAGGGAGGGTTGTACCAGTGATTCGCTCAGCAGTCCGAACTATTCGACATAGTCTTCGGAGGTTGGATTTGGTAGCTGAGCTAAATCAGACAGTTATTGAAGTACAGAGAACGGATTCAATGACACAACTTGGAGGCGGCTATCATCGTTAAAAGAAAGAAAACTTTTAGTCTTTTTCTGTAAACTACTGATGACCTTTCTTCCCAATTTTAAATAAAAATGTTTGATGTTTTTTGACGTTTGAATTCACTTTAAGACAACACAATACTGATGTTTTAACATTTTTGGAGAAATTAAAAATTCTATTTATATTCTACATTTAAATTTTCAGGAAATAATTACGGCCTAGGCGGTTCATTCTGCTGTGGCGACTTCTAAGAAGTCTCACGCCTGTTTCACACCGCAAGCGTCAGCGGCGCGTGAGCAGAGCGTGAGCAGCGCGTGTGTTTTCGGCGTCCATGTTAACAGATTAGAGCTTTCATACCGCACGCAGCAGCAGCGCGTCAGAGCGAGGCGTGAGCGTCGCCGAAGCAGCAGTGCAGCGATAGTTTCGGCGCTGGGTCTATTTTTGACGCGCTGCTCACGCTCAATTAAAGTGACAGTGCATTGATAATGACTAAAACTCATTGAATGACAGTAAAAACTAACAATTTTACCCAATAAATACGTTAATAATGTCAAATGGTTTATATATAGTCATTCAAATGAACTTAAAACGATTAAAAACGGCAACAAACATTTATTTAGGCCCGAACTACAAAACCAAATGTAAAACTATTTTACTATCAGTTTTGCTTAAGTTGCACACTAGTGTTGTAGGAGAGGGGAAATGGAATATTTACGGGATTTGTAGTCCATAGCGAAGTGTATTGTGGGTAGTGTAGTGCGACACGCATGCTGGATTATGTGAGCTCGCTGTGTTCTGTGCAGCTAGCAGAGCAAGAAAGTTTTAATCGGCTTTGTTTTATGTTCACTCGAATTATTCCTACCGGGAGCTGTTTGCACTGTGAATCTGACAACACGAAAATAAGTAAAAGAATGGCATGCATTAATTACTTTTGTCCGTCTCATCATCTGCACGAGCATGAATTAACGAGCTGTTTTTCTGCCGCTGGACATCACTGAAGCGGAGAAATTAACACTAGTTTGATCAAGTATAAATATCATTATAACTATATTGTATAAATGTGATTATAACTAGGTCTACAGCAACCTGATAATCAAAAAACAAATGACATGATATCACAGGCGATTGTCTTCTGACTGTAGACAATTCTCATATAAGTTAGCTTTAGAAGCATACAGTACTATTTGATCTATAAAATTTGTAAAATAAACATTTGCAGGTTAATGAAACAGCAGGGGCCTTGGTACAGATGAAAAGTTTAAAAAGTGTATTTGTATATAGAGGGGTAACTAGATAGAATAGACAGAGATAGGTTGATCTCAGCAGCAGCTGCCGAAGAGCTGCGCGCTGCAGACGCAGCTGGTGTGAAAGGCAAACGCCTGCGTGCTGCTACTGCTCGACATACGCGCTGCTCACGCTCTGCTCACGCGCCGCTGACGCTTGCGGTGTGAAACAGGCGTCAGACTAAGCCAAAGAAAAATTAATGAATGAATAATTACTGCCAAATATACCATTAATATATGATTTCTTTTTCCAGGGAGGGTAAAAAAAGTATTAAAAGAATTATAAATCATGTTTAGAGATTTTACTATTTATAACAGAGATGCCCTAAACTAGGGCCCGTGGGCTAAAGTTGGCGCTCTGTAACCTTTTATGTGGCCCACCATCCCATCTGAGAAGAGAGGGAGACTGATGGGTTAGAGACTGTCAATTCAAATGTGATGTAACCCTTTGTTTGTTTTATTGTTAACTGAATGTTTCAATTAAATGGTGTAAATAATGAGATTTTGTTTAAATTTACGTACTGTCAACAGAAACTGCAGAGACTTAGGAGAGCAAATCAAGTCAAATGCAGATTTTGCTTGACTAGTGTATTCAGCGTTGAACTCCACTGTCTTATAAATGTGATTGTTTGTTTTTATTGCAATAAGTTATCATTTAAAAAGTTAAACTGCATTTGTTAATACAAATTAAAGTGATGTTTTCTATTTATTTTTAAATTTTATGAAATAAATTCGGAATTTACTCATGGAAACTTTAATGTAACAGTGTAATAGTTTGGTATATTTACCTTAGGCCCATGGCTCTCAATGATATTTGGTTTTTGGCCCTTCATATGAAAAAGTTTGGGCACACTTGATTTATACTGAATCGCATTATACTGTGTATATATACACTGTACATATATTGATTTATTATTTACAAAAATAAAATTCTGTCATCATTTACTCATCCTCCACTTGTTCCAAACCTGTTTGAGTTTACTTCTTCTGTTGAACACAAAGTAAGATATTCTGAAGAATGCTTTGGGCAAAAGGCATTGATTTTCACTGAAAGTATTATTATTATTATTTTTTAACTATGGATGCCTGTATTTTCCCCCATTAATTCTTCAGAACATCTTGTTTTGTGTTTAACCGAAAAAAGAAATGAGAATGATTCAATATGATGGAACCAAAAGTTTCATGTGTTGTTTGTATTTTTGCTAGTATACTTTCACTTTATTTATACTTGAGTGTAATTTATAGCTGTACTTGTTCCTCTTATTCTTAAGTATTCTCAAGTATGTTTAGGCCAGATCTTACATTTTCACTCAGTCTCTTTAGTTTTACTAGAGTATTAATTGAGTACATTTACACCCCTGCTGTAGTCTCACTTCATCATACCCTCACAATGCATCCAATGGCATGCATGTAATATAACAATTCATGCTTATTCTGCATTCCATTTAACTGTGTATTGTACATTTCAGAACTTCCTCGTTCCTGTTTGGAAAGCCACACAGACTGATTTATGTCAGACTTTGAACTTATAAATGTCATGACACATACACTTTATAACATGCCCAAAATGTCCTAGGTGTGTTAATGTTAGTTTTAAATAGTATATATAGAGTTTTGAAATAATATAATACATTTTCAAGATGAGTTTAAATGTGGTTATCTTACGTTATGAAAGTGAAACGATAATGTTTAAAGAATATGTTAATGATATACAATAAAATTAATATATACAGTTGAAATCAGAATCATTAAACCCCCTTTGAATTTTTAAAAAAATATTTCCCAAATTTTATTTGACAGAGATTTTCACAGTATGTCTTATCATATTTTTTTCTGGAGAAAGTCTTATATGTTAATAATAGAATAAAAGCAGTTATCATTTTTAAACACCATTTTAAGGATAAAATTATTAGCCCCTTTAAACTATGTATATATATATATATATATATATATATATATATATATATATATATATATATATATATATATATATATATATATAATAAACTAATATTATGTTAAAACATGGAATTTATAAGAGTACTTGTATAATCTTGACATTTAATATAAAATATTACACAATGCATACTAAAACTGAAAAGATATGACTTTCATGGACACCCCACCACCCAAATATAAATAAATCAAGTAAAAAATATTTGAATCTATTTGTAAACAAAACTGGTTGTAAACAGTGCTGAACTAGCTTTTATTTTCAGCTACTTTAAGCTTTTTGTATCACTTTACGGCTTCTTAACCCCCTCCGCTAATAAAAAACCCCTGAAAGGTTTAATTATTATATTACTTATTATCAAATACATAAATAATTATATAATTGTAGTTTATTACAGAATTTCCTAAATGTTTGTGATATTCAAGCTAGTATTTTTCATGTACTTTTGAATAAATAATTTCATTCAGATAATCAGAGATAAAATAGTATGTTTATAATTAGATATAATCAGATAATAATCATCTCATTGACATTTACGCACCCTAAAAGCATATAAAATAGAAAAGTCTGCCCTCAAGGTGATAATTATTATAATCTTCCTAAAGACAGGAAATGTGCGTGTCAATAAATACACTTACAGATCAAGACTCAGGTTCGTCTTACACTTTCTATTTAAATCCTATATAGTGCTTTACACGTGGCAGTCAGTGTGTTTTAGCAGTTGGTCTCTGAACCTGCTGCTCAATTGTTTGATAAGACGATTCATAATCAGTTATGAAGGGAACAACAGGTTCATTTTGATCATGTCATGTGTGGAATTCTAAATATAAGCTGTTGCTGAGGTCTCACGTTTCCATTTACTGTCAGAGCGCTGGTGCTAACATTAATGCTCAAAACAAATAGCGTCTACAGATATACCCTTATTTCACACAATTATAACGTTTTGCTTATTATAAGCAATGCTAAAATCAAGTATATGAGAGTTAAATTTTAAAGTCATCAACACATTTAAGCATGTTAGCCAACAAGAAATGCACATGCAGGATGTTCTGCCTAAAAACATTGTCTATTTTAGCTCCTATTTTAATCAAGTCTTATTTTACTCACCTTCTGCAAAGTTCTGGTCATAGATTCGAGGAGGAGTACACATCTCATAATCCATACTCATTGGGTAAGCATGAGGAACGGTGCGGTCGGCCATTCTGACCTCTGAAAAAGCTGCCAAGAGATTACTGGAGTATTTACTGGATTGACAGACTTCAATTACACTAATTTTTGGAGTGTGAAAGAGCGGAAATATAGAAATGGACAGGGGTGGACAGAACAGCAGGAGAAGGGAGATGAGAGACTGCGCACTTGAGAAGGGAACGTGATGAATGTTGCTACAAATAGCTTGTAGTAAACTGCAGAGGATACACATACACACACACTCATGGTGAATAGATTTAGTGGCAGCCTCAGAAAGTAAAACAGCTGATTTAATGCTCCAGGTAAAAAAATAAAAGATTAAATGAAATACTGCTGCTTTAAAAACATTTTATGCTATTTCTTGCACTACTAAAATAGCAGCCTTGCCACTTTTAGGTACATTCAGTAATGGAATAGGTGCCTCAGTGTCTTAACACTTCATGTTTTAATCAGTAGAATAGTTATGGCTTTACGGTATATAGTTATGGTAATGCGATTTAGTTATACTTTTATGGTGTTGAAATAATTGTATTACCAGAAGCTAAATGGTTTGAATGTGTTTGGTTTGACTTTGGTTTTGAATAAGCAGCCAATTACAAAAGCTTGAAATTGAATATTTAATCAGACAGACAGACATTGTTGAAGGTTTTGGGCTCTATTTTAACAATCTAGTCGCAGAGTCCAAAACGCATGGCGCAAAGGCATTAAGGCATGTCCGAATCCACTTATGCTATTCTAAGAATGATAAAACGCACTGCGCTGTGGTGCATGGTCTAATAGTGTTGTGCTTATTCTCTTAACGAGTTATGGGTGTGTTTGAGCATAACATGCATTAAACCAATCAGAGTCTCATTTCCCATTCCCTTTCAGAGTCAGTTGCTTTGCGCCAAGGCACATTTGCTATTTACATGGCAGACTTTGTAAGTGGAAAAACTGAATGGATGAACTAAATGCTTCACTAGCAAGAAAACAGTTTAACTGACCATCTGCAGCAAGAATAAAGAATGAAACTCCTCCATTTACCCTCTTTACTTTCTCTTTATTTTATTTTCATGGATAGGGAAATGGTGTTGTACACTCCACTGAAAACATCCATTAGCCTACATATGTAGCCTACAAAGATATTATCTTATTGCAGTACATCTTGTGTGTTTTAAGCAACGTGTACGTGTTCAAGGTGCACACCTAACGTGCTCTGCGCTGGAATTTAGACCTGCTTTTAGTTGGTCAATGGTGCAGTCTATTTCAGTTCCTCAAAACAGCAATGCCAACAATGCCTTAACACACCTCCATTCTAGACCGGCACACCCATGAGTCCACAAAGTGGCGCAAAAAACGTGAAAATTAGGGTTGCGTTGGTCTGAAAATAGCAACAAATCACGTCAAACACGTCTTGCGCCTTATTGTGCTGAGTGTATAGGGCCCTTTAAGTTTGAAGTAGTTTTCAGTTTCCAAAGCTCAAATTTTAATAGCTTTAAGACTCAGATTACAGCATTATTAGAGCATTCTGTATCACATCATTAGCCATTTTCAATGATTTTATGGGTGGTCCTTAAAGTGTTGCTAGGTGATTAATATGGCAGTATCTGAAATCAGCCCCTATTCCCCTAAACTGTGCACTATTTGACAGAGCAGCCATTTTTAGTGGTGTCTGAAACCATAGTGGACTTTTTGAAGTGCACTCAATCAATCCTAAAATGCACCATAACAGTACGTTTACAACTCACATGCAAGAAAATTCCCATAATGCACTGAGTGAGTCTGCATTGCGAATAAATTTCGATGTCTGACCACAAAACGGCGTCCACAGCAGAATCAAAGTTTCTAAATAATTGATTATTTAATTAAAGTAACCTTTGTATATATGATAGGAATCAAAAAACTTTGTTTTGCCATCATTGTCAGCTCAGTAAGTGTTAAATAGCTATCACAGTGTCTGACTAAGAAGTTAAAGAAGTAAATTCTAATCTGTCTTTATTAACTAGCAAAACAAAAACAAAAGAGCCCACTGCTCTAATTCACTCCATTTAATTAATTTATTGAAGTGGACTATATTACTGGACTCAGGGAAATATGAAAGGGGTACAAGGGGTGATTTTGGATACAGTATATATGTTAGCATAGCTAGCATGCTTTAGCTGTAATCTACACAGTAGATTGCAGGAGTAAACGGCACAAACACTATTCATAAACCGCACCGAACAAAGATTTGGGGAAACTTGCTACATGTAAGTCTACTGAAAATGGTGGTATTCATATCTGTTTGACATGCGATCTTCTGACATGACTTTAATGTGCCAGCTGAGGGCTTGAATGTACAGAGATTATTTACAGGCTGGCAGACAAACTAAAGAGAACCAATTCAAAACAGTTTAAAGCAGAATACATATGACATTATACCATACTAGGCGGTTTTAGCACATTGCTACCACTCGTAGGACATCTTTTATCATTTTGCTATAATATTTTTTAAATTTGTTGGTATGTATTCCCTTAAGGTGGCATGGTGGCTCAGTGGTTAGCACTGTTGCCTCACAGCAAGAAGGTCGCTGGTTCAAGTGTCACCTGGATTAGTAGGCATTTCTGTGTGGAGTTTGCATGTTCTCCCCATGTCTGCGTGGGTTACTCCAGGTACCTCGATTTCCTTGAGTAGTAAATGAGAGTGTATGGGTGTTTTCCAGTGCCGGATTGTGGGTGGAAGAGTATCCGCTGCATAAAACATATGCCTGAATAGTTGCCAGTTCATTCCTCTCTGGCAACCTCTAATAAATAAGGGACTAAGACAATTAATTAATGTATTTCCCAAGGAAAAGTATTAAGTAATGCAAAATAAGTATACTTTACATATAAACATGTATGTCCTATACTTGAATACTTCTTGGGACTAAACTGGCCTACTTTTAGTATATTTCAGTATACTCTTAATTTTATTATGAGTGTAACAGTAGTACACAACATGTCTACAATGACCTTTTACATTTATTCTACATGTACCAGCCTATATGCCTACTGTGCACACAGTAATAAACATACACACTGAAACTAGACTCGAAACTGCAACATTTGGATTACAAGTCTTACTTTTTAACCGTAAGGCCACGAAGTACAATAATATACTAATACTAAACTAGTAGTGTTATACTACAAGTAACTAGTAATTTTCTAGTGTTATACTACTGCAAGTATACTTGGCAATACTTAAGCATAAATATTGCATAAGAAACATAACCTACAGTATCTCCTAAGAAACACTTATTGCATAAACTAACATTATGGTGGTACGGTAAGCTTTTATGGCCGTTTCTGTCAAAAGGCGTACCAAACCATACCACTTTTTCGGCACCCTTTCGAAAGGGTACCAAACACGAGTAAGGGTACCAGAAGGCGGAACCAGACGTGCAGCTGCACACTACAGAGATACGTCATTCGCTCAGGCAACAAGCCAGAATGAAAACAAAGGAACCGACATGTTTTAAATATTCAGCAGAGAGATTACACCATAATTATATATACATATAATAACAAGCCATAGTCGACCCGGGCTCAAACAAACCTTGTCGTCGTCATGATGAACAGCCACAAAGCCAAAAAGAAGAGCAGATTTTACGCTGTGCTCCTTAGTTTTTTACGAGCCAGTCTGAAGCACAAGCGGTTTCGCTTTCTAGCTTTCGCTTGCCGTGCATTTATATTTGAAATAACTAATTTCCTGAGCTCATGATAATAACGTGCGCTTGATTATTGATGTGCTTTTGAAACCCGATCCTGTCAGAAACTGACAAACGCAAGAGTGACACGAAAAACAAAGAAGAAGCCGGAAAAAAAGGAGCACATTATTCTTTCAGCAAACGTGAACAAACTGCCATGTTTAACCATTATTATCACCTTTTTGACTATTATGAACTCGGAATGATATCATTATTTTCTAACGAGAGGCTATACGTGCTGCTAAAGATACATTTAATGATGAGAGGTTTGCACTCACTGTGGGGTATATTTCGTGTTGTTTTGAACCTAAATTAGGACTAAATGTATGCTGTTTGTAGTTTTTCTGTAGGTGGTAACATATCAGAGACTGTAAGAGTCTGTATGTGTTCATATATGTTATTTATTTTAAGTAATTGCAGACGTTACAGTGGGCTATTTAGCACTGTCATTAATCTGCAGTTATAATCAAATTATGTTTATAGAAAAGTTAGTAATAAACATTTATACACAAGTATTTATGTGTATAAAGCATCTGTTTTGTGAGAAGTGCTTCTCATATGATATGTGAGCGACCCGTATAGCTTTACTGTTGACATTTTAACCTTTTAAACTTTGTCGTACATCACGCCCACCAAAAGAGTACCATTGGTACCCTTTTAGCATTGGAAACGCAAGCCTAATAAGATGACTCATACCGACCCGTGCCGTACCGTACTGAACCAGGCAGTAGAAACAAGCCATTAGAAACCTTTTTCAAGAACATAATGATAATTAATGCTGATGATAATTAAATGAATTGCAAAAAACTGAAAAATAAATACATAAATAAATAAAAAAACACTCTCCTTCACTATTGTTAAAGCTGTTTGGACAGAACTGTGTGTAGGTATAGTGTGTCCACTGTCATATTGCAGTGATATAAACAAGTCTCTTTTTTTATTTCCTGACGTTAAAATAGGACTCAAATCCCTCCCATTTTGAGGCCCACTGCAATGTGACATAGGAGTGCGGTTTCCACAACCACTGAACTGATTGATAGCTGCATATTAAAATATCTGTAACTCGTATAATCATATCAACAAGACAGGACGTGCGTAAAGCAACTGGAATTAAAAGATCTGTTCAGCTTGTGTGATCATCAATCATCATTAAAAGTGATCAAGGAGGGGGTTTACAAGTTTAAAAAGTTTTTAAAACAGTGCATGTTTGTAATAAATCACAGTGATTTACTTCAGCTTTACTTTATCACCACAGCTGCATGTCAGTACTATTATAAAAGAGGATGCTTCAATCCCAGTTTGTGGATATTAAATCAGGTGTATTTTGTACATTAACATAATGGATATCCATACAGCAGTGGATATTACCATGTATCCTGTCACATTTGTGTGCAAAAATTTGCAAAGTTCAATGGTGCGCTGTGTGTGTGTGCGCGCGCGCATGTGCTTTGTAATGACTCATCGTTTGTGTGTGACTCATCGTTGCAGAAAGGCTTGAATTAACTCCACAACTAATACATCTAATGACCATTGGGAAAGTTCTTACGGTAGAATTTCTTACAAGCGTTACGTGAGATCTGCTTCCTTCATGTCTGTCACTGTGCTGTTTATCTGACACAGCCAAGGCAGAGATTGTGGCACACTCTGACAGGCGCGTGGGAACAGTGAGTGGGGAGAAACAGCATTAAAGGCACAGGCCACAAAAACAGCTATAATGTGTTCAGAAAATTACAAACTTCTGAAAGGCATAACAAATAATCTGATTGTTGTTTTGAGCTGAATTTTTACAGACAGACTCTGGACACAAAGATTTATCCTAAACCTTGAAAGATTGATAAAATAAAAGAACATAGACTGATAACACACCAACTAAGACTGCTTACCTCTCCAAAATGTCGATGCCCATTCAGTGTGTGCCAGCTCAAGTAAGCCCAGTAATATGTTGTCCGGCTGAGGGCTTGTTCATGGGGATTGACTTTGTATGGTGGTTATCCTGGCACAGTTTTCTCAGCCGCGTTCATTGTCAGTTTCTGTAAAGACTAAAACCTCCAAAATACACACGGGCACATCACCTCACGGGCATCCTAATCTCCGTTGGCATTAAATCTAGCCACTGGAATGCCAAGCACCTACAAACTTAACTCAATCCTGGCAGGTTCGCCGGACCAGACAGCGCAGATTCCAGTGAACACATGCGGGAGGCACTATCATCACAATTAAGGGCTCACGCTGTAATCCAGCCGGTATCTGCGAGAACTGAAATCCGATCAGCTCTTTGGATAAATACTGTACAGAGAGTGATGGAGGGAAGAGGGGAAGGGGAGAACACAGTGGGAGGGCTGCAGTGAAAGAGGCAAATGAACGTCATTCACATAATTATTCCAAAAAAGGTCCGTAGTGGGCTCGTCTGCCAGGGGCCGTCAGTATCACTCTATTTAAGTGCGTAGACAGAAGATTTGCAGAAGAGGCCCAGACTCAAAATGGACATCGCCATCAATCCCCCGTTCCGGCGCATCTTATTTCCTATCTTCTTTCCCCGCCGGCAATTTGGGGAGCATATTACTGAGGCCGACGTGATCTCCTCATTGTACTCCCAACGATCTTCCTTTCTTCGCAGTCCAAGCTGGATGGAAAGCGGAGTTTCTGAGGTGAGCTACAAAAAGTTGGTGTTCAGTGGCTTTTAAAAAAAGTTGTTGATTTCAATACATTTTTTAATATTAGAGTTACTGTATGAGGAAAGTTGAGGAGTCACGCGTCACCCTTAAAGTAAAAAAGAGTTTCTTTTTTTTTTTTTTGTTGAAAACAAAAGCAGATGTTTTCAAGAATGTTGGAAATCAGCAGCCGTTTACCTTCTAAAGTAGCCTAGGGGGAAACAATGTTTGATGATTTTTTAAAATTCATAATTGAGTGCTACATCTTTTAAGAATTTTAATTAGTGAACAGTTGGCTATACTCTCGATTTAATTTGTTAATATGGTAACGTTTTATTATAGCAATAATACTTTTATTTGGATAAAACTTTCATACATAAAATGCAACTCAAAATGCATCACAAGCATAAACAATTATGCAATCTTTGAATTATATTAGCAAATACAAACAAAAATAGAAATCAAATTTTGACAATATGGACAATATTAAAGATTAAAATTGGCCATAGTGTATGTGTGTAAATGAGTGTGTATGGATGTTTCCTAGTACTAGGTTGCAGTTGGAAGGGCATCCGCTGTGTAAAACATATACTGGATAAGCTGGCGGTTCATTCCGCTGTGGCAATCCCTGATGACTAAAGGGACTAAGCGAAGGAAAATGAATGAATGAATTAATATTATAGGTTATTATTGTTTTATGATCTTATTTCAGTTTTTTTTTTTTATAACTAAATAACTATGACGGCAGCTGCGCTAAGTGTCTGCTGTTTTTTAAACTACTGCATGACCGCAAAGGATAAATATTTAGAGATATTGGTAACACTTTACAATAAGGTTCATTAGTTAATGCATTTACTAACATGAACTAATCATGAACAACACTTGTACAGCATTTATTAATCATAATGAACATTTACAAATGCATTATTAACATTCAAGTCCATGCTTGTTAACATTAATGCATCGTGAGTTAACATGAACTATATTATTTTCATTTACTCATTTACTATTTATAGCATTTTCATTAACTAACATTTATTAACATGAATATATACTGTAGTGAATGTATTGTTCAGTGTTTGTTCATGTTAGTAAATGCATTACTTAACATTAACTAATGAACCTTATTGTAAAGTGTGACCGAGAATTTCTTTCATGATTTCTGCCTGATCTTTAAAAGGAAACTGAAACATGCAGCTTTCATTTAGAAGAAAATGATGCTAAACAAAACAAAAATTTATCTTGTTTTTAGCTTTTTAGATGATAACTTATTGATTTGTTTTTATTTTTAATATGGTTGAAAATCAAAGGCATATTTTTGGAGATTTAAAGCTTGCATGTGTGATCACTACAGGAAACTATGAAGCGAAAATTAAATTGCACTCCTATACAAGAAACATGGAAACAATCTGCACTTGTGAATACATTTCACAAATAATTTCAAAGAAATGACAAGAAGCACACTTATTTCAAAGGGATATCTTTAAATTGAATAACTTCATTTGTATTTTGCTGTGAACCATATGCCAACATTATTCATTACCAAAAGCTCACACTTTATTTTGATTGTCTGTTTGTTGAATTTAAGTTACATTGCATCCACATGTCAACTAATTCCCATTAGATTATAAGTAGACTGTTGGGGTTAGGGTTAGTGTAAGCTGTCATGCAGTTGAAAAGTTTCTTACAGTCAGTTAAATATCTGTTTAGCAGCAGTATCAACAGATTAAGCAGTCTAATACTCAAATGGACCATCAAAATAGTATTACCTAATAAAACCATAATAATTGAGTTTTTATATAAAATAATTGTATTACTTTAAATATTGATTATTATTATAAATATAGCAATGAAAACCATGCTGCCTGTATGATTTTTAAAAATTATTAATATTAGAGATTTAAGGAGAAATGTGTTAAACTGTCGAAAAAAGGTCAAATTTCTTTGTTTATATTGTGTCTCCTTAGGTGAAAATGGAAAAGGACCAATTCTCACTAAGTCTGGATGTTAAACACTTTGCACCAGAGGAGCTATCAGTGAAAATCATTGGAGATTTCATTGAAATTCATGCTAAACATGAAGATCGTCAGGTAGCCTACTGTTATCTTACAGTTCACAGTAACCCAAAACCTCAAAGCTGGCTTTGTTGATTCAAATCCACACGTCATCACCATCATCACTATAGCCTTGTGCCACTAGTCAACACGTTATCCACAGTGGAAAATTCACCATCCATTAACACCTTCTAATGTTTCTTTTTACACACAGGACGGTCACGGTTTTGTCTCACGAGAGTTTTTGAGAAAATACCGTGTCCCTGTTGGTGTGGATCCAGCCTCCATCACGTCCTCGCTGTCTTCTGATGGTGTGCTGACAGTGACAGGCCCACTAAAGCTCTCAGACGGCCCAGAACGCACCATCGCCATCCCCGTAACTCGTGATGACAAAACCACCGTCGCTGGCCCTCAGAAGTAAAGATGCTAAACGTCAACTTTCAACCTTTTGTCTCTTGTCGTCACCTGTCTCAACATGCTTATGCTACATTACAAGGAAAATAATCACATTAACCTAATGCTAGCCTACTGACGGCCAAATGTTTGTGTTCTCTTAGAAAACAATTAGGGTTGAAATGGCGTCAAAACCACAGTCTTTACCCAAACGAAATACATTTTCTTTTACAATAAAGTATTGTCTGCTGCTGATGCCACCAAACAAAGGAGCTTTTGTAGCTTATATCTTGCAGCCCGGACTGCAAGACAAAGTATTTGTGAGTAGGAGTCTCTTTCCTTGGCATTTTTGAAAAACAAAATGGATCACTGTATCAAACTTCAACAGAAGAGAGAAACCTATATACATTACTATTGAAACAAGTGTAGAAAACTATGGCTCATTGATCATTTTGGGTTCAAATATGCCTTTGCCTGGATTTGGGACCAGAATACAAAGCTAAAGAGGTGTAAATAGTTTCTTGAAAAAGTGAGTGTTTAACTGTTTTGACCTGATTTGTTTGTGTTGAGGCAGTTTATGATTGCTTTTCTGTTGCTCAACAACAGTGGTGCACTGCTTGACACAGTGGCTACAACGTTAAAAATAGGCAAAATGTTACTTAATGCAACTTAAAACATAATAAATAATATGGTGACTTCACATTACTGCCAAATAAATGTTTCTACAAAAATAATTAAAGCAAATATAAATTATATTTAAATGCTATTTTTCAGAAGGAGATATATTTTTGCATGTGAATAAGTGCCGAGAATTTATATTGTTTACAATCACTGAGACTATTCGGTTTCTTGTTAATGGCTGACTTATTCAACAATGATCAAGCTGCTAATACTAATAATAGTATCAGTCTATTTTTTTTTTTTTTTTTTACAGAAAACTAATATGAGCAAGCTCTGAAAAAAGGAAAATTATCCTTATTTCCTCATATTTCTATCACTCCTTAATAAAGGAACTGTTTAAAAGGATAGTTTGCTCAAATATGAACTTTTATTCACTGTGTACTCGCCCTCAAGTGGCTTTAACATATTATGGGTTTCTTTTATTGAACACTAACTGGAAGTAAGCTGTAAACCTGAGAAGTGGTGACAGAATTTTGGGTGAAAAACTCAATTATCCCCACTAGAGGGAAGAAGTGAGAATGAGAATTTCAAAGCATGGCTGTGCGCTGAACATTGCTTATATTCCTCATTAATCACAGATTACACTGAATTAACCTATTGACTTCATTAAATATTGTTTACTGTGGACTTTCAAAACCAGTGTGACATCAATTTTTTTTAAAGTGTGTGTGTGTGTGTATACACTACCTGACAAAAGTATTGTAGTTGATCACAGTTGTTAGAGAAACAAATATAAACTTGACTTTTAGTTGATTATTTGGAAAAGTGGCAGAAGGTAGATTTTTTTCTGATGAATCATCTGTTCACTGCATCTCAATCATCAAAAATACTGTTTTATTAAAGATGAATGATGAATCCAAAGAATCTTGATGAACTGTGAGAACCCTTATTTGAGTCATTGCAGAGATGTATGGATGCAGTCCTCCAAGCTCATAGGAGTCATACACAATATTAATTCTTATTCCACAGCACTATGACTTTATATTCTATACTGCACATTATTTCCGTTAAGTGACAAGACTTTTGTCTAAGAGGTCTTTGCCTTACATATAGGTGACTTTTGATGTCAAATGATCAACTAGATCAAGTTAGTATTTGTTGTTTCTGAAACGTGGATAGGCTACAAGACTTGTCAGGTAGTATATATAGTTGAAGTCATTGTTAGCCCTCCTAAATTATTAGCCTCCCTGTATTTTTTTCCTCCAATTTCTGTTTATTGGAAAGGAGATTTTTTAACACATTAGCATAATTTTAATAACTAATAACTGATTTCTTTTATCTTTGCCATGATGACAGTACAAAATGTTTTTAAGATAGTAATATTCAGCTGAAAGTGCAATTTAAGGGCTTAGTTAAGTTGCAAAATATAATAAATCAGCTTGGTCTTGATGATATTTAGAATGATGATAGAAAACATGTATAGAGATATTCCAGTTCCATTTTAATGGAGGTGTCATTAAAATCATAATGACAGCTGAAATGTATTTAAATAAATAAATGAATGAATAAATGGATCATTGGATGATTAAATAATGTAGTTTAATTATATATATTTAATCGACGCAGTGGCGTATTAGGTAGTGCTGTCGCCTCACAGCAAGAAGGTCGCTGGTTCGAGCCTCGGCTCAGTTGGCATTCCTGTGTGGAGTTTGCATTTTCTCCCTGCGTTCACGTGGGTTTCCTCCGGGTGCTCCGGTTTCCCCCACAGTCCAAAGACACGCAGTACAGGTGAATTGGGTAGGCTAAATTGTCCGTATGAGTGTCTGTGTGGATGTTTCCCAGAGATGGGTTGCGGCTGGAAAGGCATCCGCTGCTTAAAACGTGCTGGATAAGTGGCGGTTAATTCCGCTGTGGCGACCCCGGATTAATAAAGGGACTAAACCGACAAGAAAATGAATGAATGTTTAATTATTTATAATTTAATTATTTACATTTATTTAAATTTGTTTATATTTAATTGTTTTATTATTTAATTTAATTTTATTTATATATATATAATATACTAAAATATATTTATTTACCCCTTTTTTTAAGATGGCTGCCAAAGTACTTCTTATTGTAAGGATGATATTTGCTTGAATTAACCACTTAAATTACTAAAATATGTTATAAAAATCTGTTGACAATGCGAAAGAACTAAAAACATCTTGTCAGCTGATATCAATAAAGCCATCATGGACAAATATGATAAGGTTATCATTCTAGGTTCATTTAAAAATGTGTCGAGTACATAGTAAAATAATGCAGTGCAGTGCTGTAAGTAACATTTGACAAGGACAATTACCAAACCACATAGAAATTGGGTAATATATTTTCTTTTCAGTGATTTAGGAAAAAATAGACAGCTGCTTGAGCAGAAATAAGTAGTTGCTATTAGTATTTTAATCATATTTGACTGACTTGGATCACTCTGAGTCTGAGTTGAAACTGAAGCTGATTAAATTTTGTAATGAGAATTCCTCAGTCAAATGCATTAGTTTGTCTCTGTTTTTTCAGTTTCTCTCACACATTGAGGCTCTGAAGTCTCTTCTGTTATTTCTTGTCTATTTTGAGTGCCTTTGAAGTCCATTCTGTAGCAGGAATCTGGCACACATTTAGTGTGTGGAGGATCAAGCTCCGGTTGGTGTCCAGGAAAGCCTCTTGGCTCTCTCTTTGGTCCTGAAAAAGTGCAAAATATAGCTTTTTAAACGGAAGCATATATATTTAGCTGAATATTTGTTACAGTAAATATGCTGAATTTAGAAAATATACTTGTGTATATGGGCTGAATGTCATCTTTCTTATAGCCGGAATGATATGTGGTTTCAAAATAGTGAGAGAACTGTGAAGAGTAACAAATTCAAAATTATTGTACTGTTTAGCACAGAACTGCAAACAAAGTGTACTATATTTTTATGCACACATAGGGTCTTAAATAAAGTATTATAAAAGTATAAAATTAAAAATAAAAGTATAAAAGTTGATAAATCAATTTAGAGAAATTTAAAGCCCCTAAAAGCTGTTAAAAGTCTTAAATGATAATGCAAGGTAATAGATTTTGTATAAGCATGCTAAAGTTTGCCTGAATTTAATCTGTGAATATCAGGATGCTATGTAGTTAATAAAATTGATAAAATCTGGCTGGAGTTGACATCATGCTGCTTTTTTTTACTGCATTAATTAAGGAAACACCATTACTTCAGCTGTTTTAGGTGCCACCTGTGGTATTAGTATTTTTATTTAGTATATGAAAAATGTTTTAGTTTAGCATTTTTTTTTTTACAATCAGTATTTATTAAATGTACTATTAATTAAAATGTCGCCAATGTTACCTGTTGAAACCAATAGCGGCGAAGAGGTCTTAAAATATATGATAAGAGTCTTAAAAAATCCTCTTAAAAGGTATTGAATTTCAATCTCTGATTCCTGTATATAGCCTGATACTTGCAAAGTCGTACGCACAGCCATTTAAATATACTTTATTTCATAGCATGCATGATTACAGTCACTTGTGCAAAAATCATTCAAAGCACGGGTGCTTGTACACTGTAAAAAAAACTTTAAATTTACAGTTTTTGTATTTTGTGATTCACTAGGGTTTTCCGTTTATTTACGATTGTGAATTGCATTATGGGATGTTGATCCAACTGCAACCCAGACAACATATTACTGAAACTATGCAGTTTATTCATAGGGATAATGCCTATTTTAAAATATTTATAATTTCGGTGCATATGCCACCATCAGCCTGTCTGAGCAGACTAAAAAAGACTTGATTATTTGCCACAAAATGGCAACAGAGTCCGCATAATAAGACCTTAGAGTGAGAAAAACCTCAGCGTTTTCTCAACCTCAACGTTTTTTTCACACTAATGCTGAACAAATCATTATAAATCAGGTAATTGACATTCTAAGTCAATCCCTCTCTTTTGTATTTTGTATGCTGTATACCAAACTGGTAGTGTTTGCTTTGCTTTTGGCTTTTTAAGGGTTAATTATTGTAATATCCTGATTGCAACAGAGAAATACCAAGAAATGTGTGTAAATTGCTGGCATTTCATGCCATTCAGCCTTACAATCTTAAAATGTGACCAAAATGTTTTGTCATCTCTTTAGATATTATGCAAAAGAATCATTTAAATACTAGCTCTAAGGTGATGTTTGTGAACTGGCAACTGTTTCTGCTGTTCTGATCATCAGCTGCAGGTGTGTGTAAACGTTTCTCATACAAAAGGATTTTTGAGATTCCCTGTGTTTGATTTTTTTTTTTATAGAAGCCGTCAAACTTTTTATAGCTGTCGAACTGTTGTATAAATGCAATATCACACTTTTAGCAGTGCAATATGGCTGTATAACAGCACTGTGTGGGGCACTAAGGCACTCAGCCTGCGGCCTTGAGCCAATGCATGCCTCTTACCAGTGCCGATATACAGTTATATTGCACTGCTACTCATGCAATATTGCTCATATAAACCATTAAAAATGAGCTTTTTAAGTATAAAACTTGTTGGAAGAAAGACCAAGCTTACATAACGCAATTAAAAAGCATAAATAAATAGGGGGAAAATAAAAACATGAATCACAAAATACGGAAAACAGCTAATTTACTGACATTTTTACAGTGTATATTGCTGGAACAATGAAAAATTTACATGAAATTTGAAAAGAAAGTACATGGAGCAAAATAATCAACAACTGACTGTGCACAAAAAAAAAAAGTTTCAAAGACTTTTTTAGCTCATAACATTTGATAAGAAACAAAAACACAGACCAAGAATGAATACTCTCAAGCACCCGTGTTTCATACACATTTAAATGGAGCACTCTGAAGAGCTTTCAAGAAAGTATATATTCTGTAATCTCATAAATATGGACCTTATGAAGGCTTAAGGGTGTTTAACTAAAATTAATTTTACTTTGAGCTTTGAGTGCACTTTATAAAATAATGCACTAAAAACACTGAACTGTAGAATTTAATGTCTACCAGTTTTCAACATAATCAAAATATCTTCTTTTGTACTTAACAGAAGAAAGAAACTGAAACAGGTTTGGAACAAGTGGAGGGTGAGTAAATGATGACTGAATTTAAATTATTGGGTGAACTTTGCCTTTAAATACTAATCAATTAATAATCAATTCCCTATTGGAAAAAAAATGTATAGAGTTTTTTTTTTTACTGATTGTTACACTTTAATATTCTTCAAACATACACCTCCAAACATAATTCCATTACATCAGTAGTATGACCAACTAAATATGCTTAATATTAATTAATAATTTAATGATGTATGAGTGACCCATCCTTCATTCACGTTTAATTTTAAGACTACTGCCTTACTCTGCTCCCTGTAAATGCACTGTTAACCTGACTTCAACTATCCAACATAAAAATAACCATTTTTTTAAAAATTACTGATTACTTATAAGATTACTTATGAGAAAAGCACTACAACACCATGGGCCACTTGATATTTTATAATTACTTAAATTCAATCATTTTAAAATGTGACTTTGCTTTTCTGATGTTTCCAAATTAAGTGTTTTATCTAATATTTATACCCACCTGACTCGGAAGGGGGCGTCGTGACGCTACAGTACGCCGTGCGTCAAAACTCTCTTCAGACCAGTTTCCAATGAGTGTGGAGTTTGAGTACAAGTCCTCGTTGGTTGAGCATCGCCATCCATACTGGCGGAATTTCATCTCATCTGTGAAATCGTACCAGACCTCAGACTGACCAGAGGCCCGAACCATGTGATGGAAAGCATGGCGGTTCTTCATCCAAGATAATACCTGGCTTTTATTGGACATCATCTTTAAAGAGCCTTGAGGGATAAAATAATGTCCATTTCTTTATTCAATTGTTTTGTTCACAGTAATCAGAATAAACGCTGTAAATTACAAATAAATATATACATACAAATTTCTATCAATTAACATACAAAAATATTAGAAATCTCATTTTAATTATTTTAATTAAATCAGTAATTTAATTACAGTACAGTTTGATTCTTGGCATTAAAATCATTAAATATTTAAAAAGTGAGTAACCTAAACCCATTGTCATTAAAGAGGCAAGTTGACTTTGCACTGTAAAAAATTACTTAAATTTTAAGCTGAATCAAATCAATCTTAAGAGTCCATTGCACTTGTATTATGTTAATCTGACATAAAACAGCTTGCGTAACATATAAAAGTTAGAACATGATTAAATTAGTTTAATAAGTTACAATGACCTAAAATATAAGCTGTCAGCTGTCTATTGATCATATTATTTTTTTACAGTCATTTGCTGCGTAAAACACTGAAAAGCCGGAATAGTTAGGGGTTAATTTCTTTGTGGTGATCCCAGATAAATAAGAGACTAAGCCAAAGGAAAATTAATGAATAACTTTTATAATTATGCACATTAATAATTTTAAGTCAACTAGTTTACTAATTTAAAAGTAAATAAATAATGGATCGTTTTAGTTTAGCAACCATTAGGCAAAAATTACTGGCCATTATAGTTTCAGTTAAAATTAAAACAATTTCAATTTCAATTTTTTTTTAGCAGGGAACTTTTTTTTTCCAGCAAGAGGATTTATCTTTAGAGTTGCTAAGCAACGCCTTTGAGGTTTCATTCATTCATTTATTCATTCATTCAAACATTCATTCATTCATTTTCTTCTAGTCCTTTCATTAATCTGGGGTCACCACAGCAAAATGAAGCGCCAATTATCCAGCATATGTTTTGCATGCGCTTATTCCAGCCATAACCCATTAGGAAGCACACACACACACTTTCACATTCACATATACAGTACACTACGGCCAATTATTCAATTCACCAATAGCGCATGTCTTTGCAGCGTGTGGGACACCGGAGCACCAAGAGGAAACCCACGCGAACGTGTAAATTATGTACATTATTTTAACTAAATAAAAGTCTTTAAAATAATAATAACGCGTTCGTAATAATAAATGTCTTTAAAAATGTTTTTCAAAAGTTCCCAGCTTAACCAGCCCACACATACTTAAAGTTTAGCCAATAGTCGCCATTAGGTTAACGCTTACTGTTTGCCTATTTATATAATGTAGTCTGAAGTTAAATCCTTTTATATCATGTACTCACCTCGCTACAGGAATGTCTAGTGTACAGGATAGTAACTTGAGCGTGATGAACTCTGTGATGGTCTTCATGGAAACGCATGACGCAACTAGAAAACAATACCTGCTGCTGAAATCGGATCGAGTCACAAATGCAATCATCCCTCCGTTGAGTAGTAATTGATTTTCTCTTTAATCCCATTTAAAACTCTCCTTACCAAAACAAAACGTGGTAATGAGCATTATCACATGCAATAATCACTTATGATGACATTGACTGTACGGACTCTTCCTTCTTAAACTTTTTTCTTATATTCTTAAAATATTCACATTTTTATCATCAAATGAAATCTATTGAAACCAAAATATAAAGCATTTATTTTGGGACTGTCCTGCTACTAAAGCTTTGTAAAACCTAAAAAGTTAAGGTAACTCAAACCATTTGTGGAAATCGATTGCAACAAACTGTTTAAGTCCACTAAGTCATCCTAATGAATACTGTGAACTTTATCCATTTGAGTAAACAAAGCAATTTGAGCACAGTACAACCCAATAAATGAAGAGAACTCAAACCAACTGAGTACTGTTAAACTCAATAAGTTAAGGCAACTCAAACTGTTTGTGGAAACTGATTGCTACAAACTATGTGAGTAAAAAAAACAAACTAATATGAGTACCATGATCTTACTCCATTTAAGTTAAAGTGATGAGGTATTCATTAACTGAGATCAAAACTCTTTTCAAATGAGTAGGAATAACATTCTGTAAATTTTGAGTTCACTCAACTCATTTCAGTTGACCAATGGGTTTTACAGTGTGAACGTGCTAATTGTTCATGTGTTTTGTGCTTTTTCTTTGTCTTTTAAACACAATGTTCTGGATTTATGTTAACAACAAGTATAACCATGCAATTTTTGTAAATGCACCAACGGCAAACAACAAGTTCTGAATTTGTTATTTACCAGTTTATTTAAGTGATAATAAATCTACAGTATTTGCAGCATTTTCAGTATTTTTCTTAATATGCTAATTTATTTCTCTCTCCTGTATTTTTTGTCTTCGTTTATTGTCTGGATTGTTTTTCGCTATTCCATGTTATATTGTCATTTTCACAGCAATTTGTATTAAAGAAAGTTATTAAAGAAATGTTGTTTCCTCTGTATGATGGAATTGCAACAAAAATACTTTAAAGAAGTAGCAGCAGCAGCTCAGTTTTATTAAAATTACTGCACCAAAAACATTTGTATACAGTGTTTGGGTTTATCTGAATGCTAATCATAAAAATTAAGTTGCTTAATAGAGATAATAAATGTATAGTGACACCATAAAGTGCAGAGTGAAATTAAAAATCATGCTTATTTTTCAGCTGGAGGCAACACATGACCCTAATAGCAGTAGAAGTCCCATTTCTGAAAGAAAAATACAATATGATTAAACTGAAACATCTCTTAAATAAATAGTTTTAGCATATGTTTTTGTTTATTGTAGACAAAAGGAGATACACACATCAGTCTTGACCTCAACCTCAGCAGGCATTAACGCATGAGTCTCTTCAACAACACTGCTGGGGAAGAAACCCAGGCGAGCCTCCTGCTCTCCATAATACGACCCTTGAACCTTCACAAACAATAAACATTCTTAATGACTTCACATGTGAAAAAAATTATAGCACATTTGAAATATAATCATAGATTTGAAGTTTGGATTACTAAAACAATACTGCCCCAATAATAATGCATAGCTTGTACTTACACTACCAGCCCAGAAAAGGTTTCCACGGTCTTTCAGCATGGCGTACACATAGACAGACTGGCCCTGCTGGATAGGAATGAAGCGACAGTCTTGTGGATAATAATCCTGCAGAGCTTTAGCGATGAGAATGGGATCTGACAATATAGAAAATGCATAGTTTACACAACATGTCCACTCCACTTAAAGCTATATCTTATATTATGTATTTTTAACTCTTTTACTTCAGTTTAAAATTTTACATATAGGTTCCAAGAGGACAAACATTAAAATAGTCATAAAAATATAATATATTGATAGTTTTGGCTTGGCATTGGTGCTGATGATAACTACATAAAAATCATTTAACTTTAAATACCATTACAACATAATTCAACTAAATAAAAAAAAAATCATTAGTTCTCAGAATTTTAATTCTTAATGTTTAAAGTTACAGTTTGTTAACATATTTCCTCAGTTTTGTTCTATGGAAAAAGCTATAAGTAAACTCTAAGCAGATTTTCAGAAACTTCTACAGTTCAGGAAAGTCTGTGATTAGAAGAAATAATAATTTAGATTTTTTTTGAGCAGTGTCGCATAAAAAATACCACTTACTCACATTAACATGATTGCAAGGGCATAGTTTTATGTTTATTTAGCCTGCATTGCTCAAAAATGAGAACTTGATTTTTATGTCAAACTTACTCTAATAAAATCAAAAAACAAACATATCAATAAGGATGTACAATGGCTAAAGTTTATTAAATCCTAATTTTCAGAGCTATTTAAGTGTACAAAAAAAGTTTAAATGTATACATTTCCTTATGATAAACTTTAAAAGTCATATGAAAGCTATTTCTCAATTACTGCATAAAGAATCATGGAGTAAAACAAATAGGTTGTTAATTCTTGGAAAATTGGCCTATTTTATATGAAATCTAATTTAAAGAAATCATCATTTCATGCCTGTTCAAGTTCATTAAGCAATATCAATAAAGTGCAATGCAAAAATACAAACATTCTTAAAATCTCAATAAATATCTAAAAGTTAAAGATGCATGTTTGAGTTACTCACGACTACACTCTGAATCGGCGCATAGCTTCTTGTCGGAGAGTTTTGGCATGTGTCTGCCAGCTTGAATCGCCAGTGGCAGGAAGCCACAGAGCACCAGCAGAAAAGTCCAGTTTGCAGAGTGTTTCTCCATGTCAGTGTGTGTCTGATTCTTAGTTAGTTTGAGCAGGACTAAAGCTCAAGTGGGAGGAGCCCAGCTGAGGCCTCACCTCTCATATTTTTTGAAGACAAGTACGCCCTACTGTATCTCTGTTGTAGAATACAAATCAATTCATTTAATCAGCGAATTTAGGGAACAACTTGAAAACCGTTTTAATTTCAATTGGTTTTTGATACACAGAGTGTGTTTACGGCTCAAAGTTAGCTCGTAATTGTGTTTGGGTGTAATGAGTTACAAAGCATTTACTGTAATTAAATTAAGTACACTGCTAACAATTTCCTGTAGAATTTACAGTAACTTACCAGCAGCAGATTGCCAGCAATTTACTGTGTATCAAAATTACAGCAACATACTGTAATATTATATTATATTATGTAATACAGTACCATTTACCACATATTTACTGTAAAATATATCATCTTCTTCTCATCTGTAATACAATTTCATACAATAAAAAAGGCTTCAATAACAATACTTCATTGTCCATTTAGCTGTTTACTGTAAAACTAGTCAAAAAGTAAATTTCAGTATTTCCTATGATTGGCCAGGTTTCAATCTCTTTTTAACTGTATTTTGATTCACAGCAAATTAAAAATATAATTTAAATGGCACCAAAAGGATATTTACCAGAATGCAACTTTAAAAAAACAGTAACATACAGCATAACTGCCATACAGTAAAATACTATTCATATTGCAGTTATATACTGTGAAATTCACAAAGATGTAATAGAAAACAAATAATGTGTAATTATCACTCAAGTAAGACAAAGGTGGTTATATGTAAGGGTACTTATTTGTGCAATGCAACAAATGCTGAGAGATGAAACAGGTAAGTAGTGTAGCAGAGGGAGAGCAATCTCACACACAGTTCAAATGGCAAGTTTTAGATCTTCAGTATTACACCAACAAAGCTTCAATCGTTTCCCTTGAGCAGGTGGGTTTGCATCCACAGAGGAGTACAAGAGGAAGAGGGAGAGCCGATCTGACTTCGATTCCAGCCGGTGAGTGAATGAGGGAGGTGAGTTCATATTGTGGGTGATTACAAGTGCAGGTGTGGGTGATCAGTAATCTGGTGATTGTTCACGGGGTGTGGTGAGTGGTGGATGTGAGGTAGAGCGGTGATTGGGGCTTCAGAAATGAGCTGAGGGTGTGACAGATGTAACACTGTTTATAAAGCTGCAGTCACACTGCACTTTTCTCCCCACAGACTTCCATTCATACGCACGCTAATAAGACAGACCGGAAACGCAAGCACCTGCGACAGGTTTTGCAGGTTGCTGCATTGCAAAGTTGTGAAATCGCATCACTTTACTGCGTGACACTTATCGGGGATCAAAACATGCTGTACAGAAGTTTAAAATATGTACCAATCTTCTTTTTTATTTTATGTCTAATAATCTTGTTTAATCCCGACCCTTTTCGCAGCGCAGTATGACAGAATTTCGCAAGCTCAAACTCTAAAGTGACTGAGGCATAATTCACAAAAATGTATTGAAATTACCCCAACCTAAACAAGTTTACATGCAAATCAACACAGCAGTGCAAGTTAGTTCAACAGAAAAAACTCGTACATGGTTGGAACAGGTGAGCAAATATTGTGTCAATTTACATTTTTGGGGTGAACTATCCCTTCAACATGCTATTTACAATAAATTAAGAGGGAAAAACCTGCCATTTACAACCTTAGTCGAATGTAAAAAAAAAAAATACAGGTTAACACATTTACATGACTACATGATACACTGTCTGCTTATTAACTATAATCGGGTTAAGATTGTGCATGTAAACACATTCATTGACTTATTTGTTTGTCCTCCAAAAATCTATGGTTTTATTTTTCTTACAGCTAAAAGTCCAGGTTTTGTCAAGCGTCCTGTAGCTATACTAACCAGCTTCATTCATGGTCTGCAAAAAAAAAATAAGTCCATAAAAACAGGAAATACTGCTCCAAGTTTCATAGGCTGTCTCTTGTGTAACTATTTTAAATCCTAAATGAATTCATTGTTGCCATGTTAAGGACCACAGGTCCCATAGCGCTTTTCAGATACTGAGGCCTTTGCCAGAAGTTCAACAACCCATCCATTCACAGCAGCAAAAATCAACACTGGTTTAAAAGATTCCTCAAGTTTGGATCACGTCAGATTATTACAAACACTTCACCATAACTAAATGTAAACTGCATATGTAGAAGTCAAAACTTTATCATGTCCAGTTATTTATTTATGTTCATCATGCCTGTGTGTAAATCTTCTTTCTCTGTGGCTGGTGGCGTATAGGTGGATTAGGTTAGTTAACCACAAAGTAGCAGCACTGAGCAGGTTACCTAACAGCCTCTCAATGGGTTCTTTTATGATCAGAAAAGAGCCAAGAGTGTCTTTTCTGTGCAGCATTTTGGATAGAAAAGTATTTGCTATAATCAAAAAAATTTTTAGATTATAAGCATGTTGTATTTTGTAAAATAATTCTAAGCACAGTTCTTTATATTAATATATGTCTATAGTATTTTTAAAATACAAATATGTATTTTATTCCCTATATCGTACAATTGAAACACAATTTCAATATACATTTGTTTTCTTTAACTATGTAAATTTACAGGGGCGACGCAGTGGCGCTGTCGCCTCACAGCAAGAAGGTCACTGGTTCGAGCCTCGGCTGGGTCAGTTGGTGTTTCTTTGTGGAGTTTGCATGTTCTCCCTGCGTTTGCGTGGGTTTCCTCCAGGTGCTCCGGTTTCCCCCAGTCCAAAGACATGCAGTACAGGTGAATTGGGCTGGCAAAAATTGTCCGTATTGTTTGAGTGTGTATGGATGTTTCCCAGAGAAGGGTTGTGGCTGGAAGACCATCCGCTGCGTAAAACATGGATAAGTTGGCGATTCATTCCGGATTAATTAAAAATTCATTAATAAAGGAACTAATCCGAAAAGAACTTGAACCAATTCATTTACATGTAGCCTAAAAAACATTTTTAATTTTATTTTATAGAGAAATAAAGAAATGCAACAACCTTTTGTTTAACAAATATTTTTGAATAACAAGACTTAATCTAAATAATTAACAAATAATGAGACCGAAACAAATATTGTATAACAACCATTGTTATACAATAACTTGCCTAATTACCCTAACCTGCCTAGTTAACCTGTTTAACTGAGTAACCTAGCTTTTAAAGGTCACTTTAAGCTTTGTAGAGTGTCTTGAAAAATATCTAGTAAAATATTATTTACTGTCATCATAGCAAAGATAAAATAAATCAGTTATTAGAGATGAGTAATTAAAACTATTATGTTTAGAAATGTGTTGAAAAAATCTGCTCTCCGTTAAACAGAAATTGGGGAAAAAAAATAAACAGGGGGCTAATAATTCAGGGTGGCTAATCATTTTGATTGCAACTGTACATAACTAGAACATAAAATATAAAACATATACAATATTAATCAATTAGTTGAAAAAAACGGAATATTGAACAGTCAAAATAATAACACCATTAGGGAAATAAAAAGATCAGAGAAGAGAAAAAAATTATAGGTTTTTGCGATTGCAAAGGTTAATTTAAGATGACTTATTCGATTAGATCTTAAAAGCAGAGCATATTTTAAAGCTTGTTTTTAAAGCTTTCTTTATTAGTCTATCCTAAAATAAAGTTTATACAACTCTCCATATTTTTAATGAAGACCACAAAGGCAGGTTTACTATTTAAGAATTCATATTTGAGGATGTAAAATTTGCGCAAGAAACAAGTTATCTCACCTGACGTCAGCGTCACCTGTCTTGTTTGCGTGTACTCGGCTCCTCCTACTAAACTAATGACGCAACGAGAAAGGTGTGGTTTAATTTGCGTTGCAGCAGCGCTTCCAAGGCGACCTGTAGTACCTCCCTCAGCTCCCTGTCACCTTGCATGCTAAGTTTGGAGCAGGAACTTCCCAGGTAGGAAAAACAAAGCTTTACTTGTTCTCAATAGTCAAAAGGGACATTTATATTATCAGCAGACGCCTCCATACTGACTTTACCAGAAACTCATTTTGATTATTACACATTCTTTTAAGTCATGTTTAGTCGTTTGTGGTTGACAAACTGTTTGGTTGTTTGTTGTTACAGATATAATAGTTAATTCAATACTGTTAATATCATACAATACCATAACATGTCAATACTAAACATAACTAGAGGTTTTGGTTTACACGGCATCTATTTATATAATTTATGTATTTCATTATGTAAGTATTTGCCTGTGTTTTTCCATTATGGTTCACAGACAGAAAAGCATTCTGTTTACTTCAGAAATAAAGCCATTTTCAGTTATGCTAAATATGTAAAGTGGTAAAATTGCAGCATTAAGCAGGTCACATATGTCTTAGAAGTTACCTGTGATCTTCAAAAAATCCTGTTTTAGCCAATTGTAAGGGCTTAATTCACTAGCGACCGAGGAGTCTTGAATGACTACTGGAATGCGAAACATACACTGAAACTTTGTTGTGTTGGTCAGGTCTACAAAAGAAGCTGCTAGACAACAGAGACGCCCAAAGGTAATACCGGATTATGTGTTGTTTCCTAGCACACACATTTAGAGAAGAAATCCAAGCTCTATACAGTCCAGGAGGATTAAATATTGCTACTGAATACACCTTTTTGCTTTGTGTCATAAATATCAGGGTGAGTTCCAACACAATTGTCACCTGTTCTAACATGCTTTTGTCCCTAGGAAGATTTACAAGGAAGAATCACGATAGAACAACCAAATCAACTGATGTTTCCACCCTTCGAAGAACTTTTTGCATCAATACACCCTATATGTGACACACACTAGTGTTAATCATATTTTTAAGGGCATACAAAACCAAAAAAACAGGTGTTTTTAGTGAACTATAAAAAAAAGTTGACAGATTTGACTTGGAGAGATGCTGATAGAGTATTTTTGACTATACCAGGACGGTCATTAAGAGTCCTGCTCTGCTGTGAATTCAAGGAACGAACCAATGTTTTCTTCTAAGAAGGAGAACCTGCCCTCTCCCATCCTGGAGGATTCTTTCTTCCCTTTCTCTTCATCTCACTCCGGCTCCAGCCACCGGATCATGGCTCCTACTATGGGAGTGGATGATCTTCTGGCCTCACCCCAGGATGACAGAAGCCCTACTTTGCTGGAAAAGGACCTGATCTTGGCTGCGGAAGTGGGTCAAGCTTTGCTGGAGAAAAACGAGGAGTTGGCCTCTCAGATAATGCAGATGGAGAGTGAGATGGAGGTATGAATGAGGAAGACTGATGAAGGCTTAGTAAAGGTTCATTCACACCAAAAATGATAACTCTAAGGTTTTAATGATCAATGTAACTCTGTGAGATTAGATAAGTCAACAACTACTGTATAGCGATAATGACACAGAGAAATGATATAAATCTTCAAATATTTAAAGCAGCAGATAACATGATGTAACTGCAGCGCATGTTTTAAATAAACAAAACATTTTCGCTCACCAGTGTGAAAATCAATATAGATATTACACATAGTACATGCGTTCTTGGTGTGAATGGGCATTATCTCTGATACCCTATATTGTTCAATTAGTCTAAACTCAAATAAGGAATGTAGTTAGCTTTAGCTCAAACTTAATTAAAAGCTGTTTTTATGTCTATAATTGAGATATGTTTTGATTTATTATCTAAGCAGGGAAATTTGTCTTAATTATTAATTCAAATCATTATATAATTTCTCAAAAACATTATAACGCGTTTTATCTACTACTCTATGTCTCTCACAATAAATAAATAAATTTAAGCTTTATACCTTATTTATCATTGCAATAAAACTGTTTAATATTTTACAGATGTATACTACTGATACATTGTATGGGGTCAATTAGATTTATTTTTATTATTTATTTTTAAATTGTTCAAATTGTGTACATATATTTTATTGAAAATATATTTTATGTTGCTATACGAAATAATATCAGAGACACAAATATTTAGAATGTTTTAGATATTTTAAACTGTCTATTCATTGAGAGTGATGGGAAAAAATTCTATCACTATTCATTAATTTATTACTTTACCCTTCAGTTTAGTCCCTCAGGGTCCCAAACAGCGGAAACACACAGTCTTCTACAGTTAATGATGCATTCAAAAAGAAATTAATTCTCTAAAAGAATTACAGTTGAAGTCAGTATTTTTAGCCCCCCTGTTTTTTTCCCCAATTTCTGTTTAACAGAGAAAATATTTTTTTAACACATTTCTAAACACAATAGTTTTAATAACTCATCTCTAATAACTGATTTATTTTATCTTTGCCATGATCACAATACATAATTTTTTTAAGACACTTCTATACAGCTTAAAGTGACATTTAAAGGCTTAACTAGGTTAATTAGCAGGTTAGAGTAATTAGGCATGTTATTGTATAACGATGGTTTGTTCTGTAGACTATTAAACTGCTTAAAAACTGCTAGAAAATAAGACTTTCTCCAGAAGAAAAAATATTATCAGACATAATGTGAACATTTCCTTGCTCTGTTAAATATCATTTGGGACATATTTAAAAAAATAAAAAAAGAAGCAAAGGGGTCTAATAATTCTGACTTCAACTGTAAATAGAACCAGCCAAGGTATTTTGGCTTAAAATAACAAAACTCCTATTGTGTTGCTAAGAAGATACAGTTGAAGGCAAAATTAACTCTCCAGTGAAATTTATATATATTTAGCATATTATGTTTAAGAACAAGGACATTTTGTTTAATATATATATAATAAAATAATTTTATGGCCCATATTTTTAGCCCCCTTAAGAATGTTTTTTCTTTTTAATTGGCTACATAAACCACTGTTGGCCAATGACTTGCCTAGTTTGCCTAGTTAACATATTTAACCTAATTAACATACTTTAGTTAAGCCTTTAAATTGAACTTTAAGCTGAATAATAGTATCTTGCAGAATAACTAGTAAGATATTACATACTGTCAACATGGCAACAACAAAAGAAGTTACTAGAAATTTCTTATTAATACTTTTAGATAAAAAAAATGATGAATAAATCTTTTCTGCATTAAACATCACTTGAGATATAGTTTACAGAATTAATAATTATTAATTAACATAAGGGCTAATATTTTTTTCTTCAACTCTATATTTACTGTTATAGCATTCGGTGCAAATGCAGAAAAAAAAAATCCCATCAAGAACCTGACAATAAACATTTAGCATAAAGAACCACTTTAATGTATGTGAATTAAGACATAGTTTGTTCTTGTGTGTACAACAGGCTATGCAGCAGGAAAAACATATGGTGCAGCGCCGTCTAGAGGTGCGGGACCTCGAGGCAAGTCAGCGGGAAGCAGAACTCCAGGCTGACATCTCAGCGTTGCGTGCGCAGTTAGAACAGAAGCACATTCAGGGTCGTGACCGGCGGCGCGAGGAGAGCGAGCAGCTCATTCAGCTGTCAAACCACAACCAAAAACTTGTGGAACAGCTGGCAGAGGTGACCAGTCAGAAGCTTTAAAGTGATATGTCATGAACAGTCTTTTTTTTTTTACACACAGTTCTCTGAGGTCCACTTGTAATGTTATTAAGATTTTTACAAAAGCATAATTTGGAAGAAATGATTTCCATTCAAAATTTTCCCATCCTGTTTTTTTACCATCTGAATCTGAGTTGCATACTGTAAAAGAGAAAAAGTGAATCTTTATTTGTGCAGTATGATTAGTTTATAGCTTAAAAATGTAAAAAAAAAAAACATCTGAGATGAGATGAGGTTCCAGATTCTGGAAAGGACATCTGTGTCCATTGATTTAAACTTCTGCATGCGTGTTGGACAGCTTACGTCCATCATAGATTTACAGTGCTGAGATTTAGCTTGAGATTTTGATTCTTAAACACTGAGCAAAATCAATTGGTATGTAATAAAAGACAAACCACTAGTTTACTAGTAATACTGCATATTAAAACTCAGTATATTTGTATTTCGTATAAGCATCATTGAATTGTTACCTTGTTTAAAGATGTATCCCCAGTAAAATTTAGTCAATAATAGGTCAAGTTGTAACTGATATAAACTTAAATGGAACGTTTATTTGTTCATTTCAAAAGTTGGATCAGAAGGAAGGCAAAGTAGAGAGTTTTTCCACAATCTGGCACTTCACAAAATCTTGTTGTCTCCAGACATTTTAGTTTCTGTGTAGAAACTTCAATATAAGCTGGATTTAAACTAGTGCCACTATGGATTTTAGTCATTATTTTGCTACCTGAGACCAATTTGGGTAGTTCTAAAAGATTCCTATAATTCTTTAAGCTTTTCAAAGCTCAGAAACATTTGCTTCGCAAAATGATTAACAGGTTCGAAACGTTCAAAAAATGGTAAAAACCATGTAAGTGCAACCAAAAAAAACAACAACTGGCAAAACATGCATTAAAATGTACTTTTAAACATATAGCGAACTTTGAATTGAAAGAATAACCTATAAATGCACCTAGCTTGGCATGTAATATCATTAAACTATTAAATGTCTTTTTTTGATGCATTTTAATAACATTTATACTGTTTGTTCGATCGTGTGCTCTGCTAAACAGGCCAACAAGAGACTATTGACTATTTTTTTGTTTTCATTTTACACATGTCTCTATAAAACGTCTACAAACTGATTACATATCAGGTAAGAACTAAACCTTTTCATTGATTCACCACTGGGGGAGATCTTAATGTGTCACTCTTGTGGATTTTATATTACACCAGTTGCCCCAAGCGGAGAACCATCACATTTTAAAAATGTTCGAAACAGTAATGACGTGATGAAGCCCTTTTCACAGAAATCATGTGCCCTTTCCTATTTGAAATGAGCTCCAAAACCACTCATTCGAAACAACGATTCAAAGCCTCATGAAGTCTTTCGAATACACCCATCACTACTTAGGCCTAAATCTGTGGTCTTTGATAGTTGGATATACATGTTCACCAATTCTTTCCCTCGAATTAAATTCTTGCAGTGTCAGAAAATTTAAGACACTTTCCTGTAGTGTGACTACAGCTACGATAACCATAGTTTTTTCCTGCATTTTATTATCAAGGCATGTTATGAGGTATTCATCTGAAATTATATCCACAGCAAACATAAACAATCTGTAGTAGTACAAACGAAACTCCAAAAGAAATGATAACTCAGAGCAAGCATAAACAATCAGTAGCACTACAGATTTTTATGCTAATTGTGAGCTATCATTTCAGACGGGTTACTAATCATGTCAAAGATGAATGAAGTAAAACTCCAGATGAGATTTATTGCTTTTCCGTGTTTGAACAGGATTATTATTAAAAGTGGCACCATTTGATGTGGTTTAAACCAGGATATTTTGAGTTTTGAAACTTACAGGATGTTTTTATAGACTTTTATATAAAAAGAAATTAAGGAAATTTGGATTTCAGTTTATGACCTTTTAACTTCCAGCGCATCTTTCTAAAAGCATTCAAATCAATTGGTTAAATGTGTCAAGTGACGTGTGAACACTGATGCAGTTAGATAGCCTTCTGGAATGTAGACCAGCAGGTTTGGGTTTCTGCTTTATGTGAAAAACTGTCCCAGAAATATTGGTTGATGAAACCCCCTTACCTCTTTTCTTTTTCCAGGCAGTGTCATTAGAGCATACTTTGCGCACTGAGCTTCGTACTTTGAGAGAAGAAATGGAGGACACAAGTTTTAGCAAATCCATAAGCTCTGCTAGGCTGGACAGTCTGCAAGCAGAGGTATTCACATGTACATGCACAACAGAAGCAATGCATAGCAAATCACTTGAAGTACTTTATTAATAACCACAATATAGTCACAGATGTTTTTGTTGCTAAAAAAAGAACAAATATGTAAATAAAACAATAAATCAAATACAAATGAAAATAAAAATCATTTTAAATTTTAAATTGAAACTTACTTAATTGTTGTTTTAAACAACAACAAAAAAAACTACAAGCACAGCATTCCTATAATAAATCAATGGTGTGATTCATTGCTGTGGAGGTTACAATATTTTTAGATATGGAGTAGTTTCATAAATAACAAATTGACTGGTGTTTTGAGGTTGTTAACTTTCATTTGTAGCAAGATAATGCAGTAAAATGTTTATTTACTTTTTCTTTTTCATGATTGATTGTATATCACAGAACCGAGTTTTGAAAGAGCGTTGCACTCATATGGATGAACGACTGAAGTCAACTCAAGAAGACAATGAGCGGCTGAGATCGGAGAGGGATGGATTGAGAGAGAGGGCGATTGAGCTTCAAACCAGCCTTAAAGATAAAGAAACAGAGGTGAGGAACATTTCTGAATGTAATATTTGGGCAGGAGAGCAGAGCGAAGATTGCGAGATTGAAAATAATTGACATATGGCATACAACTACATTGTATTTAACATCAAAACTGAATTGTAGAATTTTGTAAAGCTGCTTTATCTCATCTACAAGTGGACCACTCAAGTGGAAATTGGCTTATTTTACTAGTCACCTAAAATTTAAGAATCTTACTATTAATAAATCAGCCGATGGGTCTCACAGTGGCGTAGTGGGTAACATGATCGCCTCACAGCAAGAAGGTCGCTGGCTCGAGCCCCGGCTGGGTAAGTTGGCATTTCTGTGTGGAGTTTACATGGTCTCTCCATGTTCGTGTGGGTTTCCTCCGGGAGCTTGCATTAAGCTAACCCAGATAGGCTACCATCAGAACAGAAGTTGGATTAAGATATGCTTATTTTTTTAGGTGACTTGTAAAATGAGGCTAAGCCAAAAAGTGTTCCCCTCCATAAAGAACTAAACACTAGAGCTGCTTCAATGTACAATAACTTTTAAAGATTTGAAAAAATAAAATTGGTCAAAAGTGACCTTTTATCCTAACATAAAAATATGTTTTAAACCTGATAACTGTCACCCCCTTTTAAAGACATATATTAACATCTAAGCTTAAAAAGTTGTAATGCGTAAATGCTTTGGACATTGTAAGAAAAAAGAAAGCATATAAAAAGTGAAAATTAAATTATTATAACATATTTTGGAATAAAAAAAATCTCAAAACAAGTTTCAAATATGATATCACAAAAATTAAGTTTTCATCAGATAAACAACTGAGACAGTACAGTTTTTCAGTTTTTATTTATTTATATATTTTTGGGCATTTTTTATTTAGATTAGAAAATGTATTTGAAAATTGTTTAGTACATTTAGTAAAACTTTGCATGCAAAGGTTGATCTAGGAAAAACTAAGTTAACAGTTTACCCACAGCTGCACACATTCTCCTAAGTAAACATATTTAGCTTGAAGTTGCTGTATGTAAGTTCTAAAGCATAAAAATACCATAATATGTTTGCAGATATTTCAAAAACATGCCAAGTGAACATTCTTATTTATCTGAAAAAAAAAAAATCTAAAGTCAGATATTCTGCTTTGAAAATGTGAGTTACGCACCAGAAGACAGACCCTTTGTTTTGGTTATTTAACCTGTCCAATGCTAGTTTAGCCACCATGGGTTGCTAACACTGTATGTGGAAAACAGCGTATTTCATTCAGTAAGTCAGGAAGGCTCTCAAAGTATGCATCCGTGAGCATCCGGTGGATAGTAGCAGACTCAGAAATGAGTTGCAGATTCAGAGTTTCACATGAGGTGGTTATTAATTAGCAGATAATCTAAATATTACTAATTTAAACAGTGCATAAGTAAGTTACATTGTAACCCCGTGTCCTAACAACACTCTACATCAGTGGTCACCAAACTTGTTCCTGAAGGGCCGGTGTCCTGCAGATTTTAGCTCCAACCCCAATCAAACACACCTGAACAAGCTAATCAAGGTCTAACTAGGTATACTTGAAACATCCAGGCAGGTGTGTTGAGCCAAGATGGAGCTAAACCCTGCAAGGACACCGGCCCTCCAGGACCAGGATTGGTGACCCCTGCTCTACATTATAAGATTTGCAGTGATAAGAAATTTGGCTGTTTGCACCAGATGAAACACGACAGAAATTTAACTACATCTATTCAGAAGCCCAGAATAGTGCACTGACTGCACTCCAACAATATGGTAAGGTTTATAATCAAATGAATACACATTAAACTTTTTTAACATTAATAAATGTAAATGCGGAATCACTGATGTGTGTTGGCTTGCACTGAGTCACAATTCTAAAGTTTAATATCAAACTGTTTATTTTATTTTCATGGGCTGAGGTGAACTATCTGCTGCTGCTTTCAATAGTATGGCAATAAATGTCTTGTAAAATGGCGTTCAAACGCGCATTATTAGCATTTAACACTGAATAAAACACAGGAGGTTTAGGTGAGGTTATCATTGTCAGTTTTCTGTTGTTTAGCTGGAAGAAATAGAAGCCGTTTCTAAAATAAGAAATTTCAGGTGTTGTTAGGACAAAACCCCTTTTTATATAGAAAACATTCCTTCTTTCACATCCCGTTGCTTTTATTTAGAACACGGTTTAAATCAGCCATTAGGCTTGACAGTCAGGCACACTCTTGTTAAAGTCATCAATCTGGCAGGCTGAGCTTGTGTTTGTTTTGAACAGAGTCTGCAATACCTAGTTCAACCACTGGGCATCAAACTTATGTACTGCACCTAAACATTGACTTAATTGCACTATTTTAAATCATCATATGAGCCATAATAATTAGTAAATAAACGAAAATCATTCTAGCATATGTTTCATATGTAGGCAGGTTTCTCACAAAGTTTTATATTGTAACTGTAGACCCTACTTTTAAACCCACTTAAAAATTTCACTGGATATAGAGTATCTCACTGTTATCATTATACACTATTTTAAAAAACACACTTTAATTTTATTCATTCTAAAGGACAGCCTATGCTGTATAAAAAGCTTTAAATGCTGGTCATAGTTCGCCAATGCTTAGAGAGTTTCAGTCTGGCTGTCTCTGGCTCTTTCACAGCTGGAACAGGAACACAGCACTGTGTTTCAGCTGCGTACGGTCAACCGGACCCTACAGCAAAGGGTTCAAGCCTTGGGAGAAGAGGCCAGTCTGGGGGAGGCCACCTGCTTCCCTTTGTCCCTTCAGAGTGAGATCCAACAGTGCCAGGTAGCTTTCAATCCCGGCTTAGTACAAATGGTGTTGTGCATGCACCCACTTAGCTTGTAGAAAATTTGACAACAATTCAAATGAATTTAAGATCAACAATGTTTGGGTTTTAAGCGTGTTAGCTGCTTGTTTCTCTCATCAGCCAGCTCTTTAATTTCAGATCAGGCAGAACACTTTTCATCTTATCTAACTGGGTTTCATTTTGATCTCCAACAGGCCAAAGAAACCATTTTGGCTCATTCCTCTGTTCTGCGAGAAAAAGAAGAAGAGATTCAGAGGCTACAAAAAGAGGTTAGCTGCACAATACAGTGGCGTCACAACAGCTGACTGAGTGACGTCTTTATCTTACATTTGAGATGTTTTGTCTGTTGTTTTTGTCAGCTACAGTCCAGAGAAACTGAATTAGAAGGGCTGAGGGAGGAGGTAAAGCTGTTTCGTAACAGTCCCGGCAAACCTACTTACAAGTAAGATCTGAATCAAATAGCTTTGTTTGTTCTCTATGTTGTATGCCAGAGATAAAGTGATAAGCTAAGATATGAATGAAGGAGATTTTGTATTAAAGTCTGACAGTTTTTGTTTTGTCAACACAATGTTTTTCTTCCCTCTCACCTACAGAGCCTTGGAAGAGGAAATGATCTTGGCTCGGCAAGAGCGTGACGCTCTCAACCAGCAGCTTCTGAACACCATCAGGCACAAGGTGGCACTGTCTCAAGAAGTTGAGTCTTGGCAGGTTGGTAACTTGTATTTATTTGTGGCTTTTTTTGTGCTCATGGGGTTTGTCTTGGAATCCTTTTAGTTCTTCCAAGAACAAACTGTAAAGGAGACACAAATACTTTCTTGTTGCAAGTCATAGTCTATCTATAGCACAGGTGTCAAACTTAGTTCCTGCAGGGCACTGCTCTGCCCACGTTTGGTTTATTTCAAGAACATTGCTGTCTATGGAGGGTCAGAGAGCTCTTAGTTGGGATGGCTAACGTGAAACTGATGTTTCGACATAGTGTTGAGATTCGATGTGAAAGTGTTTCAAAGCATGATCTGAAACAGCCAGGTCATGTGACTAAAGTGATTTGAAACGCACAGATCACATGATTAAAGCGATTCAAAGCATTGATCATATCAGAAGCGTTTCGAGAATCTGCATTTGACTGACAGGGTCAGAGTAAATTTCTGTCTCATGTAGCTTAGTGAACCGTGCATAATTACTGTGTATTGTGTGACTTTTGAGTTCGAACTTAGTATTATTTTATGTATTTTTACAATGTTACTGTTTTATGGTATAGTCTAGATAGGATACATCTGTGGATACGCCATCAATTTAGCATCATTTTTGTAACACTTTATAGCAATATTTAATATTTTTTACAGTACTGTGATGGTTGGGTTTAGGGTTGGGATAGAATAAAAAAATAAAAGAATAAAAGAATAATTGGAATTATTGGTCATCTGGTCATCTCTATGGTCACGAATCATAAAGATGTCTGTACAGTCATACTGTTTTAAAAAAAAATGTCTTCGAAGTGTTTCATATTTAACTCGAATCAAACGTGGCGCCATGCACACTGTTCATTTTAGTTAAAGAAAAAAAAAAAAAAAACATGCGCTCCGCTAGCAAAAATCATGCCAAGCGCACCCAAAGCGAACCTCTGCAAACTCTGCGATGACGCCACATTCGCCGCGTGCACTCAAGTGAACTAACGGACACATCGAGTATAAACCAGGCTTTAGATTTCATTTAAAATATCTCTATTTGTCTTCTGGAGATGAACCAAGGTCTCGGGTGTTTGGTTAGATGAGAAATGAATAACTGTGGCTGTTTCTCAATATGCGTTCTTCAGCTGTCTTGCGTCCTCGTGTTCTCGTGTTGCGTCCTCGTGCAACGTCTTCATCAGCTGCCTAAGTTCAGTTCCAATACTCAAGACCGCAAGTACGGAGGACGCATGAAACTTCCCGGATGTGTTCTTGATATCGAGGACACACTGATGCAGACTTGAGCACCGAACTCGCTCTGGAAGTCCCAGAAGTCATTGCGACTGGAGGTGGGAAGCTCTGCGTTTTATTTAGATTTATTATTAAAGTTAAGATATATAACTTATTTACCTCAGGAGTTTCCCTAAATGAAACGGTGAAAGTAAACATTACCATGGACATCTTAATAAAGAAATAAACACATTAAGGGTTGTTTGTTTGCTGAAATTTGTATTAAAATCTGTTTTATTTATATTGTGCAGAGTATATTTATAATGTCTTTATGCAAAGTATATATTTTGAAGAAGGGGGAAACAATAAATCGTTCTATGAATGCTGTAATGTTTAAATAATTTACTATTTAAAACGCGTGAAGGTCACATGACCATCAGGAAGAACGCAGCATCCCATTTCTCAAAGGACGCATTCTCTGCCCTCGCGGTCTCCTGAGTTCTTTCTTCCGAGGACACCTGGCAAGACTGGTCTCCACAAGAACACAAGTCCGTTCTCTGCGTTCTTGGAATTGAGAAACAGACAGATTCTTAAGTTAGCGAACCCTCTAATGCAAAGGTTTCAGTTCCTAGAAGGCTGATGCTCTGCCCAGTTTAGTTTCAACCCTAATCAAACACCTAATCTAACTAATTGAGTCCTTTAGGCTTTTTTGAGACCTACAGGTAAGTGTGTTGGAGCAGGGTTGGAACTAAACTGTGCAGGGCTGCGGCCCTCTAGGACCTGAGTTTGACACTCCTGAACTATAGTATGCAATGCATGTTTTATTAATTTATAAATATGTATGATTTACTGTATAAAGAAAAGCTCTTGTTTTGTTTTTTATTGACCAAAATGTTCTGTTCTAGGAGGACATGCGTTTGGTGATCTGTCAACAGGTACAACTCCAACAGCAAGAGAAGGAAAAGGAAAACAACAAGGAACGGACAGGCTTTCAAAGAGGCACTCGCACCACCAAGTCACTGCGTCTCCGTGGGGAAGAAGGAAGGAAAGGGTTTTTCTCTGCTCTGTTTGGGGGCGACTGACAAAAAGCGAGGTTTCTTTAATGGCAGTTGGCATGTAATCTTTAAAATCACTCTGATTTGTAAATAGAAGGAAATCAAATGTATGTACTTTATAGCCAAATTATTGCATATTTATATTTTTCAATATTTATTTGTAACTTTAAAAAAAGAACACACAAAAATAAACTGATAGCATTTATTATTGTATTTCTCAGTCTTTTACTGAAGGGGTTCATCTTTTTTAACCATAATAAAAAAGGGCCCAACCATCCAATACAGCAACATTAAGCATTACAGTCTTTATGTAAACATAGCTTTCCCACTCTCAAGCCTTCAATAGCTGTCATATATGAAGACAGAAGTGTACCCCAATATGATAATAATATTACAGATTTGATTATATAATGTAGCACCTTATGAAACATTCACAAAAATCGCAAAAGCACATTCATATGGAGGGAGACAACATGAAAGTGAACCTGACATAATAAAACTTTAGTGAATAATTGTTGTCATATGATTGCTCGTATCAATTGTGTTATCTGTTTCCAATATCCACTATAGATTTCAAAACATTCCTTTAACAAATGCTGTAATGATTCACACAGTTTACAATTCCAGGATGAGAAAGGAAAACAGTTTTTAAGCGCTTGTAAGGATACTTTTTCCAAAAAGTATTTTCCTGTTGATAATTTCATTCATTTTCTTCTCAGCTTAGTCCCTTTATTAATCAGGGGTCGCCACAGCAAAATGAACCCCCAACTTGTTTTATGCAGCGGATGCCCTTTCAGCTGCAACCAATCACTGGGAAACACCCATACACACTCATTCATACACATACATTACAGACAATTTAGCTTACCCAATTCACCTAAAGCACATGTCTTTGGACTTGTGGGGGACTGAAATTGACCAACTGACCCAGCTGGGGATCGAACCAGCGACCTTCTTGCTGTGAGGCGATTGTGATGCCCACTGCGCCACCATGCATTCCTGTTGATAATTTCAATTACTAAAATAAAATTATTTATTTTGGTGTAACAACCATTTACCATCAGATGCTTTCTTTTACATCTTAAAACTGTTTTAAAAAATCTAAAAAAATATTTCAACTGTAGTTTAAGTGCAACTGTCCATTAAACTATTATTAAAAAAAGGAATAATTAACATTGGTTTTAGATGAAGCAGTGGTGCCGTAGGTAGTGCTGTCGCCTCACAGCAAGAAAGTTGGGTCGCTGGTTCGAGCCTCAGCTCAGTTGGCGTTTCTGTGTGGAGTTTGCATGTTCTCTCTGCGTTCGCGTGGGTTTCCTCCGGTTGCTCCAGTTTCCCCCACAGTCCAAAGACATGTGGTACAGGTGAATTAGGTGTGTGAATGTGTGTGTGGATGTTTTCCAGAGATGGGTTGCAGCTGGAAGGGCATCCACTGCGTAAAAACTTGCTGGATAAGTTGGCGGTTCATTCCGCTGTGGCGACCCCGGATTAATAAAAGGACTAAGGCGACAAGGAAATGAATGAATGAATGAATGAATGAACATTTGTTTTACTCTAGCAATCTCAGAATTTACCCCACTTTATGTAAATGTATATACACAACAGATGTACATTTAGTATGACATTTATTGATTTTCCTTTCGACTTGGTCCCTTTATTAATCAGAGATTGCCACAGCGGAATGAACCACCAACTTAGCCAGCATGTTTTACACAGCAGATGCCCTTTAAGCTGCAACCCTCTACTGGAAAATATCCATACACTCTCACATCCACTACGGCCAATTTAGTTTTATTCAATTCACCTGCCTCATGCCTTTGGACTGTGGGTGAAACCAGAGCACCTGGAGGAAACCCATGCGAAGACATGGAGAACATGCAAACTCCATACAGAAATGCCAACTGGCCCAGCTGGAGCTTGAACAAGCATCTTCCTTGCTGTGAGATGATCATGCTACCCATTGAGCTACCGTGCTGCCCATTAAATAGGATGTTCAACAAAGATATCTCAAATGACTGCATTATGAATTGCTTCATGTAGCACCTGGAGTCCATTATCAAAGTCTGAACGGCCATTTATTGACCAGATGGTCAGTCAGTTGACAAGCTGCGGCATCACAGTGACATTGTAAAGAAAGTGCAGTCACAATGCTACAGTAAGTAGGCATATGTATAATGCACATGCTATGAAAAACACAAAGGCTACAAAACACAGTTTTAACAGCCATGAAATAACTACTTTGGTTTGACAAAGAAACACAAAAGAACATTGTTTCAGCTTCTCCGTAAACCCATATATTCCAATGAAGACCTTTTATTTTGAAGAGTATAGTACCTCAACTCAAAGCTGGGCACTCAGTGACAAAGTGGCCATTAACAAGCAATGCTTAGGTTCAGAGTTCCTTCTGTTTTTGTTTGATTCCTGGATGGCCCAAAAGTTCTGAGAGTTCTTGAAGTTCACATTTTTATCATGGCTACCCCTGAGACCGATGGTGATGTTAATGAACAGTTCTCTCTAGGTATAAATAACCCTGTGTTTTGTTTCTACGTCAGTGTCTGCTCAAGTCTTATTCTCCTTTTTATGTGTACTTTGGTTGCTCCGAAGAAAATTGGATACTTTTTTGCTTGGATTTGGTTTCAGATTCCCCCTTTCAAAGAAGGCTTGGGATATGTAGATTCTCTTTAAAGGCCTTAGTGATTTGGAAGTTTGTCCTTTATTTAAATCCTTACCTTATACTTCATATTTGTTATTATGTCTTGGTTCATAGCCACCTTCTAAGACATTTTCAGGCAACAATACATTCATTTCCTCCTCATTCTCTTTCTCCTCATCAGGCAGGTCTCTTTCATAATTATCCCTAGAAGAACAAGATGGAGTTTCCTCTGGAAAACAGATTTCCATCTCATATTTCTCAAGCGTATCCATAATACTTGTTCGTAGCTTTTCTGATGAACTTGAATGTTTTGAAGTACAAGATTCTGAATGCATATTTATTTCAGATAATCCACTTCCATCGCTCTGCTCCAAATCAGCAGCAATTGTGTAGGGATTTGATATCTTAGCCTCATCTAAAGGGTTAAGACTGGCGATAAAATATGGGTCAATTGTAAAATTTTCCCTCTGAATGTATTCATCTTTAAAGTCATCTTCTGATGCAGAATCGTAGTCCTCATGGTCCATATCCTCCTCGTTCACTTTCTGCTCATCTGGCAGTTCTCTTTCATCGTTAATGATAGAAGCACATGATAGAGTTTCCTCCAAAAAAACGGTTTCCAGCCTGTATTCCTCTTGCGTATCAATAATACTCATTTGTATCTTTTTAGATGATCTTGAACGACAAGATTCTGAGGTACCTGAATGCATACTGTCATTATCCATTTTCGATAATCCACTTCCATCGCTCTGTTCCATATTAGTAGCAAGTGTGTACTTATTTGATGTCTTTGCTTCCTCTGGCAGGTTAATATTGGTGACGGAATAGGAGTTATCTGCAAAATTTCCCCTCTCAAGGTATTCATTATTAGAGTCGTCGTCTGATGCCAACTCTCGCTCCTCTGGGTTCATATTTGTTTTTGGCCAGGTCAGTGTTTGGTAAATCGTTTGGAATGCCTCAGGGATTAGCGGTAGGACCCTACAAGGTTTCGAAACATTGAGCTGCAAAGGATGAAGAAGCATTGTGTCATTATACATTTTAAGTAACCTCTACACTGAATTGCATTGATCTGTTCGGTAACATTTCACAATAAGATCCTATTGTGTTAACTAACAATGACTACGTTTACATGGACGTTAGTATTCAAATTATTTGCTTTAATCTGAATAAGACAATAATATGATTAAGGTGTTAACATGAGGAATGTACCTTTCATGATTCTGTTTTATATGTTATAGCACATAACTCGATTAATGTCACTGGGTCACCACCCTATCCACATTTCCTCCAGAGTTTCATGTAATTTTCATTTTTGATTTGTCGACTTTGTACTGCAGTTTGGCACTTTCACTGTCATTTAGGAACATTTCATGCATGCCCCCGTGACAAACAAAATATTGGATGTGATTATGAAATGCTGGTAGAGTCTTATTTTAATGGAATTTGATATCGCATGTATAGGGAAAAAAAAACACATTTCGCGATGTGTATGTGTGTCTGTGGTCCTTTACTGACTTAGGTGCAGAGAATAGTGTAAAACAGCCGTGTGTGTATGAAATCCTGTCACAAAACAGCAAAAAGTCCTACATGACTGTATTTTTACATGGTGGACTCCTAATCAGAGTATTGTCTTAATCGCATAAAATTGGATTATTGGTGTCCATGTAAATGTTCTCAATAATTAATATATTTGCTATTATTGTTCAGTATTTTTACACTGCAAATCTGCATGAATAATTTGAACATGTTGAAAAATCTGTAGGAAAATCTTTCACCCTAAAGTGAAACACAAGTGTTGTAATGGGTCTACAACATTATGTTTTTGTGTTCCTTTTTAATGCTTTGGGTTTAATTGTATACTCGAATAATATATATATACGAGTCCTGGGGTCCGTTCTTCGTACGTGGATTACTCAGTTAGCTGGATTTGGAAATTGACGATTTGACACGATCCAGGATCGTTTCGTTCTTCAAAGCTGATCCAAGAGTTGTTGTCATAGCAACAGTTCTGCTAGGTCAAACCTGATCGGGAGCAGGTTCAATTCATATAAACAGGATTAGATCGGCTCAGTTCAAGCAAAGATAATACAGAAAGTATTTACCGAATTCTGATATTTTCTTACAGTAGTAGTGTTATACACTTGGGAAAATGGTACATATTTTTTAACTATATATATAAAGTTATAGTCATTAATACAATAAATTAAGTTATACATATTAATAAAACGTATGCAATCTGCACCCTCGAAATGAAAGTACAAAGACTGCCACCTGGTGGTGCAAAGAGAAAACTTATTGACATAAACTTTTTAGATCGCTAAAAAAAATAGTGTATAATAGAAATGCACAATATGTGACTTTTTTAAAGCAATAATACATTTCAGCAGTCATAAACATGTTTTGATAGTTAATATGCCGGTGATTTGATGCTTCACAAAAGTTGCAGACGCCTTTACCAATATCAAAACGCTTTTGTAAACAACCAGTTATTCTTTACACCGATTAAAAAGCGGCTACTATAATAAATAAAAAAATATTTTGAATTGACATACATGATGAATACACTTGACACATGAAAGTGGAAAGCCTGCAGCTCACAACAAATGTGGAAGGTTATTGCGTGTCATATTTAACAAACCGTTTACTGCTAATTTGACGTAATTTTGCTCACATGGATAATTGAATATTAATCAGATGATGTCATTACGCTGCTGTGCCGTCAGCCAATCGTTGCATTGCTGATCATGATTTCGAGGATCGATAGATCTGTCCTTCACAACACACGCAGCGATCTCAGATCAGTTTATCCAGACATTCTAATCTGATTCGCGAACTCGTTTGAAGAACCAAATTAGCGAGAGATCAGTTATCAAGATTAAAAGATCCGGGATCTGCCAAATAATCTTAGATCATTTAAGCGAGGTACGAAGAACAGACCCCTGATCAGGAGGTAACGTACGATTTTGAGTCTGAAACTGCATGATCGGGCCGATTTCTGATCACGTGGCCGAATCTGGACATCCCTAGAGAAATTTAATCAATGAATAATGAATAGAATGTTTGTCCCTGGATGTCAATGTTTTTTTCCCCCAATATTTTTAAAAATATCTTGTTTTCTGTTCAACAGAAGAAATTCATGAACATTTAGAACCACTTTAGAATGAGAAAATATTTTTATGGGGGTGAACTGCCCCTGTCCAAATTGGGGTTTACATATAGATAATAAATGTATGTAAAAAATAAAAAAAAATACAGCCTGATCTCACAAGGAAATGTGACTGTTTTATGTTTTGTCAGTTTAGTGGCTAATACATATGAGTTTAGTCATATGAAAATGCAGGCTATTTAAAAGGAGCCATGGCACCAAACCTCACCCCTAAACCCAACTGGCATTGGCAGATAAGCAAACCGTACTAAATTGTACAAGTAAGATTCCATTCGAATTAGCCACTAAATCAAAAAGTTCTGAATTGCAGTGAGATGGTGTTAGTATGAAAGTATTAAACCCTTTTTGTTCTATCAAGTTGTTTTTTAACTTTTTTTAAACTGCAATATTCAACTTTTGCTTAACCAGAATTCAAGTACATACCAAGGCTGATGGAACGCGTAGTTTCTTGATGTTGGGCTTGATGTGGTTAAAACAAACAAAAAACAAAAAAATCCCAGCTAAAAACATAATCACCAGCACAGCCACAATGCCAACTATTAGCACAACGCCTCTAGTAGAATCTAAAAAGAAAAACAAGCATATAGATGAGTTCACATACACATATTGCAAGTTTAGCAGGATTGAAGTCAAATTTATTGACCTACAAGACTGTATTTAGTAGATCAAAATTTAGCTAAAACTATAATATTGTGAAATATTTCTATTTAAAAGAACAGTTTTCAACTTAAATATATATATATATATATATATATATATATATATATATATATATATATATATATATATATATATATATATATATATATATATATATAAATAATTTAAATTGCTGGATTTTCAGCATCAGTACTCAAGTATTTGCTGCTTGGGAAACATTTATTACTATTATCATCAACATTATTTAATATGTTTGAGGAAAGTACACATTTTAGAGGATTCTTTGATAATTATAAAGTTCAAAACAAATGGCGAAATCACTTAAATTCTTCTGTAAGCTTAAATTATTTCTAATGTCCCTTTGGACTTACTTAATGCATGAATGAATTAAATATATCTATTATACCTAACAGAAAGATACATTTGGTGGTGTTGAAGTTGTTGTTCTTTGAGGCCTGATGATGACTGGCGGAAACACTGATGCAATAGTTCTTCCCGGATGGCACATCATGGAAAACATACGGGGATTTTGAGGTTGATATCACAGCTACAAACTAAATAAAGAAAATAACATTTAATTGTCAAAGCAATCCCTTCTAAAGTGTGATTTTTTTTTTAATTGGCTGTAATAACAATGGTGCTACATTACAAAATTGAGTAGGTTTAGGGGTGGGGGGGTCAGCTGTATGAAATCCAAAGGTTTACATTCTTAATTGCCTGTTTCTAAATGGTCTGTCTCTAAAAGTGTGGGGGACATATCCCCCCCGTCCCCCCTGGTTGCTACGCCCCTGAATAGGTTGTTACCTTTGTTTCCCCTGCAGGACTGTTCTCGAAAAGAGAAAGCAGGTAGTCCAGTGGTTTCGTCCTTGTATTTGATTCCAGCCAGTGATTAAAATTGATTTGAATGGACTTTTGGTCTGTTGAGATCTTTACATCTGGAGGACTCAGACGAGCTGCATTAAAATCCAAACACAATTATTTTAAAACTTAAGAACAAAAACACAGTGGTGTGCCACATTTGCAACAGCCGGCACAAGTGCAAACCTACGGTGGCTGAGAGAGCTCACACGTGCTGCAAATTAAGAAAACACATGTATATAGAAAAATGCTAACAGCTTGTGAAAACATTTTCATCAATTTCACAACACACACATGCAAATTCTCACCACTACAGAAACACACTAAAAACATCGCAATGGAAATGTTGGGAGATGGTGTTTTTCTATATGAATGTGCTTTCCTAACTTGTAGTGCGTCTCTGTATTTACATGTGTTGTCAAATTAATCCCGATATTTTTATTGTATATTTGTTACTGTTTTTCTGACTTGCAGCACATTCGAGCTTCTTCAGCCACTCCATAATCCCTCTTTTGTCATCTTGGTGATAGCCATGTCACCCTGCAGCCCAAGACCGGTTACTAAGCTAAACAGGGCTGAACCTGGTTAGTACCTGTATGGGAAACCACATGAGAAAATTAGGTTGCTGTTGGATGCTGCTCAACCTGCGGACTGTGTGAGTCCTAATGCCCCAGTATAGTGAAGGGGACATCATAGTTTCTGTGAGAGCTGTCTTTCGGATGAGACGTTAAACCAAGGTTCTGACTTTCTGTGGTTATTAAAAATCCCATGGCACTTTTCATAAAGAGTAAGGGTGTAACCCTGGTGTCCTGGCCAAATTTTCAACATCGGCCTTCATTCCCATCCACCAAGTTGGCTCTATCACTGTCTTTCCAATTCACCTATAGCTGGTGTGTGGTGAGCACACTGGCGCTGTTGTCCTGTGGCTGCCATTGCATCATCCAGGTGGATGTTGCATCACCTCAACTCATGATTAAGAAGTGCTTTGGGTGTATGGCCATACACGATAAATGCGCTATATAAATACACATTACATAACATCTGTCAGGATTAAGTTAAGACATGAAAAGTGAAATATTTGTAAATTGGCTATTATGGAAATGATCTTGCCGTGTCTGTGTTGGTTTATGTGTATATTGTCATTGGATGAAGTGCTGAACTTTTATAGGACTCCACTTTCATGCTTAATTGCAATGCCAAAAATGTTTTTGGCATTGATGGTTCCAGAAAGAAACTTTAACATCCATGGAATTATTTTATTCCACAAAAGATTGATTTTAAAAAGTTATTTAAAGAACTGTTAAAGGGATAGTTCACCCAACAAAAATAAAGTTCTGACATAATTTATGGCTCTGGGACTCTTGAAATGACGTCATTTTGAATAAAATCAGGCCTAAATTAAGTTCGTTTTGAGTTTTTGCCAGTGCGAAACAACTCACCAAAGCAAATAGCAACCAAAAATACTTAAAGAGTTCAGATTTAAAAAGTGCCGTATTTTCTCAGCCTCTATATGTTAATTTTATTTCACTATAAAGGCAATGAATAAAACCGGTTGATCTCTTTAAAAGTGAAATGACTGTAGATTGGCTATTATGGAAATAATCTTGCTTTGTCTGTGTTCTTCTATGTGTACATTGTCAGTGCTGAACTATTATTGGACTCCACTTTTATGCTAATCGCATTCCTAAACATTTTTGGCTTTGATGGTTCTAGAAAGAAACTTTAACATCCATGAAATTATTTTAATCCACAAAAGCTTCTTTCAAGAGTTCACACTTAGCTGATGATCTATAAAAAGCTTGTTTGGCATGCTGTCCCGGGAGAGAGCCTCGAGCTCAAAGGATCCTCGAGCCCGGGGCTTCCTCCCGTTGGCAGAGCGAGAGGGGAGCCTGAGCTCGGTGGATCTCAGAACTCCCCGGCTGCGATAGCTAAGGGAACAAAAAGGGGTTAGAAAAATGCTTGATTGTTATGCATGTTGTATGTCTTTGGATGGTGGGAGGAAACCGGGGAAAACCCACGCGGACATTCGGAGAACATACAAACTCCTCACAAAAACGGCCACCGCCCTGGTGGGACCAGGGCCGGCAGTGTTCTTGCTGTGGGGCTCACAGTACTAACCACTGGGCCGCCGTGCCGCCCGATCAGAGGTAAAGGTGGAGAATACGGGCGGAAGCGAAGATAAAAATGGACTGAAAACTGTGGTTATTTATAGTAGCTTAGGGCTCATATGATTGGAAGATAGTGATTAGCAAATACGAGACTGGCCGTGATAAATCATAAGCACGTGATCCTATCGAAATTAGTTTATGAATAAACTTCATAAACCATTCATGGCCTAAACTAAGTCTGTTTAGAGTTTTTGGCAGTTTGAAACAGCTCACCAAAGCAAAAAACGAAAAAAAAAAGTTGAAGTTTTCAGTTATTTAACTATTAAGGCAATAAATAACAACCTATTAATCTCTATAAAGGTGAAAGGACTGTAACTACTCACAGAAGGCTCAGAAAAATCCTCATTTTAGAAGAACATTTCAGATGGCATTTAGAGGCTTTTGCGTCTGAACTCTTCAGTTCTTTTTCAAAAGTCATTGCAAAAAAAAAAGATCTCTTCTAAAGCTTTATTGTAAAGAGTGTCCTGTTTTGTGAATCTGGCCCAAATTCTAATAGTTTCCTATAATATACATATCTGAACTTACTGTCTCCATATGGCTGGAAGGAGCTTGTTGTAGTTGTCCAGTTTGAGCTTGTCCCTTTAAATGTTGCCTTGACTCTCAAAAAATAATTCCAATGGAGGTCAAAAGGTGGCTTGTCAAAGTTTAGTTCACATTTCAGTAAGCCTATGTCAGTGCATTTTGGAGACCCAATCCACTTTCCTCCAGACCTACACAAAAAAAAATTGTAAATGCTTTTATGAGTGCACCAAAGCATTTTTATAAGTCTATTTCACAATAGCAGATTAGATAACCTATTATTCTGTCATTAATTTCTCATCTTACCAAACACCTAAGACCTTGGTTCACCTTCAATTTAAGATATTTTAGAGCTCTCTGACCCTCCATAGACAGCAATGTTCTTGAGATGTTCAGTCCAGAAAAGGAACCAAAAAAATTCCATGTGACTTCAGTGGTTCAACTTTGATTATATGAGAGATGTAGTAATTGTTACTAATTGTTAACAAACTCGCACCTTCAGCTAACATGGCACACACTTATTGGACACTTTATTAGGTACACCCTACTAGTACCGAATTGGACCACCTATTGCATTCAGAACTGCCTTAATCCTCCTTCTCATAGATTCAACAAGGTACTGAAAATATTCCTCAGAGATTGTGGTCCACATTGACATGATAACATCACGCAGTTGCTGCAGATGTATCGGCAGCACATCCATGATGCAAATCTCCTGTTCCACCACATCCCAAAGGTGCTCTATAGGCCATTTGAGTACAGTGAACTCATTGTCATGTTCAAGAAACCAGTCTGAGATGATTCACACTTTATGACATGACACGTTATCCTACTGGAAATAGCCATCAGATGATGGGTACACTGTGGTCATAAAGGGATGGACATGGTCAGCAACAATACTCAGGTAAGCTGTGGAATTGACAAAATGCTCAATTGGTACTAATGAGCCCAAAGTGTGCCAGCAAAATATCCCCCACACCATTACACCACCACCACCAGCCTGAACCGTTGATGCAAGGTAGATCTATGCTTTCATGTTGTTGACACCAAATTCTGACCCTGCCATCCGAATGTGGCAGCAGAAATTGAGATTCATCAGACCAGGCAACGTTTTTCCAATCTTCTATTGTCCAATTTTGGTGAACATGTGCTAATTGTAGCCTCAGTTTACTGTTCTTAGCTGACAAGAGTGGCACCCGGTGTGGTCTTCTGCTGCTGTAGCCCATCCGCCTCAAGGTTGGACATGCTGTGCATTCAGAGATGCTCTTTGCCCTTCTATGAGCTTGAACCAGTCTGGCCATTCTCCTCTGACCACTGACATCATCAAGGCATTTGCGCCCACAGAATTGCCGCTCACTGGATATTTTCTCTTTTTTAGACCATTCTCTGTAAACCCTAGAAATGGTTGTGCATGAAAATCCCAGTAGATCAGCAATTTCTGAAATACTCAGACCAGCCCGTCTGGCACTAACAATCATGCCACGTTCAAAATCACTTAAATCACCTTTCTTTCCCATTCTGATGCTTGGTTTAAACTGCAGCTGATCGCCTTGACCATGTCTACATGCCTAAATACATTGTGTTGCTGCCAAGTAATTGGCTGATTAGAAACTTGAGGTAACAATCAGACAGGTCTACATAATAAAGGGAGTGTAGGTGAACAACATAGTTTTAAATTGACATTTATCGGTGCACAAAATTGTCCTTGGAGCTTTGTTTAATTACAGTTGAATCCCTAGCTATGTTTTTATCAGAAAAAAATGATTAGAAATACAAAAAAAAATGCTTCACTAAAATGCCAAGATTAGCATACACTGAAAATATGCATACAAAAAATATGTACACAACTAAGCAGGATAAACGTTTTATCTGATAAGAAATTGTATATAATGGAAAAAGCCACCACACGTTCATTATGTTTTGTCAGCAAGTTATTTGTTATATAAAAAAATCCCAGAGTGGCTTCTACTGGCGCAAATTCAATTTCATTCATTCATTCATTTTCTTTTCGACTTCGTCCCTTTATTAATAAGGGGTCGCCACAGCGGAATAAACCGCCAACTTATCCATCATATGTTTTATGCAGCGGATGCCCTTCCAGCTGCAACCCTACTTTGGGAAACACCCATACACACTCATTCATACTCATACACTACAGACAATTTTAGCTTACCCAATTCACATGTACTGCATGTCTTTGAACTGTAGGGGAAACCGGAGAACCCGGAGGAAACCCATGCGAACACAGGAAGAACATGCAAACTCCACACAAAAACGCCAGTCGAGGCTCAAACCAGTGACCTTCTTGATGTGAGACGACAGCACTACCTACTGCGCCACTGCTTGCCCAAATTCAATTTTTTTAATTATTTTTTTTAATTTAATTTTTTAATTTAAATTTTTAATTTTTTTTTAAATTTAATTTAAATTTTTAATTTTAGTTCATCAGGAAGGGATGATTTTGTTCTTTTTGACTCATTAAATGGAAACGGTGCTTCATTTGCCAATGCATTTTATGCAATATTTCAGTTTGGCTCATAAGTTTAATTTGCATCTTTGGATGAAAACGTGAAGCTAAATGTTTTGGCAATATTTTCTGGACTTTGAGACCATTACTGTCTATGATGGATGAGAGAGCTTTTGAATTTCATCTAAAATATCTTAATCTGTCTTCTGAATGTAACCCACCGCTCTTACTGCACCCAACCTGTGCTGAGCTGGGGTCGAACCATCGATTCTTTGTGTGAGATTTGGTTGCTCTAACAAGACCATGGCCACTAGCGTCTGTCACTAGAGCACCTTCAGAGAAAAGAGGAGTGAGGTTTACCTGCATAGCACTTTGCTAGCTGGCCTCCATTTCATAAAGATGAAGGAAGGTGTCAGGGATTGAAACAATATAACTGTGAGCAATTAATGACAAAGTTTAAATCTTGATTTATCTAACTCTTTAAGTAAAAAATAGTTAACACCAATTCACGCTGCATCAACACAACTGATCTTGCTGGATCAGTGTTTAAGGTCAGGCCTCTGTTGCTTAAACATGTTCAATCTAAATTTGTCAACTCATGGACCGTCTGACAAGTGACAAACTGTAGTCTGACATTGGTCTGGATGGTCGTTTGCAGCGTGAAATATTACTTAAAAAAGTGTTTTAAAGTCTGGTTACATGTTTTGTGCATGTATGAACTCCAATGTATATCTGGTTCCAGGAGGATTTCCTTGTCCTGGAAGCCATTCAGCTGTAGCCTTAAAATCCAATAATCCTACAGTCAGGACCTCTGGAGGAGAAAGCGTTGCTGTAAGAGAAGAAAAAAGGCATTGTAGCATTTATTTAAAAATTCAATTCAATTCAGTTCAATTCAATTCAACCCAATTGGTCTAAGACAAAAAAGCATCAAAAAAGTTTCAAGCATCAAAACTAGAAAAGCTTAATACAGCTTTATATTGAGTTTTTATTTAAAAAATGGTGACGATCATATATTTTGACCATGATTTTCACCATTCACCATTTCACCAATACACCATTTGAAATGTGACTCATTGTAACAAGTTGTATACCAGAAAATCTTGTCATGCATATTTAGAATATTTAATGACATGGCTTTTTAGATGTCACAATGCTACCCTGAAAGATTAATTAATTCTCTTTGACATTTTTATTAGTTTTTTATACGTTTTTATACACTAGCCTTCATCAAACTTCATGTTTGTTATTGATTAAAAATAATAAAATTAAGCGTTATCATTTATTCTTCTAAATATTTGATATCGTTTAATACATTATGTTTAATTTAAACATAAATATACATTATGCTGAATGATGATGTCTTTTTAAAAAAAAAATTAAAACAGTTTTTTAAACAGAGTTTTTGGAGTTGTTTAATCTTCTTAAGCTAAGATTTAACTTTTAATTGTTTTAATTGTCAGTTTTAATTGTTCGTTTTGCATAACTTTTGATCATTATAATAATCAGTACCTAATTGGTTGACAATAATTATTATTTTGACATTTTTTATGTTTAAACTGCACTTAGGAAATAATTTTAAACAGTTTGTTATTTTTGCTAACAGTTAAAAGTATTATCATTTAAACATTTGAGTTGATATAAAAGACACAGATATGCTAATTATATACAATCCTTATGAATGTAAAAAGAAAATGACCCTAAAAAATTTCAGTGGGCAAAGTTTTCTATACCCAACAATAAAGATCAATCGATAATCCATAATCAAACCTTTTTTTAACATTTTGAATCCATTAAGGATATCTGAAACATGAGGCACATTACTTGCCTTTAATTTGACTTCTGTGTACAGTATATAAAGTCATTTTTGCACATTTAATGTGATGTGGACAGTGACCCACACTCATGTTTTTTGCTTTTTGCTTTTTGCTCAAACTACCTATCTAAAATGAACTGAAACAACACAATTGTTTAGATGTTTGGGACAACTTAATTGTTTTATGTTCAATCCACTTTTTTTGTTTCATGCTCAAGATATTTCTCTAAAATAAGTTGAAATGGCACAATTCTTGAGATTTGTTTGGGAGAACTTAATTATTTTATGTTCCATCTGCTTAAATTTGTTAACTTAATCAGCCCTGTAAAAATACTGGGTACCATGAAAATCAATTTGAGTTGGGACAACATGAAGGAATTAAGTTAACTTATTACTTTTTAAAATTTTGAGGGGATTGAACATAAAACAATGAAGTTGTCCCTCCAAAAAAAAAAAAAAAAAAAAGAATTGTGGTCTTTCAGATTATTTTAGATAAGTAGTTTGAACAAACAGCCAATATCCTTTTTTTTTAAGTGTAATGACAAAATCCAGGTGTAAGAGTGCAACAAAAAGTATGTAATTATATTATGATGACATTAGGAATGGAGGTCACCATTTTCCATATGCAAAAAGTACCTTTACATGGTATCAGACATATCAGCAGCAATGTAAACATGCAGGTCAGAAAACCAGTCATTGTGGCATCAGATCATGGCAATCATCAATCTCCACCTGCAAAAAAACATTATGCAGTACATAACAACACAACATGCTGTAAATAGAAATATGCAAAATAGAATGAATAGTGTGTCGCTATCAATTTTACATTTGAAGAGGCAAAAAAACAATCTGCAAAAACCCCAATTTACTAATAAAGCTCAATAAAAGTCACTCACCACAACGAATTCATCCTTGTTTCTACAAAACCACGAGTCCTGAAGACAGCAGACCCATCTTAAATACTTGCAGCTATAGTGAGGGTTTTAACAAGTGATTGAAGACAAAGTCGACTCACTTGTATGACTAAGAAACAAGCGTTTCTCTGTCTAAATGATAAACAGTAGTGACAATGGCAGAAGAACTATCCTCAAGTTTACACTGACAATACATCAAACAAGTCCAGGCAGCTTTACAGATCTAAAGCAGTATTTGGGACTTAAGCTCCTCCCCCATTACGTAAAACATGGAAACAGGTTATTCCAGTCTTCAGAATGGAATCTCACTTGTTGCCCTCATCAATCACCACCCTAAATTCACCTGCTGCAAACACGGTATACCTGATAAGTTCATACATACCGAAATGCAATTATGCTGTCATGAACATTAATAACAGAAGCCTTGTGACAAATGGACAGTTTAGTCATAAATTATTTTTGAAATAAATATTGATAGAAGATGTTTCCCAGTACTTGGTTGCAGCCGGAAGGGCATCTGCCAGAATATTGCTGGTCTAGTCCACTGTGGTGAGCTGTGTAAACTAACTTTTTTTTTTATTAAAAATTTGCTAAATAGTTTTAAAAATGTGTACTTATACTTTCCCTTGAGTACACATTTAGTGCTGTACTGGTACTTTTACTTTATTATTTTCCTTCAACCTGCAGTCACTACTTTCTACTTTCTACTTTCTACTACATTTCTTTCTTGTCTATGGTGATTGGCTAAAGTAGAAAAATCAGTCCTGCAATTGCTGTCCAATCAAATCGCACATAGAAAGTAAATCAGTAAATCATATCATATTAAACAACCTCAAGACTTGAGCGCTTTAAAAATGCAGCAAACCTTTTGGAAGCATTAAAAATGTCCAAGAAGTCTAAAATCTTTATACGCAATGACCCAGGAACTGTTTATGGACTGCATGTCACTGATGAGAAAATGTAGGATGTCGACTGTATAATGTCTGAAATCACCAAACAGCCTTAATCACTTAATGGAACGAATAAAGAATACAAGGATGGGCCGAATGAAGGAAGAACTGAACAAGGAATGGAAGGAAGAACCGAAGGTAAGAAGGAAGGACTAAACTAATGAAGGAAAGAGAGACGAAATAAATGAAAGATTCAAGGAAGGACTGAACAAACTAAGGAATGAAGGAAGGAAGGACCGAATAAAAGGAAGGACTGAACTAATGAAAGAAGAAAGGAACAAATGAATGAAGGAAGGATTCAAGAAAGGACTGAACAAACTAAGGAAGGAAAGAAGAAAGGAAGGACTGAATAAAAGGAAGGACTGAACTAATGAAGGAAGGAAGAAACAAATTAATGGAGGAAGGATTCAAGAAAGGACTGAACAAACTAAGGAAGGAAGAAAGGAAGAATTGCACGAAGGAAGGACCAAACTAATGAAGGAAGGAAGGACCGAACTAATAAAAGAAGGATGGATGAATGAAGGAAGGATTCAAGGAAGGACTGAACAAACAGGAAGGCAGGAAGAAAGGAAGGACAGAATGAAGGAAGGACCGAACTAATGAAGAAGGAACCACATAAAAGAAGGAAGAATTCAAGGAAAGACTGAACAAGCTAGGGAACAAAGGAAGGAAGGAAGGACCGAAGGAAAAAGAAAGGACCGAACTAATGAATGAAGGATTCAAGGAAGGATTCAAGGAAGGATTCAAGGAAACTAAGGAACAAAGGAAGGAAGAAAGGACCTAAGGAAGAAAAAAGGACCAAACTAACGAAGTACGGAAGGTGCAAATTATTGAAGGAAGGATTCAAAGAAGGACTGAACAAACTAAAGAACGAAGGAAGAAAGGAAGGACCGAACTAACGAATGAAGGAAAGACCAAACTAATAAAAGAACGATGGACCAGATGAATGAAGGATGGATTCAAGGAAGGACTGAACAAACTAGGGAACAAAGGAAGGACAGAAGGAAGAAAGGAAGGACCGAACTAATGAAGGAAGGACCAAATGTATGAAGGAACGAACAAACAAACAAATAAATAAATGAATGAAAGAAGGAAGGGCAGAACAAACAATCTATGGAAGGAAGGAAGGAAGATCATCCATGCACTACCGATTGTTACGTTTACACATCCCTGCACAAACTGCATGTAAACGAATCAACTTTTCACAGTGTAGTTCTCAATACTCACTACTCTTGAGTACTTTTGAAAGGTCTACTTGTTACTCATACTTTGAGTAATATTTACAACAGATACTTTTACTCTATTTGCATTACATTTTTGGGCAAGTAATGGTACTTTTACTTGAGAATGTTTTTTCAGTACTCTTTCCACCACAGTAAATCAGGGACTAAGCCAAAGGATGGATGGATGGATGGATGGATGAATGAATGAATGAATGAATGAATGAATGAATGAATGAATGAATGAAGGTGAATGAATGAAGGTTGATTAAAAATGTTAGTTCACCCTAAAATGAAAGCTATATTAGTAATTTAGTTTTCCCTTGAAACCTTTGTTCATCTTCTGAACAAATTAAGATATTTAGATGAAATCCAGGAGCTCTTTCATCCTCCATTGACAGCAATGGTGACGAGAGCAAAATCACAAAACATCCTCAAAACAAACCATGTGTAAACAAGACAATCATTACTTATTTCAAGGGATCTTCATCTCTATGTCAGTATAGGGCACACAGTCACGAGAACAATGTCCGCTCAATTAATGTGCTTTGTTTCAAATTGAACGCACCATGGTATATATCTCATGGCTTTGTAACAACTTTAGGCTGTGGGCTTAATGACAACTACTTTATTTTTGGGTGAACTAACTCTTTAAATGTCTTCCCAGTGATGAAAGCTCAGTTGTCCTTGCGCTTATAAGACATTCAAATAGCTGAATAAAACAATGTCATCATATTATATTAACAATATATGACAAAATAATTTGTTTAAACTATAAAGGAACAGCAGTCCTTTTGAAAATGACATTCAGTCCCAAACATTCTAAAACTGTAATCCTCTTCTTAAGTGACGTTTTATTAACCTTGAAGTTTCAAGAAAGTTTTAAATTATTTAAATCTCATTTGAAATTTCATCATTAGAAATAAATATCAAATTAATAGTAATTTTGTCCTTGTAATATTTGCATATTGTGATTTGTTTTATTTATTTGTGTTATATTTGTTAGTGTAGTTTGCAGTGTAGTGTAGTTATCGCTAATCATGACCCAGTAAGTGGCCGTTTGCACAGATTAATTTTTACTTTTCACTTATTTTCCTCATACACTGCTTTTTCTTATATAATCTAAACCAACATCTAAACCAACATGTTTAGTCCAACTCGTACTGCACTAACAGACAGATGCTGACCAATGACAGCAGACACTTTGTCAGATCAGTGTCACTGCTGTCAGTCTAGTGTTCAACATTGGCATTTGTTTTCACTGACTCAACATGATTAATTCAAATGTCTGAGAAGTAACCTACTGTAATTTGGCAGTTGTCCATATTGGTTGCTTTATATTGGGCAGTGTATACTGGGGTGTTTTTTTGCTCATTTTTTAAACCCAACAATGCGTTCTTTGTCAAAGGCTGCTAAAGGTTGCTGGAGGTCTGGATTCAGCTGTGCATTATGCTACATAGCTGTGCTAGCAATGGATAATGTAAAGTAATTAAAAAAACCTTGGAGTCTTTTATTTTCTTGGCCAACAACATTTGCTGAAGAATTAAACTAGGGTCAGAAATAGAAGAAAGCCCAAGTAAGAAGTATTCTGCAATCAAATGCAAAAAAAAAAAACTTCATTAACTTTAGCAGCCCAGACTCATTGAAAATATGTGCCTCAGCTTACAATTTTGCAAATCATAAAATACGTTGCTCCTTTATTCATTTAGTGGAACATGTCAGATGAGAAATACACTAGAGGACGCGGTCTATGTTTTTGTAAATCTGAAATACGTTACTTTGGGAAATATGTTACTTTTGCAGCATACTGTATGTACACCAAAATAACAACACCAGTGATTCAAGATAGCCACTATCCTTTGAGGTGATTTTCATACACAAACACACACCAATAAGCCTATATAAACACAAGGAGCAACAACAACAAAAACAAGCACCAACATAATTTCTTATAGTAATTTATTAATTTGTTTATTTCGACATTCACCTCGCCTAATGGGTAGGCAAAATGTTTGGGGCACAGCAAATCATAGTATAATTTTGGAGGGTACAACATGGAGATCATCCTCCATGATCCATTGTGACATGAATTTATTTGTAAAGTATGTGTGTGCTGAAAAGATGTCTAGGTATGGTGCCATAAAATCCATCTTCTGCAACTGACGCTAAGGTGATTATCCAGGGGCTGCGATCCAAAAGATTGTTTTGTTGTTTTACAAGAAGTTTTATCTTTTGTTAGTCAAGGATAACATGTTCAATCATTCATTTTCTTTTTGGCTTAATCCCTTTATTAATCTGGAGTCGCCACATCAGAATGAACCGCCAACTTATCCAGCACGTTTTACACAGCGGATGCCCTTCCAGCCGCAACCCAACACTGGAAACACCCATACACTCTCATTCACACACATACAGTTGAAACCAGAAGTTTACACACACTGTATAAAAAGGCACATAACCTTTTTTTTTTTTTTTTTTAAGTCAGATATTTATGTGAATAAACTTTTTCTTTTTTAGGTAAGTTTGGATTATAAAACTTTTTTTCTGTTATGCTTAATAGCAGAATAATGAGAGAGAGAGATTTTTAAGAAATTGTTATAACTTTTCTTGAAAGTCAAGTTTACATACAATAAGATTATAATGCCTCTGAAAAAGCTCAGATGATGAGGTCAATGTTTTGAAAGTTTCTGATTGGTTAATTGACAACATTTGAGTTAATTGGAGGCACAACTGTAGAATAGTATTTAAGAAAAACCTCAAACACACGCCTTCCTTCTGTGACAACATGGAAAATTCAACAAGCCAGTATCAACAAAAAGCCAGATCACAATTTGCTAAATTACACTGAGAAAATAATAATTTTTGGAGACATGTCCTGTGCTCTGATGGAACTAAGATTGAACTGTTTGGCCATAATGACTGTTTAGGTTTGGAGGACAAAGGGGAAAGTTTAGAAGCCTAGGAACACCATCCCAACTGTGAAGTATGGGGGTGCCAGCATCATATTGTGGGGCTGTTTTGCTGCAGGAGGGACTGGTCCACTTCACAGCATAGATGGCATCGGTAAGAAAGAACATTATGTAGAAATACTGAAGCAACATCTCAAGACGTCAGCCAGAAAATTAAACCTTGGCCACAAATGAGTCTTCAAAACAGACTATGACCCTAAGCATACGGCCAAATTAGTTAAAATGTGCTTTAAGGACAACAGAGTGAATGTTTTGGAGTGGCCATCACAAAGCCCTGATCTCAATCCTATAGAAAATTTGTGGGCAGAGTTGGAAAAGCTTGTGTGTGCAAGACAGCCTACAAATATGACTCAGTTACACCAATTCTGTCAGGAGCAATAGGCCAAAATTCCTGCAAACTATTGTGAGAAGCTTGTGGAAGGATACCCAAAACATTTGAGCAAAGTTATACCATTTAAAAGCAAAGCTAAAAAATATCAGGAAAATGTATGTAAATTTTTGACTGTCTAGAACTTAATAAAAAATTATCTAAAAAAAAAAAATCCCTCATTATTCTAGCATTTAGCAAATGTAAATAATTTAGGTAATCCTAATGGACCTAAATAGTAAACGTTTAGTATGATTTACCATCAGATATTTTTAAAATGTTATGTTCCGTTTTTTAGAGTGTATGTAAACCTCAGGTTTCAACTGTACACTGCAGACCAATTTAGCTTCACTCAATTTACCTATAGAGCTTGTTTTTGGACTGTGGGGAAATTGAGCTGGGGCTCAAACCATGTACAAGGTAAGCTACAGAGCAAAATGACAACGACAGAGAAAATTGCCCATATGGAGATGGAAAGATTAGGCAAACATATTTAATTACAAATCATAGACAGTGTTAAATTGTTTTGTGTTGTTTATTTGGTGCTGTGCAATGAGTTGCACAGAATAATTATTTATTCATCATTAAAATGTCCCTGTAGATATTATATATGTGAAAAGAAACAATAGTTATTGCCATCATACTGCCTCATAGCATTCATTTTACCTTTACTCTTGTCAAACATAATTTTAAGTATGTTTTTGATGTCACAAGGCTGAAGCATGTATTTCCAATGATCATGTGTTGCCAGGGACATGAATGTGCCTGAAGCTATCAATGCACTTTAAAACTATTTACATTACCCATGTAGACACTGCAGCTAAATTCAGTTGTCACTCCACCCTTAGTTTTTAATCGTGTTTTGAACGCTCAGTTCAGAAATTTGCGTCAGTCACATTGTATGACATATTTACCTTATTCATCTGAGGTCCTCAAGCCTCTGTGTGAGCAAACAAATCACAGTGAAAACTTTGACTCATTAACAAATTTTGCCATCGGTCTCTCTCTCTCTTTCCACAATAGTGCAGACTTCAGCTTGAGTTTCAGTTAAACTCATTGGAGCAGTGGGCAGGGTTTGAAACTGAAGTCTGCAGGACACTAGCTTTGTTGCAGATCCCAGTATTATTCAGGATAGATTCAAATCTCCATTCCTGATGGAGTAACCAATGGTTGTTACGCTTCATAAGAGTGTGTCTATGACTGAGATATTTGGTCAATGTGGCAAAAAACACACTTTGAAGGTGCATTTAATATCTCATGCATAACGTATACTTATTCAGTACACGCCTAACATTGTCCTACCTGCCATTATAAAAGAGTCTCAAAGAAAAGCCTTTAAAGTCTGCATGAACCAGAAGTTGCTGAGACTTTTTTTTCAGTATGTTGATGTACTTCTGACTGAAATTGAATATTGAGTAGGGGTCAAGGGTTCCTTTTGCGCATTATTCCCTCGTAGCAAACTAATGGTTATAGTGGCATAGTTAAGAAAATAGTGGCCGAATCCATCAAACTGACATCATGAGATAAAGACCACAACCTCAAACTTGGAAACAAGTGGTCAGACTTTGATTAAAGATTATCAAAATAAATGTTTTTTTTTTCAGTGGATTTACTTGCACAGATTAATTGTTCACCAAAAGAACAACAAAGTGCGCTAGCAAAATAAACATTGTAAATTCATTTGTTGGGTATCCGGAGTGTTATAGAGTTACAATAACTGTTACAGAGGTTGCCATCTTGTTCTTATAAGTTAGATCTTGGTCTTATACGTTGTTCTTATAAATAAGATAATCAATGAATATACCTCAGTAGTTTACCTCAGGTTACTTAGGGGTCACATAAGACCAAAAATAGCAAAACCCTTGATAAAGGATGGGACCACCATAGAGGTCTTGGTGTTCTAGGACTTTCAGCCATCATCAGTGCTTGCAAAGGACTGCATTATTTTTCATTATGGCGAACAGAGCTTTAAACAAAATGTCTGTTCTGTCCAGGGTCTGTGCTGGACCAGTGCCTTTGGACAAGAGAAGGTGGTTTTCTGAAGTCCCCAAAGTCTTAAGAAGTTCTTCTAGTAATTTTTTGTCCTTGTATTTAACCAACATTGACCCCAAGACCGACTTGCAGCTTGTCCGCTCTGTGGTTGACAAAGGCACCCATGATCAATGTGGCAGGAAGAGGGTAAAGCCGCTTCTCCAGAACCCCACCAATAATACAGCGGCTGTCCAACATTCCTAAAAAATGATTGACAGATCATAATGATTGACAAATATATGTGCTATATATGTGCTTATGTGGAAAATAAAGGCATTGATAATTGAACTTCGCTTCACTTTTTACACATTTTTTCTTATTCCAAAATGGATTAAATTAATTTATTTCCTCAAAATTCTACACACAATACCCCATAATGACAATGTGAAAAAGGATTTATTTTAATTATTGCAAATTTATTTAAAAACACTATGTAGTGCTAAAAACCAAGGTCCTGCCTATAGCCAAAGACAAGGAAAGAAGACAGAACTGTAAAAGGCCTGGGTAATTAATCATCAACAAGCAAAATAATTGCAGTCTGACAGCAATCTACACCTGTACGGCAGGGTATGTAAACTTAAACATAGAGGTAAAGTTGGTTTTATATTTGCACATTTGGACTTTTCCTTAATAATATAATTTCATAATAGTATTATTTGCAAACTCTAAATAGAGAAATCATATTCGCAGCCAGAGACTATCAAGGTACAGGATTGTTCACAGTCAAATAAACAGTGTTAATGTTGTTTTCAAGTCACACTTGCAGGTTATTTCAAACCGAATATTCAAAGTGCCGTGGTAAACAATATAGGGTGTGTGTCAGTCACTGAATGAATGTGAGAATATAAAACCAACTTTACCCTAATTACTTAAACTTTCCCGTTTCATTCTTAGCATTCAGTGTTCGCAGTTTAATCGACCATATGTAACTGTTTTTGCTGAAATCATTGCTGCAATCAAAAACGAGTAATGTGTATGATTCAGCAGCGTGAACTTACCTGATATAACATGAGAACTGCAAAGTCCTGCATTTCTAATTAGGTCGTCACTTTATTCAGCTCCCTTTTAGCCAAAGACGTCTGCAGTTGGCATTAAAGCAGTGTGTGGTGTATGGCAAAAGTTAAGTTTTCTATTTTTGAATAATGACCCCATAATGATAATGTGAAAAAAGATTTTTTGAAATTGTTTTTCTATGTTTACATACCCTGCCGTACAGGTGCAGTTTGCTGTCAGAATGTAGTAGTTTTGCTTGTGGATGATTACCCAGGCCTTTTACAGTTCTGTCTTCTTTCCTTGTCTTTGGCTAGGCAGAACCTCGTTTTTAGCACTACATAATGTTGAATTTGATAATCATGGAACATTTATTTCTTGCCAACACTTGTAGGCCTTTAACTTCTCTCTTGTCTCTCATGCCGAATCCCTGAGCTTCACTCGGTGACGAGCTGTTATAATATGCTGAAAGCATATATATATATATATATATATATATATATATATATGTAATGTAATCAATTATAACTTATTTCTAAGACAACAACAAACTTTGTACCGCATCGGATGTCATTCCCTCACTGTAAATGCTAGTGCTACTGTTTTTTTTCTGCCACCTCCCTGCACGCGCATCCTCAATGTTTACAAACATGGTAATGGTAAAAAAAACATGGAAAAAGTAAAGCGCTCCGGATACTTTTGTAGAAAATATAATTCTTCTTTTTATTTTATTTTCTCAGAGTTATTCTTGATTCTCTATTAGTATGGTGTGTATGCTTTGCCTAAATAGATGTTAAATCATTTACCTTACCGTCATTCTTTACTCTATATTTTTATATATTCTATACTATATTTTGTATGTTCTGTGAAATTATATGCTAACCTAAACTGGCCTTTGAGGAGATGTATTTTGCATACTAATGAGGCATTTCGCAGCAAGAGCTATCTTGGACAAGAAATATGCAGCAGAAACAATAAAAATAACATCTGTCTCTTGCCTCTGATTTCCTGTGAAAAAGTATTGGAGCCTGTGTAGGTCTCTAAGCATAAGCATGTGCATTTAACTGGTCTTGTTCTTCTGTGCAGAAAAGAGGAACTAGAGATGGGGCCGAAAAGCTGACAGAGACAACCCGCCTTCTCTTCCTTTTGTGTATAAAACTGGGTTTCTAGGTACCGGGCAGTGCAGAGTACCTGACGTTAGTCCCGGTTAGCATTGTATAACGGTTAGACTATCTTGGTGTATGCCCAGAGCTCTGAACATCATATTATTCATTTGTATTCAATAAATTACTAATCTTTTAAGCATTAAACAATTTCTCCTGAGTTTGAATTGAACACGCATGGAATAGAGAAAAATATTCCAACACTTTACGAATGCACGCTACTCTACATAAAGTGTCAAGTGAATACGATTTTTAAAAGTTTAATAAGATTTTAGGAAACTTTATATTTTTATCCATTAAAAATACATTAACACTAGGACAATCAAGTTAGTGATCTTTAGTTGTTTTTAAATGTTGTAATTTAGTAATTTTGTTTATATAAAACTTATATAATTGACTCTCCTAAATGTGTTTATTTCATTCTAACATAATTATTTTATTAACATTACAAAACAGAAGAGACTTTTTTTTACTTTTTTTTTCTCTTTTAATTGAATGGCTATAATGATCATGTTGATTCCATGCATCTTAGTGTTTACTACTTTCTCATTGTACCTTAAACATACATGCTTCTGTTGTCTAGAAATTTTCTGCTAACAAAAACAAAACTTTACTTTAGACTTGTTTTTCAAACAGCATTTATACTGTGGTGAAAAATTCTCGCTTGCTGGACAAAAGGAGCTACAGGTGTGGGCTGGAGGAGTTGTGGTGGTCTTGTACCTACACAACTATATATTTTACAATATATAATACTGCTAAATTACAAAAATGATAGTATTTTAAAGTAATGACTTCATAAAGGAGACATTAAAAGATTAGTTCTAAAATCTCAATAAAAGCTTTGAATGTAACTTCAATACAGTCTTATGTGAATGGTCAGAAGAACTACTATGGCCATTCTATAACTCTGGTTGTTGGTAGTTCCAATGTTAAACTGATATACCGTATAAAGAAAGGTATCTAAAGAAAGTATCTATTTAAATATTTTACAAAAATTTCTAAATATTACCATTTTTAGTGTATTTTTTTCCTCTGGTGAGCATAAAAGACTTTTATAATATCTCAGAAAAGAAAATTTTTGAACTGTAGTGTTTAAAGGCCTGTTCACACCCAGCATAATCACTATAAATATAACTATAATCATATTTGCGTACATTCTAACAAAAATAACCATCTGTTGTTTCCAAGGTAGTCATTATCTTTAAATAATCTTTGTAAAGAGGGCTTAATATCAAGCAGAGCTTCTCCAGAATGTTGTCTTGTAGCTTTAAACCTTGTTTACATTTTAATGGATTTTATGGAAAATCATTCTAAAAGTGATCCAAATTAAATCATTTCTCAACATCTTTATCATTATAGCTGTGGTCTGAACTCAGTCTTTATGTTTATCTTTATAGTTATTATAGTTGCTTGTTGTTATATTTATTTGCTGATTTAACAAATCAGTGACAACAGTGAACTTCTACAGAAATGTACCCTATAGCGAACTATTGCGTGACAGTCTCTGAGTTCATGTTAGGTCTGTTTGCAAATGCACATGCAAAGGGTGGTGAAAGATGTATTAAACTTTGTTAATGTGTCAGGTTCCAACTCAAGAATTTTATCTATGTACACTCTGACTGAGAGCACTGTTGCAGTGTAAGTATTGGCAGTATAAAAGTATCGTTTTATTAGTAGTAAATGGTTTAGGCCGTTCCAAAAGCAACATGTTACAATAATACTTTCACAACTAAACATTTATTCAAAATTCAGTTTTGCCTAAAATCACTTCTTTTTTGATCGTTTATACGAAAGAAACAAATTACTTTGGCTCAAATATATTGGAAAAGTGATATTTTCTTTGTGATATTCAGCATAACATTGTAGCAAAAGTAGTTATTTTGTGTGATGAAATTTGTGTGATGAAATTGTGATAAAAGTGACGGAGTTTTAGGGACTTTTACCCTTGTAAATTTAAGGGTGAAAGAAGAAATGCTTGTATGTTATCTTTGTTACTTGAATGTACAACCCCAAATCAGAAAAAGTTGGTACAGTATGGAAAACACAAATAAAAGAAAGTAGTGATTTGCAAGTTTACTTTTACTTGCATTTGATTGCAGACAATATGAACACAAAATAGTTCATGTATTGTCTGGTCAACTTCATTTTATTTGTAAATATACATCCTTTCCTGTCAGACCTGCAACACATTGCAAAAAAAGTTGGGACAGGAGCAGTTTAGGGCTGGTAGTCATGTAAATTTGTTAAATAATGATGTCATTTGAAACAGGTGATGTCAACAGGTGATTGTAATTATGATTTGGTACAAAAGCATCATCCAAGAAAGGTCTAGTCCTTTAGGAGCAAAGATGGGCTGAGGATCGCCAGTTTGCCAACAGATATGTGAGAAAATTATTGAAATGTTTAAAAACAGTGTTCCTCAAAAAAAATGGGAAGACAACATATGGATATTTCACCTTTAACATTGCATAACATAATAAAAAGATTCAAGGAATCCTAAATAGAGTGCATAAAGGACAAGGGCGCAGGCCTAAGCTGAACATTTCCAATCCCATATGCGGCACTGCATCACAAATCCTCAATCATCTATAAGTGATATCACTACACGGGCTCAGGACTACTTTGGCAAACCACTGTCAAGTAGCACAATATGTCGTTACATCCACAAAATGCCAGCTAAAACTGTACTGTGCCAAAAAGAAGCCCTATGTTAACAGTGTCCAGAAGTGCCATTGACAAAATTACACCTGAAACACTTGTGTGCAGCAAGGTGTCTTCAGTCCCTAAATGTCTTTTACATGTTGTGGAAAGGAATGGCAACATTACAAAGTGGTAAATGCTTTACTGTTCCAAATGTGTTGCAAAAACCAATGTTGTTATTAAAATAAATAAATAAATAAATCATGAGGAACACATTAAATAATGTTTGTTAGTATTGTCTCCAATGAAATAAATGAAATCACTACTTTCTTTTTTTATTTGTGGTTGTCATACTGTCCCAACATTTTCTTGTTTAGGGTTGTATCCCTACACTGTAAAAATGTTTGATAATAAACAGGTTCCGTATTTTGTGATTCACAGGTGCCTACTGTTAATTTACGGTTACAATTTGCATTATAGGATATTGATCTCTGCTCTGTCGATATTAGATGTTAAGAACTCAAAAGCAGCCACATTTGAATCATAATTTAAAGCATTAACCTAGACAATGCATCACCTCAAACTAGTAAAAATCTCAATAAAAGTCACTTTTTCAAACTTTTCAACATCCAAAGTTTGTTCGAATGTAAATAAGACAATTACTTTTTTGTGTATTTTATACTCTCCAGTTTTTGAAATATGTGTGAATCAGTCTTATTGGACCTGGGTGTGTATTGTTTTAAATATTGTTAAATAAAAAAAAAAACTCATAAAGCCTAATTTCACACACTGTAAATTTTTTTTTATATTTTTGTTGCTTTAACTTATTTTAATAAGTTAATCAGGTTTCAACTAAATCTTTTTATTTTTTACGAAGTTTAACTTATTAATTTTAGTCTGATTAACGTAAGTTGAAATAACTATAAAAGTTTATAAAGCATATAAAAATAATTTTTACAGAGCAAAGACATTTTTCAGAAAGTGAATAATTAGTAAAAATTCATACAATTTCATTCACGTGAAAATGCCTGATTTTTAAAAAATTGTCCCTAAATCCCACCTGTCATTAGTGGATAAGCAAATCATTAAAATAAAGATTGAGATCATTCGTAAATTTATTTGAATTAGCCACTAAATCAAAAAGCTACGAATTGCCATGAGAGTGCCTTGGATCAACTACACATTTAGTATATACTGTAGTTCTAACCTCTGAAAACCATTTTAGCTTCAGGAAGTTCCATCTGGTAACCAAAGGAAAAGGTTGTCTCTTGCGTCCTAGTACTCGCCTCAAACTCCACTCCCACCTGAATCTAGAAAGTTTAAATAAAAAAAAATGCAGCTTTACAACACAATTATCTTGTCTTGTCATTGAACATTTTAAACAAAGACATCCTTCAACACAGTCACACCTGTTTGTTGGCCCTGTGGTAGTAGCTGGCATGTGCACCTCCTTTACCTGCATTCAGTGTTGCAATCCAGTTTGCCCCTAAGATGGAAAAAGATTGTCACATTTGATTCTCAATTGCCCTTGAGAAGCAAGAAAACTGCGCAGGTGAACAGCTTGAATTACAGTTTTTAAACTGCTTACACACGTTTTCAAAACAGTGTCACTCTTTTTTCAAAACTCTACACACAAATCCCAAAACTGCACACACAAAATGCAGAATACCTCACATCTCCTTCAAAATGTAACACTGCATTCAAAATGCCATGAACACATGTCAGAATAAAGCATTTGCATCAAATGGAAAACACATCTTTCATAATAGTAAATGTTAAGATACAGCATGTAATCACTGTTGTTCTAAATCAGGGGTGCACACTCTGCCCTGGAGGGCCACTGTCCTGCAGATTTTAGCTCCAAAATCAAACACACCTAAACAAGCTTATCAAGCTATTACTATACTAGAAACTTTCAGGCAGGTTTGTTGAGGCAAGTTGGAGCTAAAATCAGCAGGACACCGGCCCTCCTGGACTGAGTTTGGACACTTCTGTTCCAAATTTAAAGCTCTTTGCTCTTTCATATTCTTATATCTACATTTCAATACAATGTTATACAGTGGCAGTAATGTGCTTAGAGGGGGATAAGATACACTGTAAAAACCAATGACATGAAGAAACAGAAAATATTCATTAGGCCAAACATTACTGTTGCATACAGTAGCATACAACTAAACCATAAACACACTGCATGTCAAAATGAATGAATAAATAAATAAATAAATAAATAAATAAACATATAAAGTGAAAATATATTCTCCAGAATACAGTCACTTGCCAGTACCAGGCTAAGAAAAATTCCTCTATTCTTTTGTTAAGGAATTTAGGACTTTAGAAAAGGTGAATATGTGGTAGGTAAAGCTACAAACTGTGGGCAGAAAAATGTGAGCTAAAAATGTTTTGGGCCGAACAGCCCAATGTCTTGTCACCTTTGACCTATTTATAGGCCTATAGTAGAGTAAAGCAATGATTGTTTAGTGATCAGCTAAGAAATTAATGTTTTTTCACATTTGAGGAATGTGTGTACAACCGTGTGAACAAGGCTCAATTCCAATTCTTTTTTTGTATCCCCTTTTCCTCGGCCCTTTAAACAGAGTTTACCCCTAAGAAATGGGACAGCACTACAGCACCTGCACACATCATCATATGTCATCGCGATGTCTTGCTTCATATGAGATTGACGATCGTGACTGCTGTAGTTATTCCAGTGTAGTTATTTATTGTTATTTATCTTCAGGAAATCTCTAAATACGACGATATCATGCTATCATAACAATCTAAAGTGGCAATAAGATCGTAACTGTACTATGCATTTACATCCTGGCCATATTCATCAATGAAAAAACAAGAAAACAACATTAACATTATAGCAGACACTGTAAAAAGCTCAAGCGCAGCCACTAGACTTTTCTGACAGGGTATTTGAGTGTCATTGAGTGTCCGAATGTTTGTGAAACTGCAATACAGGAGTTATTATTATGGATTGTAGATAGCGGAATTTGGCGTTTTTTATTTTAGAGTATTTTTTAAAGCATGACTGTAAAACACGTACGCGGTTATGAATGTATAAAACATGTACTAGTTTGTTGTAAAATTCGTAATAATGACAAAAAATACTAATTTGTGGATCTCCTTACTTCCGGGTGCAGCTATGCTGCCGTTGTGGTTGGTGTATTCTGGGAAATTTTCTTACCTCTTAGTGTCGTGGGTGGAAAAAAGGAGTATCAAGCCCTTCCTCTTAGCCCTACGCCTTCAAGATAAAAAGAATTGGGACACCCCTACCCCTTCACGTGAACGCGCAAAATGGGAAGGGTAAATGGGAAGGGCTAAGAGGAGGAATTAGGATTGGGCCCAAGTGTTGCATTTTGATTCATTGTGTTTAAAAAAGGAAAGCAAGTAGCTTTCTGTTAGATTTGTGTGTTTTAGGTTGAGAATTGTGTGTTGTGTTTTGGAAAAAAAGAGTTTTGGGCAATTGAATACTAAGCTCATGGCTGAGAAATAGCTTATGGTGCTTAAGATTTGCTGTGTAGTTTAGCATTTTGAGTGAGATGTTTCAGAAATTGTGTGACATAAAAAGATTTTGTGTGTAGGCAGTTGGAAAAAAATGTAATAAGGGCTCTTTTTTTTATTTTTCGATCTAGGAGCAAAGTCTAAAGCGCAGGGTACAAAGGCATTAAGGCAGGGGTCTCAAACTCGCGGCCCGCGGGCCATTTGAGGCCCTCAGTGCAATATTTTGTGGCCCACGCCGACCGCTGTACACTGACAGAATCAGCGGAGCGGGGAGAGAGAGCGCTCCCCGCTCCGCTGATTCTATCCGTACACATCGGTCACTGGCATTCCCCGCCCGCCGTGTAAACAAAGGGGCGAGGATGCCGGTGACGTCACCACGCACCCCGCCCCTTTGTTAGACGCTGTGACGGGCGGGAAGTGTGGAGGGGCGTTGTCGTGCGCGTTCTGATCAGCTGTGTTGTCGCGCACGTACTCAAGAGCGGTGTTATCGCGCGCCTACTGGAGGGCGGGACCGAGAGTGTGTCGCGTCGCGGGGGCACTTTTGATCATTTTGGAAGGGCACTTTCTATGCAAAACTAAAAAGGGCATGTGCTCTGCACAGGTTGAGCCCTATGTGTGCACGTGCCTGCCCTGCATCTTATATATATTATAGGTAGATACAGACTGGTACAGACTAGAGTGGGGTGGGGGTGTTTTATTTATACATATATACGCCTTTTTTTTTAGGTGAGGGAATGGAAGTTTTGAGTGAGTTCCCCCACTTTTTTCCCTAGGACTTCAATAATTCAAAGTACAGGTCTAGACTTAATGATGATCATCTTCAAGCCATACTGAGGGTCTCAACTGCTTCCGCTCTAAAGCCAAATGTGGTTCAGATTTGTGAGAAGAAGCGCTGTCAAGTCTCTGGCAGCAAGAAGTAGGCAAAAGATGCCATGTTCAGAAGAACTGTTCATAATCTTCATTCAATGTTCTATTAATGTTCAGGACACTTCATGTTCAGAAGAAGTAATTAAAACTGTTATTAATGACATTTGAGGACTTTTTTTTGTGAAATCCCTTATGCGGCCCAGCCTCACCCAGACTTTGCCTCCTGCGGCCCCCAGGTAAATTGAGTTTGAGACCCCTGCATTAGGGTATGTCTGAATCCACTTTTGCTATTTTAAGGATTAAAAGATACGCTCTGTGCCACGGTGCAGGGTTTAACAGGGTTGTGCTTATTTTCTTAATAAGTTATGGGTAAGTCCAATTAAAGTCACTAATTTAAAGGAAATAATGGAATCTCTGAAGATATCCATTAATCTACAAATTTAATTTTGTTTGTTAAGCGCAAAGACTTGTTTCAAAACTATTTCTAAATTCAGTTCTAATTTCTAGCAAACACAAAAAAAGAATAATAATAACAAAGTGTGAAGAGAAAACTGAGTTATATTCAAACACACGTCCTATTCTTATGCCCCATATGGTGACACAGACGTCTCCAAAACCCCACAGGAGGACAAATCTAAACTTGTTTTTATTAAAACAAATATAAATATGCAAATAATAAATTATAAATAATAAAACTTTAGTCCAGCTTTCAGTTGGTCAATGGCGCAATCACTAAGTGTTCAGAATGATTCATACTGGTGTATGACAAGTGGCACTCTGACCTGAGTACTGGCCCGCCAGGGTGAGTATGCCACCTTCTTCTGCTCTACCTCGATGGTACACGAGCTCACCCCCCAGTACCAGCTGTGGGGAAACACTTTGAAGAAAGTGTGCAACCATGATAACTGTCAAAAAGATGAAAAAGGCACAAATTAAAAATAACATATTAATAATGTTTTTTCAATGTAAATAATGGCTTTGCAGTTCCTAAGGTGTTCTGAAAGGTTAGGGTAATTGCCAACGCAGGGGTGGTTGCATGTTTTATGCAAATGCTAACATGTCCCTATTGGTTTAACGTGCTGCTATACTGTTTCTACAATTATTAGGGACTAACCAGGGGGTTGCATATGTAGCTCTTAAGGTGTTCAAAAGGGTTTTCTGTGTGTTATGCATGGATTCAGTGTTCTACTATGTGGCTACTGAAGTGTTATAAGTGCTTTTAGTGTGTTGCTAAAGTATGAGGTCACTAGGGTGTTAGCAGTTATTGTGTTTACTGTGCTGTACACAATGTGCCAAGGTATAAATGCAGTTGCGAAGGTGTTCCACAGTCTTTCTAGGGTGTTGATAGGTAGTGTTTTCAATACTGTAGTGTGCTTTGCAAATGCTTAAATGTTCATATTCAAGTAATTTAGAGCATTACTACAGAGTTAACAAGTGTTTTGGTAAGAATTTTAGTGACTCCCGGCCCATGATCATTGCTTTAAACCAAGGATTTCTAATATTTTATATTTGCATGTGCTTTGTTTGTTGATGCTGGATAATGGCAAATATACATTTAATCCTTTTAGTTACAATGAATGCAGAGCAATGCAAATAATAGATTACAGCATTAACAATTTGACTTAATAGGCAAACAGAACGATTCATCACAATGATATATAAAGGCAACTCTTCCAAGACAATGTAGAAAAACCTGTTCTGGGTGAAAGACAAACAAATGCACATTCCCTTGGCAGCTATAAATCAGCCTGCCTTCTACCGAGGAATTAAAACATTCATACCTGATTCCCTCAGAATGTCAGGGTTGGCCATAGTAACCGCAGCTGTAAAGTCACTACCTCTGTATTCGGTCTCAAACTGCCACGTGACAAACTGTGCCTGTTGAGTCTATCAAAGAACAGGAAGTCGGTCCACGTTGAGTCAAAGTATTTAATTAATAGAACATTCCACAACACTGCTACTAACCTGAAATACGGCTTTAGCTCTTATTTTCTCACTGAGATGGAACAAAGAGTGTGCATTTAAGCTGCCAGAGGAGTCCATTTCCCCAATAAGCATAGGTGAGTCCTTTAAACACAGAACAAATTGAGGATAAATTCATCATATTGAATACGTAAGATAAATTTTACCCAAATAAAACACACTTTAAGCAAGTAGTCTCTTACAAACCCATTCATTACTGCCCATTATGATTATTTTGGCTACAGTGATTTTGAAATCTGATTTAACAAACTCTGTAGCTTGTTTTACAGGTTTTTAGTCTTCAGTCTTTACATAACACGCTGTAGGGTAAAAGAAACTTATGATTAGTGTTAAATAAGTTTTCCAACCCATAATTTGTGATTAATAAGAATAGGGTTTAACATACATGTCAACAATCAACATCAAATGTCTACATAAATCATCCTTTATAGCAGTGTTTCTCAATCACGTTCCTGAAGGACCACCAGCTTTGCACATTTTTCACCATTCATTAGCAGAGACTGAAAGACGTGTAATGAGTGTGACAGAAAAAGAGATGTCCAAAACATGCAGTGTTGGTTCTCCTCCAGGAACGTGGGTGAGAAACCCTGATTTATAATATACAGACATAAAGATAAAAATCATTAAAACAATAAATGTGTAAAACATCGTTAAAAGGTTTTAATGTAAATTGTTCACTATATAGTAAAAGGTTTATAGTTAAAAGTAAGGAACTATTTTAGCCCCAATTCTTATGCTTTGCTTGTCTGATGTGAAAGCCTGGTTGTCTTTTGACTTTCTAGATTTTAATGAGAGTAAGACTGAAATAATTTCGTTCAAAATTCTTCCAGGGTACCTATAGTTAATCTTGAAAAATTCAGCTTTTCTATGAAGCCCTGGGTAAAAAATCTGGGTGGAATTATGGATGATGGCTTAAACTTTGACAAACCGACAAATGCAGAAGTCAAATCCTGTTACTTTCAGCTTCAGACGTTTAAAAACAGTCAAATCTATTTTATCTAGAAAACATTTTGAAAAAATAATCTATGCTTTTATTACCACTAGATTGCACTATTGTAACTCATTATACTTTGGGATTAGTCAGAAAACCTTATCCCATTTACAATTAGTTCAAAATGCTGCTGCAAGGCTTTTAACAGGTACCAAGAAACATGACCACATTACACAGGCATGTGCACACATAGGGCTCAACCTGTGCAGTGCACATGCCCTTTTTAGTCTTGGATAGAAAGTGCCCTTCCGAAATTATCAAAAGTGCCCCCGCGACGCGACCCTTCAGTAGGCGCGCGACAACACCGCTCTTCAGTATGCGCGCGACAACAACACCCCCCCCCCCCCCCCCACACACTTTTCAAAAAATGTATCCTGCAAATGCCCTTTGGACGGTCTCTGCACGGGCCTGACATTACACCAGTTTTATGCTCTTTGCACTGGCTGCACATCGAGTCACTTTTAAAATACTTCTCTTGGTTTTTTCAATTTCTGAATGGCCTAGCACCTTCTTATCTGTCAGACATGTTAATTGAGCATCAACCAGGGGTGCATTTCCCAAAACCATCGTTTGCCAACTAAGGTCGCAAATTCTGTCCTTACAAACATAGTTTGTTGGTTTGCCATTTCCCAAATCCATCGCTCCAAGGAACATTCGCAAACTGCGTCGCAAACTTGAGCACTCGCAACTACACCTCTGGAGCTGTAGTTAGAAACATAGTTCCTGGCTGTGTTCTATTCCAACTTATCTCCCCTATGCCCTATTCATTTAGAACATTCTAACATTCAAAGTTGGAATTATTAAAAATAAAAAAGGATTAAAGTCATCACTATGAAGGCTCCTACACTCTGGGACACTTTTCGTTTGCGTTTATCGCCATCGTTTTACAAGACGTTTTTCCGCATTCAAACCCAAGTGATTTTCACTGGCGTCAAGCAGAAGAGTATGCAAAATCACTCCTTGACTTTAAGCTTTCAGCACCCGCTTGTAACACAGAAGAAGAGGAAGAGAAGAAGTTCACGAGCTTGTTGTTAAAGTTACTGGTGACTCGAACAAGCATAAATGGTTCAAGTAGCAGCTCCAGCTCTAGTGATGAAGAAATGATTATTGTTCAAAGAGCAATAAGCAGCTCCACGTTCATATCGCCTTTATATCTTCTTCAATGTGCGCTGGCATTGACAGTTTTGCGCTTGAGTGCCTCCAAGTGCTGTTTACTGTAACTTCAGCAGCTCCGTGCACGTGAACAAAAGTGCCAACCTGATTGGTGGAGAAGGTTTTAACCTGGCGCGTCATATCAAAAAACGAGCATGAGGCGTTTCTTAAAAAATGACGCTCTTGCGGTTGCCGTTTTGCGCGTTGGTGTGCACAATCACACTGACGCCCTTTATAGAGTCACAAGGCGTTAAACGTTGATGGAAAACACGAGCAAAAAACGTCCCGGTGTGCACGGCCTTTAGGTGTAATTTGCTTTTAAACTACTTTTACAGTTCAGTTTTAGCAATCTTCACGCTTACAATTGCGCTCCCTTCGCAGTGCACTTTGAAAACATTGATGTCATTTTGAACACAGCCTCATGGCGAAAGCTATAGGTAATCTAATATTTAAAAGAGGAATTTATATTCCGTTCCCAAAGCTTGTGAAAACAAAAAGCATATGTTTAATCTTTTAATTTATAGTAGGTTATTTATTAAGTATCTGTACTGTATATGACATGGGCCTGCTGGTTAGAACTTTCTGCAGTGGTTTACATGTGTCAAATTACAAAAGTAGACTTAAAAAAAAAAGTAGATAAACAATATCCTACTTACTAATAATAATTAATATTATTAATATTATTATTAAAGATTTTTTTCTAATAAATAATAAATATTGCATTTCTTTTTATGATAAATAGCCTCAATATTTTTTATTTATATGATTTATATGATATTAGAATATGTGTTAGCTTTTGTAAGTGATTTGTTTTACAATAGAATATGTAATGTTCATCTTCTCAATAATATTAGTAAAGCTAACACCGGCCCTAATGTGCTATTTACATATATTTTTGTAATATGGAAATCGTGCCACAGAAAAACACTGCACATCATCTGACTTAACCAAAGCACATCATTGGTCTTCTCCTTCCAGCAACTTTGGTCTTAAAGAAACAGTGGCAGGGAAATTAACTTAAATATCATGTTGCCATATAGCAACACTATGCGGTAGAGGATTAAGAGTATATTCATTATATTTTCCACAATTCATCCAATAAGTCGATTTTACCATGTATTGGTAGAAAATCTTTACTCATTTAACCTAAAATACAAAGTAGTATGATCACTTACTTCTTCATATATTGTAATAAATACATATCAGAATAAGTACATGCTTTCATTTACAGTATATCTACAGTATTATCCCTCAGGATGATTGAAAAAATTCCACACATATTTTTACAAACATTTTTCAAATTGTTTTACAAATATTTTGGATAATAATATTGTTGAGGACTGAGAGAAACTTAAACCCTAACATATGAGAGGCAAAAGAAGATGAAAAAGTAACAAAAGAGCCAAATCAGATTCTTACCGTTTCTTTGCTGTCAGTGTCTGATTGTAGATGCTCAGCATGAAAGCGATAACTGGATGGAGCAACAGCACTGAGGTGGAATGTGTGACTGACCTAAAGTGAAAAAGAAACACAAATGCATCCTTTGGCAAAACAGTTTGTGCTAAATTGTGGTAAATGTTAAAGTGAAAGTTCATTTTATAACTGAACAATATTTATTGAACAAACCTTGAAAAAACTGCTGAGGGTCTTATTTATCACAAGTTTTACACCTTCAATCTGATGTGGAAATACATCTAGAAACACAAGCAATAAAGGTACTCAATTAGACCATCACATTTTCTTTTTTTTTGTTTTTACATAAGGGGCTATATGTAGGAGGTTTTCAGATATGAACTATTTTCATTGCCTGTATTGTTGTCATTTTATTGTCTGTATTTTATGTGACTTTATGTGAGTCTTTTTTCACATAAAATATCATAATGTTTTTGCATAAAAGCCTTTTATATTTTATGTGGCATTTAAGAAGATGGGTTGGAACAAGTGGCCTCTTAATTGTCTTATTGGGAGTGTTAAAGGGTGAGTTCACCCAAAAATAAAAACTTACTATTTACAAATGGTAAATACTCAAGTGATTTTAAACCTTTATGATTTTCTTCCTTCTGTTGAACACTGAAGAAGATATTTAAAAGGTGCAATATTGTAATCATAGACCGTCATAGCTGAAAAAACAACTACTATACATGTCAATGGTTAAAGCTCAGGCCTCAAACTCAATTCTTGGAGGGCCGCAGTTCTGCACAGTTTTGCTCAAACCCTAATCAAACACAAACTGATCTAACTAATCAAGGTGTTCAAGACTATCGACTATTAAGCAAGTGTGAGTTGGAGCTGGCTGGAGCTAAACTATGTTGAGCAGCAGCCCTCCACGTATTGAGTTTGAGACCATTGGGTTAAAGGTTTGGTTTTCAACTTTCTTTAAAAAAAATTTCTACGGTGTTCAACAGAAAAAAGAAGCCCAAACTTGTTTGGAACAAGTAAAGGTTGAGTAAACGGTGAAAGAATTTTCAGTTTTTATTGAACTATCCCTTTAAGACAATGATAAAAGAGACATTATTTACTGTAATGTCAATCAAATCGATGCAGTTCAAAATACAGCGTTCTCAGAATAACTCAAAATACTGTCCTACTAAAGCAAAAGACCTTTAGTTTTTAGTTGTTCAGCCAATTTAATTATAGGTAGAACATTGTAAATCTGGCAATTAGAAATAAAAAGCATGAGTTTTAGGATCAGTTTTTTAATTTTTAAATTTTTTTTAAGGAAAATATTCTGTTCTTCAAGGCGGCATTTATTAAATGTAAAAAATTAAATTGTCAAATATTTATTAAAATGTAAAATAACTGCTTTCTTATTGTATGTAGTTTCAAATTAAATTATTACTCCAGTCATTATTGCTTTTATTACGATTAATAATAATATTAATAGCACTACTACTACTACTACTACTACTACTACAACTTCTAATAGTAATAATAATCAAGGGTGTAGAATTGGCATGGACGGAGGGAACGTGCCCCACTCCAAAATCCTGTATTGTCCCTACCAATAATTTAATCGGCTTCAAAATAAAGTAATGCTCCATCAACACTTAACCTACACATGCACCAAATGAAGTTCGCTACAAGTTCACTATAATTCTTTTAAGGCAGTGCAATTAATTAAATTTAAGTTTTGATTTTGGCCTCCAGGATTATGAAAAACAATAATCGGGATAAAACAGTTAAATTGTGGCACACACCTCTCGAAATGTATCTACATTCATACCTCTTCAATGCCCGGCTGCAGTAAAATCATGTAATTTGATGAAATATTATTAAGTGTTTATTTTATATTATTAAGTACTGCTGTTCAATGCATGCACTCTAGGGATGTATGTCCCCACCAATGTTAAGAGCGAAATCTACGCCCTTGATAATAATAATAATAAATTACAGTGGTTTCTGAAGGATCATGTGAGACTATAGTAATGAAGCTGAAAATTCACCTTTAAAACCACTGTAATAAAATATCATTTTAAATTATAAACTACTTTTGAACAGTTATCTTATAGTGCAATAACATTTCACAATTATACTATTTGTTCTGTAATTTGGATAAAATAAATGCTGCTTTGGTGAGCAGGATAAGCTTATTTTAAAACATTTAAAAATCATACTGAACCCAAAGTTTTAACCGGTAAAGTATAACAGAATACCATAAGTGTCATTTTAAAGACTTTATCTTTTTTATTGTAAATATGATGACAGTAAATTGCAGAGCTTGTCCATAAATATCCCTATCACTATGAACAGAGCATTACTTAAAGCAATAGCTCACTCAAAACTAAAATTGTGTCATCATTTACTCACCCTTGTCTTCTTGTCAAACTCATGTTTGAGTTTCTTTCTTCTCTAGCACACAACAGTAGACATTTCGAAGAAAGTTTGAAACCTGCAACCATTGCATTTGATTTCCCGACTATGGATGCCAATGGTTACAGGTGTTCAGCTTTCTTCCTCATATCTTCTTTTGTGTTCAACAGAATAGAGAAACTCATAAAGGTTTGGAACTACTGGAACATGAGTAGATATTAAATAAATATACATTTTGGAAGAACTAACCCTTTTTTGTGTCTATTTTGTCATTGAGAAAAGCCCAGCATTTAGTTCATTTTAAAGTCGTTATGTAACTGGCACATGAACATTTCCTGCTTGTTATCAAACTATTTCATAACTATAACAAGAGGGAATTCAATCATAACTTCATGTTAAATATCGTAACATTATTTATCAATATTTCTAGATTTTTTTTGGCACTATTTTGATTTTTGGAAGCTCTAGAAATTAAAAATGTAAAACAGGAAATTTGCTGGGACCACTGTTTTTATTTACATCCCTCAAAACGGTCTATAATTACTTATCAGAGCAGTTTAGACTGCAGCAGTGATGTAGTTGGGGTATTTGTAATCCTGGAGCAAGTTTTGGGCCTATTTGTTTACATTTTTCTACATATAGCCCCTTTAAATTCATAAACATGCATACCAAAGCAAAACAGATAAAAAACAATAACGGACCTTTACAATTGCGGTGCAGACCATCAAAGCTTCCTGGGTTAGGCAGCCTTCCATCTCTCCTATCCCATCGTGATAAGGGTCTATCTTGTGGAAAAGGGGAGTTTTGACGCCCGGGGCGGGTTGACAGAGCCAGCACACTGCCCATGAGATCCCACAAGCCAAATGAGAGGACCCCACACTCTGAAACTTATCTTCTGAAGTGCGAGAGACAACAACAGTTTGACTTACTAATACAGTGTTGTAGTAATAATGTAAATAATATCTACAGTTATATAATATCTGGTCATTAATTAACTTATTGTTAACCCTTATGTGCTGATGAAGATGTTTTCATCCACTCTGGACTGATTTTGGGCCTTAATTTGGCTTTAACTTTTTCTGTGTTTCAGCTAGCAGAATGATTTTGGTGGCAGATCTTATTTTGACACATATTTTGGGAAAATGCTTTGAATTTTAACCCTTAAAGACCTAGAGGTATTTTGTGGGCACCTAATGGGCCTATATTATTATTTTTTTTAAAAGCAGTTTTATTTTTATTTTAGCAGTCAGCCTCAAGTTTCATATATCATTTTAAACAGGAGAACCTGAAGTTTCAATCTGTATCATTTAAAGGTCCAGTCTAAAATATTTTTTGGTCCAAAAACATATGAACAGACAGAAAATATTCCAGAATTTTCCAGAAACGATTTTTAAAAAAAGTGGCATTTTCTAGTTATTTCAAACAAAACCTTATGAAGTTTGTTTTTCTTTCTTTAGAAATACATGCTATGATGTTTTATACTTCCAAAATAAATTTTGTCTACATCCACAATTCCCTGAGCAAGTTATAGCAATTTATTTCAATGTTATTCCAAGGCGTTTTTCTATGGGAGAAAAAAATGCATTTATTTACTGACAATGTACTTTCCCCAAAAGTTCTGGGAATGAACTAAACAGAAAAAAAATGTTACAAAATAATAGAACGGTGAAGCAAATTTGACTTTTTCCAAATAATATATTTTCAGTTACTATAAACAACACCACTTACAATGAACAAATAAAAAAAAATAAGAAAATAATAAATAATGTGTCAAAGTCCAAATAAACATGGTGCAAATCCTCAGTAAAAAAAATAGATATAAATATTTACTATACCATAAATAGTTACATAACTAAACTAGGTTCAATATGCAACATCCTTAGGTTTTATGTGCCAGCATGGATATGGTTGTCCGTGGATATGGATTTGGATATGGCTGTCTGCAATGCAGACAAACAGCTGCACCTTCATTTGCGTCTTTTGAAAACAGCAAGAGCAGCAGTTCGTCTTTGCTGTGTCACTGTTTTGTCATGTTTCTGTGCTGCTGTGCATGCAAAAGTACTTAGTATGAGAATTATTTCATGCAAAACATTTTTTTTGCGTTTTATTTAGCCGCGCATAAATGTATGCCTATCTCTCATTCCGTGTTGTTCAAAAAGCTTGTTGGTCCACAAACAAAAGCGAAACCTATGCTTATTGGTTGTGATATAGCGAGTTTGAACCAATCTGGGCATGGAGGAGGGACAATGCATCAATGTATGATGTCTGGTTTGTCCGGAGACACAGTGACGAGCGTTTCTTTGTCAAATCAGCGTTGTCAAATTTTGATGACGTAACCGCACTGATTCCGGAGCCTCTGAAAGTCCGCGAATGTTATGTGATACAGCACTGGAAAGCTGAGATTCTCTTCTTTATGCCAATCTTTGAATTGTATGAATCGGATCAGCGGATCAAAAGTTATTAAACATTTAAGAGCAATACTTATTTTTAGCCGCGGGCGGCTGTCTCGGTCTTTAAGGGTTAAAAAAACTAAATGATACGATGCCTTTTGTTACGTAAAAATGCATCAGATAAATATTATTTCAATTTGTTTTGCAAAAAAACAGTAGTTTTTGATCAAAACTACTTAATTGCTTAAAAAATTACAGGATTTTAACTCTAATTGTCAAATTCACAAATGATGTCGCTGATTTGGTGAAAAAACACAAACAATTTTTTTTTCTTTACCTTTTATCAAAGCTTTGAACATGTGAAACAACATTGCCTAATTTACTGTTGGTGACTGTTTTTGCCCCATTGACATCCATTATATCCACATTTTACTGATTAGTCTTCCCGAGGGTTTTCCCGGTTGGGAACAGGTAAAATTTTACTGTTGATCATTAGTATCACCATTAACCCTTTAAATAGGCCAGTGCAAAAAAGGCTTAGTTTGTGGATTTTTTTTTTTTGGAGTATAATAGCAAATTAAAGTGTGTGTGTATGTGGGTCTTTGAGTGTGTAAGAGTGACCTTTGCGCACTTAGCTTGATGTTTCTGAGAAAATCAGAATATGCTTCTCAGCTCTCAGGACTACATGGAGTAAGTAAAAATAAAGACTGTATTTATGCACCATCAAATTTGCTAATAATGGAAGTCAATGGGGCAAGAACAGTCACCAACAGAGAATTAGAGAGAAATAAATTAAAATCTAACAATGCATTTGAGCCAATGTTGTTACTAATCGTTCAAATATCTAAGACTGTGATCAAAAGGTGAAAAACCCCAGTCCACAATTACTTTTATATTGAAAATATATCATTGTGTGTGTTTTTTTTTCACCAAAATGAATTTGTGAATTTGGCTTTTAAAAAGGTAAAATCCTGTAACTTTTTAAAAGCATTTAGAAGTTTTGATCAGGACTGAGGTTGATTACTAGATTTATGCAAAATAAAATTGAAAACAAATATTTATCTGATAAATTTTTACAGCAGTTTAATTCAGTAGATGTTTTCATCCCAAACATAACAAAAGGGTAATACATTTGAACAATGCACAAGGGTCAATTTACCAAAAATAAAAATAAAAATGACAACAGTGGTTATATGTGAACCTGGACCTGGTCTTATGTTATACTGTGCATGAGTCAAATTGGTAGATTTTTCTTTTATACGAAAAATCATTGAAATGTTTAGTAAATATAATGTTCCAAATAAAAATATATTTAAAAATATCAAACTTAAGTTTTTGATTAGTAATGGGGATCACTGAGAACTTAGACAATTTGGACAACTTTAAAGGTGATTTTCTCTGTATTTTTTGTAAACTCTCATTTTACAGATTTTCAAATAGTCACATCTCTGTCAAATATTGTCCTATCCTAACAAATCATATATCAATGGAAAGTTCATTTATCAGCTTTCAGATAATGCACAAATCCCAATTTCCAAAAATTAAAATAAAATTGTCCAGGGTCACACATTAATCATATTTTACACTACATTTCTAAAATAAAATACAAATAATTAAGTAGAGCTAAACAGCACTGAACTTATCAAAGAGACAAATAAATAGCAATATTACATAATATTCTGCACATTTAATAATGCATTTGAGCGTGTTATCAAGGAGTAACAGTTGCATTGAAACGATGGTCAATAATCATGCATTTGGTAGATTTTAAAAGTCTGTTTACTTACCCTGAATAAATGCGGGTGCAATTATAATATGCACAAATAATGTCCAGAAATCATGCTGAAATGCAAGCTTTACACATGCAGTGACCGCTGGAAGGGAATAAGGTGAAAGGATGCTGAGGGATGTAATAACAGCTCAACTACAGACTCTAGCGGCGGAACCAGCTGATCAGCGCAGTCATTTAAAGAGGAGCAGCTTTGAAAAACTTCCGTGCAGAAACTTCCCGGTGTTTAGTTTGAATAACGCTGAAAACGCGATATTTGAACGATGAAGGAAAATTTTTAGCGATATTTTTTCATTAGAATACGATATTTGTTTGAATCGACACAGTTTAAAATATTTTAGTAATAAATCTCACCTTAAATCACTGAGCGTGACGTCAAACGAGCGCATTCATTTCGGTTCCACTTGCGAGTCAACTAATTTCCGTGACTCGATTCTTTCAAACAGTTCATTTCAATGAATCGGTTCAGTCACGTGATTGTTGACGTTTTAAGTTCAAATAAAGTATTCTCTGGTTACACGTATTGTTTAGTGTTCATAAAACTATTATGAAGTTTAAACATGGTATAAGTTAACATTTAAACAAGTTATCTACGTTTTGCTTACTAAATAAACTGAAAGAATCAGTTTGCTCATTGAGACATCTCTCGGTTCAATCTTTCAGTGACTCAAAAGAACGATTCCTTCACTGACTGGTGTCAACATGGCAGATGAAGCAACTAGGAAAGCAGTTTCTGAAATTCCGCTTTTAAAAACTAATTCAGGACCAAGAGACAAGGAATTATGGGTTCAGAGACTACGAGAAGAATATTTAGCACTTATAAAGGTTAGTTACTGCTTGTTAGCAAAATAATCAGGGGGCCGTAACGTTACTAGCTGCATGAATGAATAACCATACGTGTCATTAAGCTAAAGTGTGTTCAGTCTTACTGACAGACAGCTCGTGTTCTTCAATGCGTATCAGTTTGCGTACAAATCTTATATAAACGTCAGGTTAAAAATGTGTTGTTTACCTATTGTGTTGTCTTGCAGTATGTCGAAAATAATAAAGCAGCTGATAATGACTGGTTTCGTCTAGAGTCCAACAAAGAGGGCACAAGGTCAGTTTTTAATTCTCACTTTAACTAGATCTTCATGTAAGGAGTGATGATGAGTTTTGTATAGTTTCTAAGTAATTGTTTTTTTTTTTCGTTTAGGTGGTTTGGAAAATGCTGGTATATTCACGAGCTTCTCAAATATGAATTTGACATGGAATTTGATGTAAGACATTTACTTCAGTTCACATCTATTTAAACCAGTGGTCCCAAACTCAATTCCTGGAGGGCCGCAGCTCTGCAGAGTTTAGGTCTAACCACCTTTTTCTTCAATTTATTGGTGTTTGACAAACAACATAATGGTATATTTACAATATAATGGTACCACAAACTGGTATGGAGTGTGGATCATTATGACCCCATAAACCTTTTTTTGTCTCTTGTTGTCCACAAAACTCACATTGTTCTGTAGTATGTTTTGCCCATTTTAAAAAGTGTACTATTTATTTTTTTGTGCCCAAATCTCACTCTAGATGTTATTATCTTCTCTCTCCTGTTTTTCCTACCCTTCTCTTTTCTCCTACTTTCTTTTGAATTCCATAAAACCACCGGCCCTTTTTTCTCATTATAGCATTGTTTTTTGCCACCTTTCCTTCATTTTTTTTCTCAATAATACTCTTGATTTCACTCATACTTATACTTACATTTAGACTAATGTTGTATTTTTAACAGCTTGTTTTGCTTCCTTATCTGCAATTTCATTACCTTGTACACCAATATGCGCAGGTACACATAAAAATATTACTGTTATACCCATCATCATCATCGTCATCGTGAATTTTGTATAATGTTTGCATTTTTTTTCCATTAAAATGTCTGGTCTACCTTTTGATTTACTATATTGTAAACTAGCCAGTAGAAAAACTTAAGTCTGACCAGATGACTCATTTCAAAGGTCTTATCTCTTCTATGCTTTGTATCGCTAATAACAGTGCAATCATTTCTCCTGTATACACCGACGCTTCATCACTAACCGTTTTTGCTACAGATACTTGAAATTTAGGAACTATACACACCTACTTTATTTAAACTTTGAGGCATCTGTATATATTTTAAGCTAACTGTAATATTCCTTAATATATTTCTATATATAAAACAAATTACATTCCTTATCCTTGTCTCTCTTTTATAATAGTGTAAAATCTACTGTTGCCTCTGATAGTAACCATGATTTAATTGCTGGTAAAGGTAGCGCCAACCATCTCCAATTTACACCTGCTTAATAGTCTCTAGTAGGCTTGAACACCTTGATTAGGTGTGTCAGCTGTGTTTGATTGGGGTTGGAGCAAAACTGTGCAGAGCTGCGGCCCTACAGGAATCCAGTTTGAGACTTGTGCTTTAACTTTTTCATTCTTTATTTGCCTTTTTTCTATTATTTTTTTGTAATCATTTTGGCTGTGTTCATGCAAACAACATAATGTATGACAACAAAAAGCTTCTTCAGGAACCTTCAAGACAAAAATCTTCACATTGAAGCCCACAAAACTGCAATATTATATTCTAGTCAAGCCATTTTAACAAAAAGTCCTACAATGTTTGTTAACAAGCTTTCATTATGTTGCAAGGCTTTAGAAGTTTAACACATTTTAAAAACAGTCTGTAAAAAATGTGGCAAGTGTAAAAAAAAAAATAAAAATTGACCCCTTTATGATTTTGTTTTTACTACTGACATATTTGTCTTCCTTGGACCTGTAAACTGTTTTGAATAGACACACAATAGTTGAGTTTATTAAATGTTTTATTTAAAGTCCACATAGCGCATTTTGGTTGTCAAAATTATTAAATTGATCTCATTGTCCAGATTCCAGTTACATATCCTGCCACAGCTCCTGAAGTGGCCATTCCTGAGTTAGATGGGAAGACGGCGAAGATGTACAGGTTTGCATCTTATGTTAATAAGTGTTTTTTAACCACGTTTTAATATTTTGTTGGAAATAATTATTATCAAAACTGTCTTTTATCTTAGAGGTGGAAAAATCTGCCTGACAGATCACTTCAAACCACTGTGGGCAAGAAATGTGCCAAAGTTTGGTCTGGCTCATCTTATGGCTTTGGGAGTAAGTTTCATGTCTTAAATGAAATGTGTTTCAGTATGTCATTTATTTCATAAATAGTTTTTTGTTGTTTTTGTTTTAAATGTATTTTATCTCATGTCAATAATCTCTTTTATCCCTTAGCTTGGACCGTGGCTTGCAGTTGAGATTCCAGACCTCATTGCGAAAGGCTTAATTCAACATAAAGACCAAAACAGCTGAAAACAGGAGAAAAAAAATTTTGCATTACACCATGTCTTAACAATGCAAATGACAATTTTAACAACAGTTTGTTTGAGGTAATTGGTGGCTTGAATTGCTTAAATTGGTTGCTTGAATTGTTGCATATTTTTGTTTGTTGCTTCACAGTAGCTGTACTTAACATTCGTGTGTGTGTACATATTTTTTTCTTTTCTCAGTAGACCAGTTACATTGTCCATGTATGTTTCATCAGTAAAACCTGGTATACAAATGTGGGACTGTTTCAACTTGTGGAATCTCATATTTATTCGAAAGCTTGTGAGGATTTAAATGGTCAAACTTTTAATTTAAAGGAATTATTCACCCATAAATAAAGATTCACTGATTATTTTTTCACCCTCAAGTGGTTCCAGAGCTTTAAGTGTTTTTTTTTTTCTGTTGAATAATATTTTCTTCTATTGTTAACATTGAAATCTATATTGGGAATGTTACCAGTTTTCAACATTCTTAAAAATCTTCTTTTGTGTCCAACAGAAATGTAAACCGGTGTGTGTGAGAAGGGTGATTAAATGACAGAATTTTCATTATTGGTTGAACTCTCCTTTTAAGTTTTAGTGCTTAGTAGAAAAGGTCAGAATATAGTTAATCCATAGTTTAATTAGGAAAATTAAGTCATTTTTTTTAAACAATTATGCCGATTATTGGTGTCCATTTCAATAGAAAACAAAGGCACCGGCTTATTTTAAGGTCAGGCCATGCAAGTTTCTTTTAGTTGAAATGGTCTAGGCTTAAACCTTGTTTATTTAATTTTAATTACAAAATGTGTAAATATGTACAATTAATTAACAAATAGCAGGGCTCAACAATAAGGACTGCCGATGGCCCATGGCCAGCATGAGAGATGTTCAGGACAGTGGACAGGATCGTTATGGCCCAATCAGGCCAGTGCTGCTTTGTCACTAAAGATTTATTTTTAATTATTGCTACGACGTGTCGAGTGGGTGCAAATACAGTCTTAGAATTGAGAAACAGGTTGTGGTTCTAAGCCCTTAATATTACCCTGGAAATTTTGGCCGGACAAATACAAATCCCAACCACTGGTCCAGTCGGGCCTGTAGAAATTTTTTTTTAGCGTTGAACCCAGAATAGGTAATTTGTTAATTAATTAACTTTTTCATAAATGTTGACTTGTAAGATTCAGTGAAGCAACATTAATGTCAGGCTGCCGAATTAAAGCTAGATTTTGAGATTTCTTTAACTCCAAACTATGCAGTTGTTTTATGCCATGTATTCTGTTCTTTAGTTTTTGTCTTAAACTATGAATATTCTGAAGGTATTTAAAAGCAATGAGTACAAGTTATTTTAATAATATAAAATTACTCTGGTTTTGAAGGATTATTCAGTTTAATTGCATGAATCAGGTTATTTAGTCAAATCTGTTGTTTGTTTTTATTTAATAAGCCTCAACTAAAAGAAGCTTTATCATGCTTTTTTTATGCCCCTAGAGCAGGGATGTCAAACTCGATTCTTGGAGTGCCACAGCCCTGCACAGATTAGTTTCAACCTTGCTTCAACACACTAAACACTAGGTTTTAAACAACCCCGAAGGACTCAATTAGGGTGATCAGGGGTGTTTAATTAGGCTTGGAACTAAACTGTGCAGAGCTCCGGCCCTCCAGGAACTGCATTTGACACCAATGCCCTGGAGCAGGGGTGTTCAACCTGGTGAAGGACTGGTGTCCTGGAGAATTCAGCCCTAATTGAACACACCTGAAACAGCTAATCAAGCTCTTTCTAGATATACTAGAAACTTCCTAGCAGGTTTGTTGAAGGGAGCTAAACTCTGCAGGACAGTGGCCCTCCAGGACCGAGTTTGGACACCCCTGCCCTACAGTGGGCTCAACCCTGTTCATGAAGATCTACCTTCCTGGAGATTTCAGTTGCAACCCATATAAAACACACCTGCCTGTAATTATCAAGTGGTGTTCTGGTCCTAGTTTTTGGTTTGTGTTTGATCAGGGTTGGAGCTAAAATCTGAAGGAAGGTAGGTTTTAACTCAAAATACCCCACAAATCACTTTTATAACACTTTGAAACTCCTTTAGGCTTTGATCTAAATTGTGCCTTTTTGATGGCTGCCACTTTAAATTTAATCAAGATTGTGCTCTTTTTATAAGATGCGGACCTACAAATGCCAATGTGGCAGCATAGCAGCAGATGCAAAACAGCACTCATGTCATCTTTGAAAAACTAAAAGACTGTCAGTAAAAGGTAGTCTATGGGGATTACAGTGTTCACTGAAGCTCTACATTTTTTAATGCCTCTAGTCACTGACATTATCTTCAACGAGAATGGTGAACGCTCATAATAGTGGATGGCTACTTCTCACTCAGGGCTGTCTATGCTAATGAGAGATCATGAGTAGTGGGAGGGACTTTCCCCCTCTGATAACGTAGAAAGAGAGAATGTCAATCAAAGTGATTCTGCAGACTGTTTTTAATCCATTGTAATTTATACACTTGCTGGCCACATTATTAGGTACACCTTACTAGTACCAGGTTAGACCCTCATTTGCCTCAGAACTGCCTTAATCCTTCATGGCATAGATTCAACAAGGTACTGGAAATAGTGCTCAGAGAGATATTGATCCATATTGACATGACAGCATCACACAGTGGCTGCAGATTTGTCAGCTGCACATCCATGATGCAAATCACATCCCAAAGGTGCTCTATTGGATTAAGTTCTGGTAACTGTGGAGACCATTTAAGTAGAGTAAACTCATTGTGATGTTCAAAAAACCAGTCTGAGATGATTCACACTAATCTGTACTATTAGAGGCTGGTTATATCCACATACTGTTACCACACAACTGTGCTAAGACACCTTATTGAAGTGTTTTTTTGCATATTAGGTCCCCTTTAAGGTATAAAATACAGAATGGTTATTCCCAACAAAACACTTTTTAACATTATTTTATGATTAAATATGCCTGTATGCCAAAGAAAGCAATAGCCTTAACATTGTTAGAGGTTTTGCAAATGTAATTCTCATTTTACATACGCAATAAGATAAGGAATAGCTTAACTCTTCTAAACTGGTTGAGTGAGTTGACAGACCCTTTTAAAATGTCATATTTAACATGCCAGTATGATTGATGGAAATCAATTTATTGATATTGTAAAATCAGCAGCAAGAAAGGAAACAGCCAGAGCACACTGTAAATGTCAGAGATGGTCATTTCACAGCATTTTATAAATAAATGTTTGTTAATTAAATTTGATATCATTTATTTTCAAATAAAATGCATTTTTGCCTTTCAGTTGAACTTTTAAACACAACAACATCATATGTAATGTCATAGATCATGCACAGTCTCCTAGTGTCATAGTCATATTTAATATGATTGCTGGCACATATCAGCTAGAAAAAAAAAGTTTAAACATTTCACCGTGAACTTAAAGATAAATAAACCACATTTTTAACCAGCTTTCAATTACACTTTAAACATGCATGCATTGTCAGGTCACAAATATAATTTCTATTTTATAATCTAATAAGATGGCACATATCAGCAGGAAATATAAACTGTCAGATAATAAATGTCAAGGATGATTGTGTCAGGAAATCAAAGGATCTTAAAGGGACAGTTCACCCAAAAATGAAAATTCTGTATATAATAAACACTCTTTTATTCCAAACTGATTTGCTTTTCTTGCCGTCATTCTTTCTACTGTTAAAGAATGTTGGAAAGCTGCAGACATTGTCTTTCACAGTAATTTTTGTTCCTATTATAGATGTCAATATCTGCTGCTTTCCAACATTCTTCAGAACATCTTGTTTTGTGTTCAACAGAAGTTTAGATCCTCTTTGAGTGTGAGCAAATGTTCATTTTTTGTGAAATATTATTTTAAAAACACAGTTTACCTATTTTTATATCACTGTCGAACATGCCCAGACATGTAAACAAACCAGTATAGAACCTGAGGATCCTCCTGCACAACGCATTGGCCAGTTGATCAGCATTGATCAGTTTCTTAACCCTGAGAAATTACACCTGTGTTTGGTCATGAGAGCGCAGATAGTTTCTCCACATCCCCAGCATGGCTGTATGTTATGAGCAGAGCCCAGTTTCAACTTGCACACTCCACAATTACCCAAAGTGTTCGATTTCGATGGACTCTTCTTGTTTTGGGCAATGAGCTGTTTGAGTTCGGTTAAGATGGTCGTATTGGGTGCAAGAGCAATGTCTGTGACCTCTATACGTGCTGGATCATAGATACAATCTTCTTCTAGGCCGCTGGGGACAGCTTTCATGCCACAGTTAGGAGGGACCCAGGCTGTGTCGTAACCTTGACTGTGCCAGGTCTTCTGTAGGGCATGGTTGTCCTTATCAATTCTTTTGACTTTTCCACAGTCAACGCTTAATTTTAGCACTACTTTGTCAGTAATTGGGGATTTCAGAGGGTATCGCTCTGCTTTCTTCTGGTCACGGCTCACATAAACTCCAGGTCCCAGCATTCCATCTGCTGACGGCTTGAAGCCTGTACTTATGATTGCACGAGCTACTTTTACAGACGTACCGTGATACATGGTGTAAAGTCTTCCTGATTTGGGTTCTTGGTTTGCCTGAAGATGACGATCCTCATCATAAAAAGCCTCCCAGCCATAAAATGAGATGGATGCCATCTTTGTTCCCCCTGTGGATTAATTGAGATAATAATAAGTAAGTTTTACACCTAAGTCAAACATTTGGACACAACTGTTCAATCTTTATTAAACTTTTCCATAATTTAGATTCAAAGTCCAGTCAAAATTATGACAATAACACAAATGAAAGTGATCTAGCCTATCTTTGTGTCCAAGTTTAACAAACTTTAAACTGACTGGCAACAACATTTAAATTTTGTAAACAAGTTTTACTTTTGAAAATAAAAACATTTCTAGTTACAGTCATTATTGAAAACATTACAGTATGTTTAAATCAAAATAAATTTGTCAAAATCTTTAATCAAAGCAATCAATTCAAGTTTTGTTTAGATTTATCTTAAACTTTAATGTGCAATATGATCTAACATTAACAATACGCTACACTTCCGCTATAACTAAATAAAATAAAAATGTGTAAAATAAAATATGTAAATTAAAATATTCTCGACATATTCACTGGGTAAGACAGTACTTTATTATTCTAAAGCAAACGTACCTTGTAATACTTCCTCACAGGTGAACAAAAAACGACATGAAACTCCCGAGTCTTAAGTTGTTCTCAGAAATCCAAACTTTCGCTTTCAATTCCTTCGTAACACGTCTTCCTCTTTTGCTGGCCGGCCAGAATATATGTCCTTTACCTAAAGGTGATGCGTTTATATTTCTTTAAATTATATTTAGTAATTTACTGAGTGACTGTCTGTGACAGCATTTGTTTTTATTATTCTTGAAAACGTTCACTTTCTGAAGATAAGTCATTACCACACGTCAATCAAACTGTGTAGACCCGCCTTTATTCGATAAAATATCATTTCATTGGGCAGAACGCTTTTACGCATAAACGTGTCACAAGTGTTGTTGCCATGTCCGCCTATAATGAGTAGGAACTCTTTCCTATTCCCTAAAGAATATATTACTGTTCTAAGAGCTACCCTCACAGGTTTAATGCATCTTGTCAGAAGTCATAAAAAAAAAACACTCCAAAAATATGAAAGAATCGGCATTATTGCAAAGAACTCCATTGGGTGTCATTAATTAATGATATAGACTGGAAAAAAGTTGCCTCATAAATGCTTTATTCCTAATAAAACTAAAGAAATCCACTTTAAAATATTGCATAACATACATCTGGCTAAGTAATTTATTTCCAAATTTGTTGATATTCCGAGTAATTGTACATTCTGTGGTAAGGTTGATGAAATTTTAATACATTTAGCCTATTTTGTATGTGTGAATGAATGAATGAATTTGTTCAGAAGTTTTGTTTCGACCTGTATAATTTTTTAAACACCCCTCCTACCTATGCACAATCTTTTAGTTTAAAATAAATGATTTGTTATTACTCAGAATCTGCACATAAATTTATCTTCAACTTTTTTTTATCTTGGTTGGAATTCACTAGGCTGTTCATGGGCCCCCAGTTTTGAAAATAAGTAATTATGTTAAATTCTGGTTGGCGCAGTGGATAGCACAATCGCCTCACAGCAAGAAAGATCGCTGGTTCAAGCCTCGGCTGGGTCAGTTAGCATTTCTGTGTGAAGTTTGTATGTTCTCCCTGTGTTGGCGTGGGTTTGCTCCAGGTGTTCCGTAGTGTATGTGTGTGGAGTGTGTATGGATGTTTCCCAGTGATGGGTTGCAGCTGGAAGGGCATCCGCTATGTAAAATTTAAGCTGGATAAGTTGGCGGTTCATTCCGCTGTGGGTAGGGGTGTATAACTCTGGGCGGGGGTTTGCACAGAGGGCAGGGGTGTCCAAACTCTGTCCTGGAGAGCTGGCGTCCTGCATTTTTTAGTTCCAACCCCAATTAAACACACCTGAACCAGCTATTCAAGCTCTTTCTAGGTGTACTAGATACAGGGGTGTCCAAACTCAGTCCTGGAGGGCCGGTGTCCTGCATAGTTTAGCTCCAACTTGCTTCAACGCATCTGCCTGGACATTTCTAGTATACCTGGTAAGAGCTTGATTAGCTGGTTCAGGTGTGTTTAATTAAGGTTGCAACTAAAACTTGCAGGACACCGGCCCTCCAGGACCGAGTTTGCGCACCCCTGTAACTAGAAACTTCCAGGCAGGTGTGTTGAAGGAAGTTGTAGCTAAACTGTGCACTTCATGACACTGGCCCTTCATGACTGAGTTTGGACACCCCTGGCTTAGGGCCCCAAAATCTAATAGTATCTGGATGCAGCCTTTATGATGCAAGCTGAGATTGCATCACTCAGCGATGCAATGTCAGACTCAATGCACTCAATGGAGTGAGTGATGTCACTGTTACGGGTAGGGTTAGGGGTGGGGTTAGGTGAGTGCATTAAAAAAGCATTGGATGCAGCTCAGATTGCACTGCACCATGTCTGCATCCAGATCCCTCTCCCAAAATCACTCAATCTACCCCTGCCTCCGGGTGCTCTTATTTTTTTTAAAATTGCGGTAGAGGCGAATTTCATAAGCTTAATTGGCAGAATTAATTAATAATAATATTAATATTAATAATTAATTGGCATAGTGTATGTGTGTGGATGCAAGAGTGTATGGGTGTTTCCCAGTGTTGGGTTGAGGCTGGAAGGGTATCCACTGCATAAAAACATATGGTGAATAAGTTGGTGATTCATTCTGCTGTGGCGGCAGCTGATTAATGAAGGAACTAATCCGAAAAGAAAATGAATGAATGAATAAACCAAGTAAGATACTGTTTTCAGATAAATTCCAGAACTATAGCATGGCGCGCTTACTTTTTCAGACAGATCTGGCAACACAGCTACTGCGTGGTGCGTACTAACAGATGGGGGACACTGGAACGTGGACACAGTGCATGGATATTTTGCTCATAAAATATTTAGGCCTACAACTATTTTTAAAATGTAAACGGAACTGGCGGTAAAAAAACATATCGTAATAAATTTGTTGTTTCGTTTTTCTTCTTTTTAGCTATTAATGCATTATTTTACCGCATGTGTCAGGATCAGGTCCGGATAAATACGATATTTATTAAATTAGTTAAATTACAAAGTGCCCATCAAAGTGTATCTCAAAGTAACGTTGTTGTTGTTTACGTTGCCAGAAGCGTCGGTTGTTTTTCACTAAAATGCGACATTCCCTGGGGAACGAAACTTCGATGCTGCTGCATGCTGGTTTATCACACTGCACCTCTCCTTCTTTCTCTTTCTCGATTACACTTCCTTACGTAAACGAGCCGCCAACCTGTCCCCGAAACCACCTGGTGCGTTAGCTGCCAAACACCGGCATTAAACGCTTTGGCATTTAGATTAGATTTCAGGCGACAGATGTCACAGCGTCATGGAGGCACGCAGTAATGCCGCATTGTGTCCTGCTGGTCTCTTTTCACACTGCGTTCAAGCTCGATAGTCGAAAAGTTTTGTTTTGTAACTAATGTGACAACCTGCAGGATTGTTACTTGAAATATTCTGGAAATGTCCAAGACGCGAGAGGTGCTCCTTGTAGGGGAAGGCAACTTCTCTTTCTCGGCGGCTTTGAGCGAGACCGGGGGCGATGATGTCGGAGTGACCGCCACATGCTTTCAAAGCGAGAACGAAACATACAGACAGGAGGGAGTCGCGTTAAATGTACAGAGACTTCGCGAGAGAGGTGGGTTATGTGATTTATCATCCTGTGATTGATGTCAAAATGTATTGTTTACGCTTTCTTACACTTACACGCTTTCTTGTGTTTCTGTTGACCTGGCTTGTATAATATCTAAGATGTTATCAAGCTAGCTAACGTTACCAACTGCTAGCGTTCTTAAGGATACCTTTTCTTCCTACACATCAAGTCATCATAGTCCTAAATTTGCATGCCTAAGGCCAAGTCAATGAATTTACACAGTCAGTTGCTATGAAACGGCCAAGGGTGGTTAAAATGTCTCATTGAATTCTGTATGATAATTTGGTTAATTCCATACACACTCTTAAAGGGAAAGTTTACACTAAAATTAAAAATTACTCAGGTGTTACTCACCCTCAAGTGGTTTTCAAAATTTTAATTTCTTTATTTTGTTCATATATTTTCAATCAGTATTTTTAATTATGTCATTTTGTTCAATAAAGCTGGATATCTTTACCTATTGAAAAAGTATTCTTTGCTCATTTTAAATAGTGAAATCATATTAGCAGTCAATAACTATCAAAGTACAACATTGTTCAGTCAATTACATAGTGCTAATGTTGTTTTAAAGTAGGGCTGCACGATATTGGAAAAAATTGACATTGCGATATTTTTTTCCTCTGCGATATATATTGCGATATTTTATATATATATATATATATATATATATATATATATATATATATATATATATATATATATATACTTAAAACTAGGGCTGTGACGGTCACCATGACAACCGCGTCACCGCGGTGGTCATTGCCACCTCGGTTGTCCATTGCCACCGGCCGTAGTACGTGACGTCACGCACTTTAAAACACAAATTACTGTTATGTTGCCAAGTATTACATATCTGTTAGAATATAACATTAGGCGCGATTCAGCAAGTTCAAGTTCAACCATGAATCTTGTTAGAAAACGAACTCTTACATCTGGGAACATTTTGGATTCGTGCCGAACTAGAAATCAATTTGGATTAAGCTTTTTGTATGGGGGTTTTAAGTAAAGTGTGTTTTAATATTCACTGCTGAGTGCTGAGAGTCCAAACACTGAGGAGCAAATCCATCGATACGTCCAGAACCATGCAAGCTAGTGGCGATTGACGGCGAGGGGAAAAAAGCCATGTAATCAACTCCTGTCTTCTAAACGCAGAAGCCCAGCTCAGCCAGGCATGGCAGAGGCATTTGCAAAAATGGCCAGATACAAAAGAGAAAGTGATAAATGGAAGACATTGACGAGAAATTGAGCATAGGCTATTTGGTAACTAGTTAAGAACGCGCCGCTCCGCAGCGTAGAGAAACCTGCGTTGCGAGAAATGCGGGCGGCGAAACAGAAGGAGAAGCCCTCTCTCGCATGGTTGTGAAAAAGTATCCTGTCTGTGCATTTTTCGCTACAAGCACACCGTCTGACAGTGTATTGCTGGAAACATTATAACCTCATTCTTCACTTAAACCGGACAAAGTCAACATGTTAGTTTTTCTGGCAAATAAATAAAAATATGACTACAAAAGGTGGAGAGAAACTACGCTGTTTTTTTAAACATCTGACTTATATTGTTACTAGGTTAATATTTTCTTTTTACGTATAATTATTAATATTTATATTATTATTACACTGATTAGTAAAGTGCCATTTAGAATTTTTGTTAAGTTCTTAAAAATGTTATTATTATACAGTTTCAAGCAGTTAAAGTAATGTAATATTTAACTACAATATTTATAAACAGTTTTGTGTTGTTTTATTAACGAAAGTTCAAAAATAAACATGTACGTTTATACGGATGTTTTATTTATTAATATTAAATTCGGTTATTCCTTAATTTTTACATAAAAGGTAAATTAACTTAGGTAGGCTACATTATTTGTTGATGTACGAGATCGAGGAACATGTTTGCCAGTAAATAATGTTCGCACCACTTAAAAAACAAAACGAATGAATAACTTGCGAAAAGGATGCAATAAAAAATGCAAGCGCTTAATCATTCTTCACAATCGGATTCGTACGTGCAATAAGCCGAGGCTATATTGCGCCGACAAGAACAAGCCCTAAAACTAGAGAGAGAATTAATCCTAGTTAATATTAATGATTATAAACACGAACTGCGTTGTATGATAAACGCATCACAATGATGTCGTGATCTTTGCTGAAGAACTGATATGTTATCGCCGTCTCCCCAGCCAGGTTTTCATCTGCTTTTTTTCCCCCTTCTTCTGGATACAAACAATAAAGTATCAGCGCCAGACCAGTGGTTTAAATTATATTTTACTCTCCTGATTTCTTTTCTTTTCATTAAAAAATAAATAAATATTTAAAGTTTTGTATTGCATAGCCTATATATTTTTAAAGATTATCATTCAGCCTACCTGCAGCGCATGAGGTTGTGTGCTGGGCAAATCCCCTTTACTCATGCTACCCATTTCATTTATGACACTGTAAACTTGACTTGGCAGGCTGATCATCTTTAAACTCAAAAGGTGTTTTTAACTTGAGACTGCATGCTTCTGCATAATGTGATGTTTCTTATTACAACTGTTAGCGGTGTCAAAATGAAAGCAAACATTAAAAAGGGTTTTGTTTTATCAATTGTATAGTTTAGTTTTAATAATAGCTAATGTATATAATACATTATAATATCGATTATTGTGTAGACTACAGTGTTCAACAAAACAATTTTATTAGGTTACTCTAATAGACCAAATCCCTAACTGAAAAACGAATGTGAAAATGACAGGCAGTTGCGTCTTTGCTAAAATTAATTTAACGACAAATTTCTTTTGCGTTTTTTCCCCTTTAGAGATCAAAAGAGCTGTATTTAAATAATTATTTCACTAAAACATGAATTGAATGCCCAGTTCTTTCCCGTGTGAGTTTAGTGCGCCTCCGCCGCGTCTGCGTTTTTAAGGTTACAGGTGCACCCTGACCTGACGCGGGGACCAGATCTCTGTATTGCTTTAATTTCTTAATTTTCATAACTGCATCGCATTCTCATATGGTAAAATATCAAAATTTATGTTCTGAAAGTAGTAGGAATGACGGGAGTGTTAGTAAATAACAGAAAGAACTTTCACTTTTGAGTGAACTTCTGTCACGTGTTATTTTAGTATGATAAAATAAACAAAAAAAGTAATGCAGAAAAGTATTTTTCGCTCTGCCAAGCCTTCTCTGTTGCTGTATAGAGAAGCAGCCTGCTCAGTCTCCTTACCCCGGCCCAACCCCGCCCACCGACTCCTGAACGTCTCACTCACTAACTCACTCACTCACGCGGGCATGCAGTGCGGTCTCATGAGGAAACGCAGCTTTTTGATATAATGTTTTTCTTGTTCCCAAATACAAATAATTTATCAAGTATTGTTTGAAATAAGTATTCGTAAAAACACGCTATTCCTGCTTTTCCGAATACCGTATTCCGGTTCGGCTCCACCCATAATATATATATAATTTTTTTTTTTTTTTTTTTTTTTGCATCGCACCCTCCTGCGATGTGACTATCGCGGATGCGCACATCGCGATTTCGATGCTGAAACGATATATCGTGCAGCCCTATTTTAAAGTAATCATCGCATGCTATTTCAGAATCAATATTTCACTTAGCGTGTTAAAACAATATATGGGCCATTGTATGAATGTGCGAATGTCAAACCTACTTTACCTCCTCGATAAAAAACATAGGAGTTTATCCAGCTTAAGTTACAAGTTTTCAGCTTTTTTCATAATATCTCTTGTGTTCAACAGAGGGAAGAAACTAATAACGGTTTGAAACGAGTAAAGGATGTATAAATCATGACAGAATTTTAATTTTTGCGTGAACTGTCCCTTTAATTCTTGTGACTGTAGGATCATTTTAAGCCTGTTTAAAGCATCCAGGCAAAATAAATTATAATGTTTGCAACTTTTTAATTAAATATTAGTTGTATTCATGCCTGTATATATACAAGATCAAGTCTAAACAACGTTGTTTTACGTTTCATCATTCAGTTTGTGCTTCCGTATGGCTCAGAAAATCAATACTGTGTATTTATTTTGTATCAAAACCATCCGAATCAATCTAAAAAGAACAATTTATTTCCAAATATATCTAATTATTTAATATAGTAAAATAAACAAAATTTTGCAATAAGTATGGCAGAAAAATAAAACATTGCTATGGCAGTGTTTTTCTGACAGCGTGCAGCCTTAATATCAAGCTGCCCACAGTTCAGTGTCTGTTAGAATTCTCAAGGATCATCCTACACATAAAGAGTCATCATAGGCCTAAATTTGCATGCTGGAGACCAAGTCAATACATTTACAGTTGGTTCCTATGAATTAACCAGGGGCCGTTAAAATGTTTAATTGAATTCTGTATGATAATTTGGTTAATTCCATACCAACTCTTAAAGGGATAGTTTACACTAAAATGAAAACGTACTCGGGCTTTACTCACCCACAAGTGGTTTCAAACACTCATGAGTTTTTTATTTTGTTCACATTAAAGAAGATATTTTCAATAAAGATGCTACCTATTGAGTTCCAAAGTAAGAAAAACAGGAATTTATCCAGGTTATAGATGTTCAGCTTTCTTTAAAACCTCTGTTGCGTTAAAAGAAGAAAGAAACATGTAAAGGCTGAGTAAATCATGACAAAATTTTCATGCAATACACATGCAATATTCATTTGAGTATACTGGTAAAAGTATACTCAATAACGCAGCATGTATGGCAGAAAAATAAAACATTGCAATTTCAGTATTTTTCCAATAGAGTGCAGCCCTAATCTCAAGCTACTCACAGTTCAGTTGTGTTAGAATTCTCAAGGATACCTAATCATTCTTCACATCAAGAGTCATAGCTAGACCCACATGGAATCTGCATGCTCAGAAATCCTTAGATTTCTGCAGATTTTTAGCCCGTCATTGCATCTATGTATTTACTTTTTATAAATGTGTACAAATTTATGTTTATTCAATTATTATATTATTTAAATTAATTTAAGTATTATATGATATATGATATTTCCCAGACATGGGATGCAGCTGGAAGGGCATCCACTGTGTAAAAGAGTGCTGGATAAGTTGGCAGTTCATTCCGCTGTGACGATCCCGGATAAATAATAGGACTAAGCCGACAAGAAAATAAATAAATGATATATGATATAATAACAGTAATATTAAAATGTTGATATGATTTATGTACAATACAGTTTGTAAAATAATTTTTACTTTTGTCTTTTAGTATATATATTATGTCAGACTTGCTTTGTTTACCAAATAAATGGATCTAGTTGGATTTGCATTGTAAACATTAAATAAAAGTGTGAAGAAATCGTGACAGAAAGTTAACTGCCCCTTTAATGTTTGTGACTATGATCATTTTAAGCCTGTTTAAAGCATCCAGGCATAATAAATTATAATGGTTGAAACTTTAGGAAAGATTAATTGTTCTTATGTCTGTATTGATACAATCAAGTCTATACAGTGTTATTTTACATTTCATTGTTCAGTTTGTGCCTAATTATGGCTAGTAGGGTTGTCGCGATATTATTAAGCATCTTACGATACTATACCAGGCGAGGTATCATGATACCAAGTAGTATTGCGATTCTGTAATTTATAAATCAAATTATAAAGAAAATATTTAGAAATACTGTTTTATGTTATAATAGGCCTACTTGAATTAATTAATTCATAGTTCACTTATTATCAAAATGTATTATTTGCACGTCACTTCACCTAAAATTTATTCATTCTTTTTGTTTATTTAGTAGATAATTGACAAAAAGAAAACAAATTATACCAAATGAAATTTGTGATGAAAAGAGCATTTCTCCAACAAAATTAGGCTATATGAAATGGTCAAAAAAATTTTCAATGTTTCCTGTTGGTATTTTGAGTTTTTCATTTATTGTTTTTTTTTTTTCAGTCTTATCAGGTAACAATACAAAGTAATTCAAAATTTCACTTTATGAGTCATTCTTTTTAATAAATTGTCACGGTTGTTGTAGCTACTAAATCATATTGACAGGAACAGAAATACACTGATGTGGGTTCGTACTGAAGCATCAGAAAACGTGCAATAGGCTACCCTAAAAGGCATGGATTTTACACCATTTTGAAGCCTTAAAGGGCTCCACAGACTAATAAAATGAAATGTTTGAGCATTTTAGTGACTTTTCTACTTGCAGCGTTATCTTTTGTAGATAGACCATTAATGACGATACTACCGTTTCAAACTACAGTGGCCAGTATTTTGCCATAGTATCGCATTATTACCATAGTACCGGTAAACCGTGCAACCCTAATGACTTGACAATCAGAAAACTAGTACTGTGTATTTAATTTACATTTACATTTAGTCATTTAGCAGACACTTTTATCAAAAGCGACTTACAAATGAGGACAAGGAAGCAATTTACACAACTATAAGAGCAACAATGAATAAGTGCTGTAGGCAAGTTTCAGGTATGTAAAGTGTGAGAAGCAAAACATAAGTAATTTTTTTTTTGTGTAATACAGTTAGCGGTGGAGCCAGAGAGGCAATTGCAGATTAGGAAGGAAAGTGGAGACTAAACAGTTGAGCTTTTAGTCGTTTCTTGAAGACAGCGAGTGACTCTGCCGTTCTGATGCAGTTGGGGAGTTCATTCCACCAACTGGGCAGATTGAATGCGAGAGTTCGGGAAAGTGATTTCTTCCCTTTTTGGGATGGAACGTTCGACGTTCATTTACAGAACGCAAGTTTCTGGAGGGCACATAAATCTGCAGAAGTGAGAGCAGATAAGAAGGAGCAAAGCCAGAAGTCGCTTTGTAAGCAAACATCAGAGCTTTAAATTTGAGGCGAGCAGCAACTGGCAGCCAGTGCAAACGGATGAGTAGCGGAGTGACATGTGCTCTTTTAGATTCATTAAAGACCACTCGTGCTGCTGTGTTCTGAAGCAGCTGAAGAAGTTTGATTATTAGCTGGAAGCCCGGCTAGTAGAGGGTTGCAATAGTCCAGTCTGGAGAGAACGAGAGCTTGAACAAGTAGTTGAGCTGCATGTTCAGATAGGAAAACCACCCCAATAAATCTCAAATTAATAATTCTGTCCAAATAGAGCTATCTATTTATTTCATCTTGTGAAAGTAAACCCCATATCGCAATATGTATGGCAGAAAAATAAAACATTGCAATGTCATTATTTGTATATTAGCATGCAGCCTTAATAGCAAACATGCATGCAGCCTTAATATCAAACTACCTACAGTTCAGTGTCTGTTAGAATTCTCAAGCACACCTAATCATGCTGCTAAAGATGACGTGCACTTACATCCTACACATCGAGAGTCATAGCCCTAAATTTGCATGCCTGAGTCCAAGTCAGTGAATTAACACAGTGGGTTGCTATGAAAAGACCAGGGGCGGTTAAAAAGCCTCATTGAATTCTGTATGATAATTCAGTTAAACACAGTAACTCTTAACAATAATTCCCATTGCAGGATCAGTTGTTCTGTTTGAAGTGGACTGCACATGTCTGAAGGAGCACGAAGCCCTCCAGGATCATCTTTTTGACTGCGTCATCTTTAATTTCCCTCACTGTGGGCGTAAAAGTGGTGTAAAGAAGAACCGCGTCCTGTTGATGAAATTTTTTCTAAGGTGTGTCACTCCTGTGCTAAAGGTCTTTTTAAAGGTGTTACATAAGCTTTATATAATGTTAATACCTAGAGGTTGAAGAGTTTTTAAGGTCTGCTGATGGTTTTTTGTGCTCGTTTCATGTATAATTGATAGATGTTGCGTGTGTTTTCTAGTGCTGTTGCAGTGCTGAAGGACAATGGGGAAGTGCACGTCACCTTGTGCAATGGGCAAGGAGGCACTCCATGTGACAGTCCAATGAGAGAATGGCACAATAGTTGGCAGGTGGTTGCCATGGCAGCAGAAGCAGGGCTAATTCTAAGAGAAATCCGTCCCTTTGAATGTGAAATGTATCAAGGTTACAGATGTACTGGTTACAGGTAAACAGCTTGGACAAACTTTTAAAAGTGTGTTTTTGATATGCAGTAGTAATTCATTTAATTCTGAGGAGTTTTTGAAATGGATAATTCACCAGATGATGTCATTATTTACTTATCGCTTGTTCCAAACCTATTTGAATTTCTTTCTACCCTTGAACACAAAAGATACTTTAAAGAATTTTGGTTACTGGTAGCCATTATTATTGTTATTATTTTTTTCTAGTAATTTTTTCGAGGTTTTTACCTTTATTAGATTGGACAGTACAGAGTAATGACAGGAAAGCATGGGAAGCAAAGAGAGGGAAAGGATCAGCATAGGACTGCAAGGCGGAATCGAATTCAGGTCGCCGTGAGCACAGGAGTGCATGTGTCGATGCACTAACCACTACACCACTGTCGCCGACATTAATTTTTTTAACCTGCTCTTGAAGCCAGTGGCTACAGGTTGCTAACATTTTTTTGTGTTCAACAGAACAGAATCTCATGAAGGTTTGGAACTGCTTGAGTAAATACGAAAAAGTGAAGTGAACAATCTTTTTACTGACCATTACAGTCATGTTTATATGTAATCAGTTTTAAACTAATAAAATGCAATTCTTTCTAAGGAGTCAAGACAAAGGTTTTCATGTTGAGGGAGCCCTGACTCACATCTTCACTTCGAGTCTCCCGCACACTATGCCAGAGAAACTAAAAATGGAGAAAACGGTTGGGAAGGAGACTGTTTGTTTTGAGCTTCCGGCGGAGTTAAGTAATTATATTAATAGGTGAGTGGTAACTTATTACTGACTGAATTGTAAAAACCTAACAGAATGTCCCAGTAACTGTAATTAAACAGTGGATTAGTTAACACTTCATTAATTCTAAAATAAATTCAGTTATGAATTCAGCTCCAGCTTAGTTTTGGACTCTTTTATTTATTGACAAAAAGAAAAAAAAACAAACTCTTGTCTTAAATGAATTTTTTCAGCGTTATCTTGCTTCCTTAACTGCTGTTTAAAATAAATATTACAATGGCAATCACAGTCTCATTTATTTTTAAATAAAATCCATTATTACGATTACTGTAAATCACGCTACCTAACAATGGTGATTTAAATCTAATGATTGCAAGTCTCAGCTTATATATCACTGTGCAAATAATGATTGTTATAAATTCTGAAGTTGTCTTTACAACATCAACATTGCATGACTTGGTGTGTATTTAGCTTTATTTATAGATTTCGATGTCTGTACAGTCTAATACCATTCGAATTTGATACTGTGAGACTAATATTCTTAAACAGCAGATTAAGATTCTTTAGAACCCATTCTATTGAATAATCTATTTCTATCCAGCTGGTGTGATAAATAAAAGGCTATAAATCTGTATGTGTACAGTTAAGATTAGAAATATCCCCCTTTGAATTTTTCTTTTTTATATTTTCCAAATAATGTTTAACAGAGCAAGGAAATTTTAACAGTATGTCTGATAATATTTTTTCTTCTGGAGAAAGTCTAATTTATAGACTTAAGTATTATTTAGGCTGGAATAAAACCACATTTAAATTTTTAAAGCCCTTTTAAGGTAACAATTATTAGCCCCTTTAAGCTATATATTTTTTGATAGTCTACAGAACAAACCATCATTATTCAATAACTTGATTAAATTTCCCTAACCTGCCTAGTTAACCTAATTAACCTAGTTAAGCCTTTAAATATCACTTTGAGCTGTATAGAAGTGTCTTGAAAAAAATAGTAAAATATTATTTACTGTCATCATGACAAAGATAAAATAAATCAGTTATTAGAGATGAGTAATTAAACTATTAAAAATAAAAAATAACATGTATAATTGAATTGAATACATGAAAATAATAAAAATAAACTATATTAAAAATTCTCTCCGTTAAACAGAAATTGGGGAAAAAATAAACAGGGGCTAATAATTCAGGGGGGTTAATAATTCTGACTTCAACTATGTACGTATGTATGCATGTAATGATGCATAAACAGCATATTTCTAGTAGAAAAATAAATACCAGTGCCACTCCAATCATAAAACATTATTACAAGCATACACTCAATGTAGTTGTATTTACCCAGGTTTGGGTTAGAACCTATCTTTGGGGAAAAAAAATGTTTATATTAAATTGAAATGACCTTTTTTTTAGCCCATCTGTTGGGTTTGTTCATATTTGACCAAGCATTGGGTTGATATGACTCAGCATCTCTATCTTGTACTGTCCCACCAATTATTTTTGTTTAATAGATGTCTAAACTACGTCTTGGCTTAAACAAGGCTAAATCAGGGCTGTCAGTGAAAATCTAGTAGACTTCAAACAATAGTGTCAAAAAGTCCAGTCATCAAATATATTATACAGACTTCACATGTGCAGTCATTTATTTCTGCCAGTTTGATGATGATAGTCTATTTTTGGACTAATTCTAGATGTTTTTACATCTGTTAGATGTCTATTAAGCACAAAAATGCTTGTTGAACTATTATTAAAGTGTGTTCTTAGCTGCATTTACATGTTTGATTTATTTAAGTGGATTCTTGTTTCTCCTATCAGGAACTTCCTTGGCCAGCAGTCACATCACCCAGTTAAAACTGTCCAAGAACAGTTACATAGAGAGCTAAAGTCAGTCTGGCCTGTGTGCACTATAAATGAAGACTTCCCAGAATTGGTATACTGCTTACCAGAAATGCTTGAGGCGTGCGATCCCACACTGACCCATTCTGAAGTCTACTGGATTAAGCCCACCGACACTTATGTATTCGACCAAAGTGAAACGAAGCAAAATGACTGCGAGTCTACAGATGACCAACAAAGCTTTACTGGCAGCTATGCACTACGACCGTCTCTGTTGCTGCATGTTCAGGAGATCACGCAGAATGAGGACTTCAGCCCTGGTACACTTTACGCAGTCAGTGGCCTGGTCTTTCAGAGAGTGCCCATTTGTCCAATTCGTTCTCCTGCGTTCCACCAGCTTCTGTTGGTGGGAATGTTCCCTGTAGAATCCCATCCTCTCCGGTGCTTCCAAGATAGTTTGGAGTCGCTGCTTATTCCTTACGATGTTTCCTTTGAGGAGGTGCAAACAGGCTTAGAGCAGCAAGTGTGGATCAATTCCAAGATGCTTCCCAAGTTTGGTAGGATCACATATTTACCCTCGATTTCTTCAGCTGTCGATGAAGGATTACAGCTAGTTGCTGTCTCTGTAAACTTGGATCATTTAGCAACCTTAATTTTCGGTATATCTGACTGGCGCTTGCTTTGGAGTGCAGATCCCCGCTTTCTTAAGCATTTTGAGCTCAGTCCATCTGGACCGTTCAGCCCTTTCTCCCTTTACCCACCAAGTTATTTGCACGATATCAGTTTCTGGATGGACCCAGAAAACTATGATGAACTGGACTTCCATGCAATTGTGCGAGAAGCTTCTTGTGGTGTGGTTAAAAACGTGGCATTAGTAGATCGCTTCAGACACCCACACATGGGTCACGCAAGCCTTTGCTACAGGCTGACGTATCAGTCGTCAGATCGCGCACTTTCAAACAGCCAGGTCTTAGCACTACAGAATCAGCTACGGAGACTGTTAGCCTTGCGCATGCAGGTCACCCTGAGGTGAATCAACAGGTGATTTCAAAGGAGATCAAAGGATTTTTAACCTCAGATTTACATGTTTAAGGATGAGCTTCATGGACTTGAACATTGAACCTGTTTATTGTGGCTGATGTTATCTACATTTAAAAGTGAGATAATAAATTTCTGCAAATATAATGGATATTATTCCTGTTTATTTAAAGACAAACATTTTTTGGGGGGTTGTTACTAGTCTCCTAGAGTTAAACGGTTGAGTTTTAGCATTTTAATCCATTCAGCTGATGTCCGTGCTGGTCTGCCAAAAGCATTTTTAGCTTAGCTTAGCATAAATCATTAAATCGGATTAGACCATTAGCATCTCACTCAGAAATTAAAAAAAGATTATTTAAGTAATTTTCCTATTTACATTTTTTTTAAAGTCACTTCATGTACTAACACAGGAAATCTATCTTTTTTTATTGAGTGAGATGCTCATGGTCTAATCCAATTGAATGATTCATGCTAAGCTAATGCTGAATTCTCTTCTGAATTCATTAAAAATCAGTAAAACTTGCTAATATAAATGTAGGGCAGTGGTAAAATGAGCCTATTTTCTAAAAAAATTCCTTTAAAGAAGACATATCAAAGGGATTGATTTTTGCTGTGTTTGAAATCTAATCTCATGTTTACATATTTAAAGGTTTTAGTATTTAATTATTGTAGGTATAATCAGATACTTCTGAAATGTTTACAGATTTCAGTAGTACTGTGTGACTTAACTTTATTGATAAGTACTTTACAGTAAGGAAGAAATAGAGGTGAACTCTTACAACTTGTATACTCTCCCAATTATTATTTGGTTATGCATCTCTTACAATTAAGGACCTTGGAGACACAATTATTGATGCACAACTGCACATTATTTAAATTGATGCAGTTTAAAATATTTTGCTAGTTTCTTTGTTTAGATTATATACGATACTGTATTTGATACTGTGATATAACTGCACTGTCTATGATTGTAGATGAACATTTGTGATGGTAAGTTGATATACTGACATATTATTGCTGAAAAGTGAAGTGCATAATTTCTGCCACAGTAGCATCAACTAAATGGAATTGCCGAAATATTGGCTGTGGTGATTTTTACAGAAACTTACATATCTGCCATTGTAATGTCAAACAGGGTTGGTCTGGCTGAGATGACTGAATTGCTGACTTAAAATAAACCAATCAATCCGAATTGTAAGATTAATTGGTTTGTTTATTTAAAAAAGTGGTATGGATACTTAACTGTGTGTCTGCCTGCTCGTTTTCTAGCTGTCGTGTCGTTTGGCCTTTCTGATTTTATATATATTTATTCTGTGGGTCTCATATTTCAAATCTTTCAAATGTTCTCCTTTTTTTTTGTATTTTCTATTGGAGTGAAGACAGGTGATTGGCTGGGCAATTTTACAGCTTGATTTTCTTTTCTAAAACCATTTGAGAGTTTCTTTAGGTGTGTTTTGGATCTTTAGCTATGTTTCCATTCACCTATTTTAATGCACATTTTGCATCTCATTTATTAGATGAAGTAAAGATTAACGCAGCTTCTACTGCAGCAAATTCCATTTTTACTGTTGATATTTGGCGCCAGTTAATCAGGAAGTGACGATTTTGTTCTCTTTGACTCGATGGATGGAAACAGCTTAATCCGCATGTCTATTTGCGATAATCCAGTTTTGTGCATAAAGTTCATTCGCATTTTTGGATGAAAACATGGCTACTGTCTTGACTTATTGCAGTAGTTCTCAAAGTGGGGGTCGGGACCCCCTGGGGGTCGTGGGACAACGACAAGGGGTCGCTTGGTGATTTCCAAAACTCAAATAAATTTTATTAAACTATTTAAATGACCATATTTTATTCATCACTCGCAGAAGATAATTAATAGTTGCGTTAAAGAAACAACAACAACATACAAATAAAATCAGTCATCAGCCTTTAATTTTTATATTATAAATTGTAATTAAATCAATAAATGACAAAAATAAATAAATTCAACTATACAATTTTTTAACAACTTTACAATTCAACTATGGGTTTTCTTATAACCAAAGATGATTTACTTATTACCAAATATGATATTTTGGAATGTTATTTTGTGCAAACAATAGTTAGTCTTGTATGATACAGAAAAAGCGGAGTTGTCTGCCTTTTTGGAGTTAATATCTTCCTGCAAAAGTTTAGCATTTTTTCTCTCTGTTTTTTCTGGACATATTTTAATTGTAAACTACATTTCAGTTAGCAGAAATGCATGTCCAAATATTAAAATAATTAAAATTTTTATTTAATAATAGTGTAACAATAATGGACAGAGCTGGTTTACAACATTTAGCAGTGTACCATTATAGAAAATGTATACTATTATGTGATCATTCAGTATGTTTTAGCTGATGTCATAATTTCAAACAACTTTGCGAGAAGAAGATTGCTTATTACTATAATAGTTAATTGGGTCAATATCACCATAGAGTGCCTTTGACAGATGAAAATTTCTTAAAGACAGTGTTCAAGTTTTTTGTTAAACCACATATTTATTCTTTTAAGAAGACTTTAAACTTCAACAATTGCTGGTTGGTCCAGCTCCCGGACCTTTAATAAAACAATTATAAGCAAAAACATTTGGACCAACTTACAAAATATGTCCACCCTGTCAGGGACGAATGGATACAGAAAGCAAATATTTCTGACAGTGTTATCATTCTAAAAAAATACACCTTTGCAACATATTTCTGTCCCTTTTCTTATATATATATTTTTTATATTAGAAAGAACTTCAAAAACTTTGGAAATAACAAAAAACTATGTTCTGCTATCAGAGCTTTGCCCGAGTTACATACCATTTAAAGTAAAAAATAATATAGGAAACATATCTGACCAGAATTTATCCAAAACCAAATTATCCTTAAATGTTCCTAAAAGAACAAATGCTAAAGATTGTCATTTGTATAAAGACATTTTATTTTTTTCAGTTAAAGTGCATATGACAGGGTGGACAATGACATATGACGGGGTGGACGGTAACATGACAGGGAGGACAACTGAAGGAAGAGAGACTGAAGTGCCAATAATAACACACTTAAACAGAGTCATAAAAGAACAGATGTATACTGTGCACTTTTGTCTTAACAAATTCCATATCCCTGGCTTTGATTCCATATCCCTGGCTTCAAGAACATGCTCTGGGATGACGAACAGCTCAAACAATGTTTTAACGTTACTACATTTCAGTTTAACCATTAAAATCACAAAATACTAATATGTGTGATGGTTTTAAGTTTTATCTCCAGCTGTTGAATCTTCTTTTTTAGTTTTCTTGTTAATCTTCTCCGAATGTTTTGTCCTTGATGCTTTTGTCTGTGAAAACAAAAAACTTTATTACACTCCCCCTAAAAGTTTTACTTCAAAACCAGTTAAGATAGTTAATATAAATCTCTAAAATGCACACTCAGTCTCTCTCCATATACGCACACATACACAGACACACAGGGAAAATTTTGAGTGTCCTTATGTGTGTGTGTGTGTGTGTGTGTGTGTGTGTGTGTGTGTGTGTGTGTGTGTGAGAGAGAGAGAGTTTGTGAGCCTGCATGTGCACACGCTTCTGTGTTTGCGTGCGTATTAGAGAGAGACTCAGTCAAGACATACTCTACATACAAGTAATATCTCAAAATACTTTTAACCAGCTTAAGTATATCCCTAAATGTCTACTATAGATTCCAACCTGGATGGCCCTGGTTCATGCTGAGCTTCAGGAGAGATGGGTGGTGTATCTGACACAAGCAAAGCATTGTCTTTTAGCCTTCCTCCATCTCTTTCTCTTTTCTCTCCTCTCATGCTCACTTATTTCACTGACACTCATCTTCTTTCGAGTCTGCCTGTCTCTTTGCCACCTGGCTCTCTCTCCCTCAAGATACTGCTTTCTTCTGTCTGGATCTGCATCTCGACGCTCTCTGTAACGCCTTGCTATCTCAGCTCCATTAAGTCCCATACTTCTCAAAAAAAAAAATAATTTTATTAGCACACAATAAATACAGTAAAATATGTTTTCACAATTAGTTATATTGTTTCTAAATTGTCATTAAATGTGATACGTAGTCTAATGTTACCCATCTCAGCGGTTGATGTCCACCCTGTCATAACAGCCGTGATGACAGGGTGGACAATGACAGGGTGGACAATTTTAGCTAATCTGCTTTTATTAAGCACATGGTGGGACACTAGCAATCATAACAAGCTAACTTGAAGGTGACTTTTAAGTATTTTGACAAATATACCTAAACATTTGGCGAAAAAAATATTTACTTTTCAGATGTTCACGCCAACAGGGTGGACATGTTATGCGTGACCACATCAAACCATGAACACATAATGATGATAAAAATGAAAAATATGACGAAGTACTTACTCTTCTTGATGCTGTTGGTTTGATCTCATTTCAAATATGTCAACCTTCTGGTGATGATGTCACTGATTGCATCATATTAGTAATTAAAGGGCCAAGTGACCCATAATGAAAGGGTGGACATTAAATTCAGGGACGTATATGAAATTGAAGATATTTTTGTAAAAATACAAATAAAATGGCAAAAAAACTTTTTTATTTGCTATAAACTTATGGCAACAATAAAGGAAAAGTGAAATTTGTTTGATTATGTGTTTTTTTATTATTATTAGGCTTGGTTGATGTCTGCTGTCCAGCATAAGGGACACAAGAGAAGGGCAGTGATGCATTAGAAGAAAGTGGAATAAAATAAAGAAAACCAATTTAAATGCAGATACTATTGTACAAAAGTGTATTAAAATACTTATGCATTACTTGTATCCAACCAGAATAGTATTATTACACAAAATGGCCGAAATAACTCCATGATTGTAATGGGGACAACAAAGGGCACTTTATAGTGATATTGACCCAATTGTCTGTGTATATTAAACCTTTTATTTGTAAATAAACTTTAGAAATAGAATAAAGGTTACAGCAGAGGTGTCCAAACTCTAGGAGGAGCG